GCACACGCGAGAAATCCATCTGATACCAACGTTAGTTCTTCTCAGTGTCTAAATAAATGGATACATGACTGACTTTGATTATTATTATTCTAATAAAAAAAAAAAAAAGCCCGCCGGTTTTGTTGCTTTCTTATTTGCTGTCAGTTCTTTCACGATGCAGGCTGAAGAGAAAGAAGAAGAGGATCCAGCATAGCCTCTAGAACGACTTTATCTAGCCGCTGGTAGACTCTTCTTTCCGTACCGCCGACATCAAACCCGTAAACCAAGCGACGGAGCCATGTGTTAGGCAAGAGCTGGTCGCTGCTAGGCGGTTTCCCAGGCTTCTCGCGTTGCGTGGTTCTTGGACCAATGCATGACTTGTAGAAAAAGATACATTGTTACTCGTTTTGTGTAAACAGAAATGAAAAAAAAAAAAAAGGTCAAACTAATGGGCCCTTTACGATGTTGCATATTGCGCTGGGTTCTCAGTACCAAACCAGCCCCATAAGTACACGGTGCCGGCTGCTTTTGGTACGGTTTTATCCAATCCACACTTTCTGCATCATAGTTTGCGCGGAGTATAGTTACCACGTTTTTTCCTACGCAAGTTCTGCAGTCTGCCAGCATTTATTTACTTGTCTTGGTCTCACCGACGCCTTCAGCCTAAGCAACACTATATGGGACCCTGGAAACGCTGTAGCGCTGGGGAGCACTCGATACCGAAACCTGTAACCTGTGAGGACGAGTATTATTGACGCGACAGTCGTAGTGAGTCTATTAGCATTCCACAGCTTGATGTTTTATATTTGGTCAAATTCTTTCATGGGCGTAGCGCTCGAGCATGCTGCCTAGGTGCCGTTGCGGCTGCTGACCATCGTCTTACTTATACTTATTATAATTCCCTTAGTGCTTTTCCTAGTTTAACCTTTTTGGTAATCGAGTGTAGTAGGGATCGCACGACGCCCGCGGATGGAGGGGTCCGAAGGAAGGAGTCCGGAGCCGGCCGATGGCAAGGCGATTGCGGTTAGACGAACACCAAGTACCTGGCTGGCGGGGGGTGGCCCATTCGTAGTGCCGTTCTTATCTACCGTGCTTCGATTTTTATTTGTTTTTGTATCTGACTTTACGCAGAATCCATGTGTGAATAAGCTCACTGGAACAAGAGTAAGTAAAGAAAAAAATTATGCACATCCCAGACAACTTGCCAGACATGCCCAACAGAGGTACAATGTACGGAGTAATCTGGGCAGTATCGGATATCGGAGGCCCGCTGAACCCCGCACTAATAACAAGGTCGCCACCCTCTCCAATCAAGGCGCAGTCATTCTGCATCACGCTGCATTGGCCTGCTCATAGTTGCCACCGATATAACATGAACGTCTGTATGCCTCTTGTTCTAGAACAGGGAAATGCAGCGTACCGAATTCGCTAGGGTCACATTTTAACTACTCCTCGTATCAAGCACCGCAAGCCTCGTCGCATTCCTTAGGAGCACGCCGCTATCCTGCCCGTTTGTGGGGGTGCTCGACTGCTAGCCGTCTCCAAATATACACCCGTCGTTCCCCCACGGCTTATCAGGCTGGGTGTTTGACGAGCCTTGTTTTCTACATTTCAACACTCACGTCGACAGCTTACATCTCGACTTCTACTTGACACTGTCCTCGTCCCAAATACGATTCCATCGCAACGACGTACAAACGCTTCTACACGCATCCCTACCGTGCTGACCACCACCGCGCACCTTGACAGCCCGCTGTCCCCGCGACGCCCGGCATGGCTCCCACCGCCGTTGCCGTCAAGACCGAGCCCAGGCCGGCCGACCTGGCCGCCCTGACGGCTGAGTTTGACGGCACCCTGCGCTTCTACCTCAACGGTACCAAGGTCGTCCTCGACGACATCGACCCCGAGGTCACCGTCCTCGAGTACCTGCGCGGCATCGGCCTGACAGGCACCAAACTGTATGCTCGCTCCCCCCCCTGTTCGACCTTGACAAATACCAGTCCCGAGCCCCTCGGAAAACGACCGCGTCCTAACAAACTCCCAGAGGCTGCGGCGAGGGCGGCTGCGGCGCCTGCACCATTGTCGTCTCCCAGTTCAACCCCACCACTCGCCAAATCTACCACGCTTCCGTCAATGCCTGCCTCGCGCCCCTCGTCAGCCTCGACGGCAAGCACGTCATCACCATCGAGGGCATCGGCAACACCAAGCGCCCGCACCCGACCCAGGAGCGCGTCGCCCGCGGCCACGGCAGCCAGTGCGGCTTCTGCACCCCGGGCATCGTCATGAGCCTTTATGCGCTGCTGCGCAACAACGACGCCCCCTCGGCGCACGACGTCGAAGAGGCCTTTGACGGCAATCTGTGCCGCTGCACCGGCTACCGTCCGATTCTAGACGCTGCGCAGACTTTTAGCGTGAAGAAGGAGGCCGCCAGTGAGTGCTGCATAGAAACCAAGACGAACGGCGCTTCCAACGGCGCGAATGGCACAAACGGGGCGAATGGCAAGAAAAATGGCAGTGGCTGTTGCATGGAAAACGGCAACGGCCCTGCCAGTGGCGGATGCTGCATGGACAAGATCAAGGACGACCAACCCATTAAACGCTTCACCCCACCCGGCTTCATTGAATACAAGCCTGACACCGAGCTCATCTTCCCACCGCTGCTCAAAAAGCACGAGTTGCGGCCTCTCGCCTTTGGCACCAAGAAGAAGACCTGGTACCGGCCCGTCACCCTCGACCAGCTTCTGCAAATCAAGAGTGTCTACCCCCAGGCCAAAATCATCGGCGGCAGCACAGAAACCCAGATTGAAATCAAGTTCAAGGCCCTGCAGTATCCCGTCTCTGTCTACGTTGGTGACATTGCCGAGCTCCGGCAGTACAAGTTTTACGATGACCACATGGAAATCGGCGGCAACGTCACCCTGACTGATCTTGAGAAGCTCTGCGAGACGGCCATGGAGCACTACGGCCCCGCCCGCGCGCAAGTCTTTGCGGGCATTCTGAAGCAGCTCAAATACTTTGCCGGGCGCCAGATTCGCAACGTTGGCACCCCGGCCGGTAACCTCGTTACGGCCTCACCCATCTCCGACCTGAACCCGGCGCTGTGGGGCGCCAACGCCGTGCTCGTCGCCAAGTCGGCGGCTGGGGAGACGGAGATTCACATGTCCCAGTTCTTCACCGGCTACCGCAGGACCGCGCTCGCGCCCGACGCCGTCATTGCCTCCATTCGCATCCCGGTCACGGCCGCCAAAGGCGAGTTTTACCGCACCTACAAGCAGGCCAAACGAAAGGACGACGATATTGCCATTGTCACCAGCGCGCTGCGCGTCAAGCTGGACGACGCCGGCCTCGTCCAGGAGACGAACCTCATCTACGGTGGCATGGCGGCCACCACCGTCGCGGCCACATCGGCCGAGGCGTTCCTCATCGGCAAGCCCTTTGCGGAGCTGGAGACGCTCGAGGGCGTCATGAGCGCGCTCGGCCGCGACTTTGACATGCAGTTTAGCGTTCCCGGCGGTATGGCGTCCTACCGCAAGGCGCTTGCCTTTGGCTTCTTTTACCGATTCTACCACGATGCCTTGTCGGCCCTAGACGGCAAAAATGCCGACAGGCAGGCCGTGGACGAGATCGAGCGCGAGCTGTCCGTCGGCCAGATTGACCACGACGCGGCGCAGAAATACGAGCTCGCGGTGACGGGCAAGTCGAACCCGCACGTCGCCGCCCTCAAGCAGACGACGGGCGAGGCGCAGTACACCGACGACATACCGCAGATGAAGAATGAGCTGTACGGCTGCTGGGTGCTGTCGACCAAGGCGCGCGCCAAAATTCTGTCCGTTGACTACGCCAAGGCGCTGGATATGCCTGGCGTGGTCGACTACATTGACGCCAGCGACATGCCCGACGATGAGGCCAACAAGTTTGGGCCGCCGCACTTTGACGAGCGCTTCTTTGCCGAGGGCGAGGTGTTTACCGCTGGCCAGGCCATTGCCATGATCCTGGCCACCTCGCCTACCAAGGCCGCCGAAGCGGCCCGCGCCGTAAAGGTCGAGTACGAGACGCTGCCCTGCGTGCTCACCATGGAGGAGGCCATTGAGCAAGAGAGCTTCCACCCCGTCTACAGAGAGATTAAGAAGGGCAACACCGAAGAGGCGTTCAAAAACTCGGATCACGTCTTTACCGGCACCGTGCGCATGGGCGGCCAGGAGCACTTTTACCTCGAGACCAACGCGTGCCTGGCCGTGCCCTCCCCCGAAGACGGCGCCATGGAGATCTTCGCCAGCACGCAAAACGCCAACGAGACGCAAGTGTTTGCCGCGCGCACGTGCGGCGTGGCGGCCAACAAGGTCGTCGTCCGCGTCAAGCGTCTTGGCGGCGGTTTTGGTGGCAAGGAGTCGCGTTCCGTCATTCTCAGCTCCGTCGTCGCGCTGGCGGCCAAGAAGACGAAGCGGCCGGTCCGCTGCATGCTCACCCGCGAGGAGGACATGCTGACCATGGGCCAGCGCCACCCCTTCCTCGCACACTACAAGGTCGGCGTCAACAAGGACGGCAAGCTGCAGGCGCTGGACCTGTCCGTGTACAACAATGCCGGCTGGACGTTTGACCTGAGCACCGCCGTGTGCGAGCGGGCCATGACGCACTCGGACGGCTGCTACAGCATCCCAAACGTGTTCATCCGCGGCCGCCTGTGCAAGACAAACACGGTCTCCAACACGGCTTTCCGTGGCTTTGGCGGCCCGCAGGGCAACTTCATCGCCGAGACGTACATGGAGGAAGTCGCCGACCGTCTGGGCATGCCGGTGGAGTTGCTGCGCGACATCAACTTCTACAAGCACCACGAGGACACGCATTTCAACCAGACGCTGCAGGACTGGCACGTGCCGCTCATGTACAAGCAAGTCCACGACGGGTTCCGCTACCGGGAGCGGCGCCGGCGTATAGCGGCGTTCAACCTGGACAACAAGTGGCGCAAGCGCGGGCTGTCCCTCATCCCGACCAAGTTTGGCATCTCGTTTACCGCGCTCTGGCTCAACCAGGCCGGCGCGCTGGTGCACGTGTACCACGACGGGTCGGTGCTGGTCGCGCACGGCGGCACGGAGATGGGCCAGGGCCTGCACACCAAGATGACCATGATTGCGGCGCAGGCGCTGGGCGTGCCGCTGGACAATGTCTTCATCTCCGAGACGGCGACCAACACCGTCGCCAACGCCTCGGCCACGGCGGCCTCGGCGTCGTCGGACCTCAACGGCTTCGCCGTCTACAACGCCTGCGCGCAGCTCAACGAGCGGCTGCAGCCGTACCGCGACAAGCTCGGGCCCTCGGCGTCGATGAAGGACCTCGCGCACGCGGCCTACTTTGACCGCGTCAACCTCTCGGCGCAGGGCTTCTACAAGACGCCCGAGATTGGCTACTCGTGGACCGAGAACAAGGGCAAGATGTTCTTTTACTTTACGCAGGGCGTCGCCGCCGCCGAGGTCGAGGTCGACCTGCTCACCGGCTCGTGGACCTGTCTCGAGGCCGACGTCAAGATGGACGTCGGCCAGTCCATCAACCCGGCCATTGACTACGGCCAGATCCAGGGCGCGTTTGTCCAGGGCATGGGCCTCTTCACCATGGAGGAGTCGCTCTGGCTGCGCGCCGGGCCCATGGCCGGCAACCTGTTTACGCGCGGGCCCGGCGCGTACAAGATCCCCGGCTTCCGCGACATCCCCCAGAAATTCAACGTCGCGCTGCTCAAGGACGTCGAGTGGACCGAGCTGCGCACCATTCAGCGCAGCAGGGGCGTCGGCGAGCCGCCCCTGTTCCTCGGCAGCGTCGTGTTTTTTGCCATTCGCGACGCGCTCAAGGCCGCCAGGCGCGCCGAGGGCGTAGAGGCCGAGGTCGGTGTGGACGCGGCCAGGGGCCTGCTGCGGCTGGAGAGCCCGGCGACGGCGGAGAGGATTCGGCTGGCGTGTGAGGATGGCATCATGAAGAGGGCAAGGGTGGCGCCCAAGGAGGGTGAGAAGAGCTTTTTTGTGTATATTTAACTAGGATGGAAAGGCCGAAAGAATGACTACTGTACATGGGCAATAATGGCAATCTAACGAAACTGACCAAACTCAGAATCCTCTTATCATGGGCATTGTCATTCTCATTGTTTCCAACTTGGCGACAGTGACTAGACCAGTCTCCCGCGCGGGCCGCACCCCACCCGGCCCAACAAGGTGTTTTTAGAAGGCGCCTCGTTTGCTAGGAAATACGGAAATTAAAGGCCCGGCGACTCCTTTTCTATGCGTCCTTTTCGTTCGTTGTATTGTCCAGTTCCAGTACAGATTAGGTTACGAGGGGCCGATCCGTGAGACAACCCCGGTCCAGTGGCCCCGCTCACCCCGTCTTTCGATATGTCATTAGAGTACATAATAACGATAGCTTTGGCTGGGCGTCTTACGACCCCCCATAACAAGGTGCGCGGGAGGTGGGTGGTGGCGCCTCAGCTGTAAGTCTTGGCAAATCAGTCGTTGTTGTGTCCCTGCATCGGTGTTCGAAACGGCAGCGCAAATGGGCAGCATGCGGCTGACCATACATGCTTCCATTGTGAAGCAAGTCCAATTCAGCCTGCAGGAGCTTAAGGAGAAATGGAGAAATGGAGAAATTACAAGAAAAAAGAGAGACTTGCGTGTTCTCGTGAGCCCCTCATCAGCCTGGGCAATCAACGCCCAATACTTTTGGCGAATAAGCCCAACAACCGCAGAGCACAGCAAATCCCCTGCCATCTTTATCGGCACCAGCCGCCCTCTTGCCGTATTGGGCTGAAAGGCGATATACAGCAAGGATCGTCGTACATGTCCCCCCCCCCCCAAACAAGACTTCAGCTCCGCCCAAAAAAAGAACTCAGCTTTTTCGCTGAATGGCGGGCCGTCCCTTGCTGCTCGTTTCGCGGCTTTTTAGCCCATCCCGGAGACAAGACGGCACTAGACCTTATGATTGCCATGGCGCATAGTACGTTGCTGGGAGATTGTTCCTGGCAAGGCGTATTTTGCAGTTCGTCACAATGTTCCCCCATGTCAAGCCTCAGCGGCTAATGCAGTGGAGGAGCCAGCTGAAGCCAAGCCCAGTCAGAATATAACTCCAGGACGCCATCCGGACCTACGGAGGCCCTTCACAACGAATCCCAAGTTGTTTCGATTCCTGTAGTCTCTCCAAACCAGCCAACATGAAACCGACACAATTCATGCCCTCGGTGGCTGCCCTCATCGCCTTGGTCAGTCCTGTCCTGGGAGCGTCCGCTTCCATCACGTCCGTCATCCCAAACCAGGCGCACCAGTGCATCCGTTTGTGCGCCTGGTACAACTACCAGGGCAACCTGCCCTTGGCGCTGGGCTGTGGCGACCCGTACGAAAACGACTGCTACTGCCCGACAGCCACCGAGTCCGTCAGCAAGGCCAGCGTGGCCATTGAAAAGTGTGTCTCGTCGCGCTGCGCCGCCGGCGACCTGACACGCGACCTTACCTCCCTGCGAAGCATCTACGCGGGGTACTGCAAGGACGCGGGATACACGCAAGACGCCGGCGTCCTGGGCTACACAGTGGCGGCGTCGACGTCGAGTAGCAGCAGCGAAGCCGCGTCTCCCTCCAGCGCCGCCACTACCGGGCAAAAGACGGACAGCCAGCCGTCCAAGACCGGCGGGCAGGACGTGTCCACGACGACGCAAAAGACGACCGTGACGCAGACAAGGGCGAGTGGCGCCGACGGTACGGGCTCCCAAGGTACGTTGCTGCTTCTGGGACTGGCCGTGTCAATCCTGCTTCTCTAGGTTTGCCCGCCCACCCTGTCTCCTAGTCTGTGAAAGTTCGATGCTAACACCGATGACAACATAGTCGTCGTACAGGAGACGGAGACGGTGTTTGTCGATGCGCCTGGTAGCGGCTCGAAACCTTCTGCGGCCGTCAAGATTGGTGTCGGGGTTGCAGTCCCCATTGTGGTACTACTCATCTTGGCCGGGGCCGGGCTGTTGCTCTGGCGCAAACGACAAGCAGCCGGCCGCAAGGGGGCGGACGGTGCTGCTATGGAGGAGCGCGGTGGTGGTCAGCCGGACAACGGGGCGATGGCGAAGGACTGGCCAGTGGGCATTGTTCGTGAGCAGCCGCCGACACGAGCCGAGTTGGCGGTAAAAGGGGGCGCGGTTGTACAGGGCGCTCACGAGGTGAATGGAAGCCAGCGGTCTGAATCATACGGATCGCATGGCGCTCACGAGGCGAATGCAAACCAGCGATCTGAGTCGTTTGGGTCACACGGGGTTCACGAAGTCAATGGAAGCCAGCAGTCCTATTCACCTGTGGCCCACGAAGTGAGTGGAAGCCAAAGGGCGGGCTTGTACGAGGTAGATGCTGGCTCGGGAACAAGATTGTATGAAGCACCTGGGCAGCCCGGCAGGTTGGCGGCTGAGCTTCCCGGTAGTCACGGACAACCGAGGCCGGTTGGAGATGGCCTTCTTCGCTGATGGTTTGCTTCTGGAAAAGGAAGCTTGTCTCGTGTGGGGTGTGATATCTGGCGAGCAATCTGGCGGACGACGGCGGGTGGGTGTAATGGTCGCAAACTAAATAGCGCAATGAAATGGACTGAACGATGGCCTCTGATGATCTTCAAGATGCTCAAGAGGCGTTGCGTGTAGTTTGGGATGAATTGGGCGAGTCAAGTTGTTGGTCGGAGATCTGCCTCTGGTTTTTTTAGCGGCACTTTCATTTCTGGAATGGCCCTCATTAAGTGGGTCCTCGCTGCTTTGGTTTTTTCTGGCCCCAGGTACTAACTGACCTACCCTACCCCAATTCTATAAGTGATTCCAATAGAAGAAATACTTGTAAAGTAGTAGTTTTTGGACGCACAATACAGGTTGTCAACTAGCTGCTTTTTTTATGAAGCGTGGATGAAGTCTCCCAACAACCACTGGTGCCGTAGTGTAGCCATGTAGGGTAGTTTATGCCATGAGTCGGTTTGCTCAGCATTATTACAGGCGACACTAGTGGCTGGATCCACGCCCGTTTGTACCTAGCGGTCGTTTGCACTGCCGGCTGGCACCGGTGCCGGCCCGCCCACCAGAACCTCGCATCTTCAGCTGCCGGCTCTGCTTTTCTTCCCTCCTTCACTTCCCCACGTTTGTTTCCCTGCTCCGACTGGGGCAATTAGCGACAAGTATATTTCTAACACGATGCGACGCAATTGAAGTGTTCAGCCAATCCGACGGTGCTCCGAATTACTCTACTTTATTTCCTTTTCTGCGACTCTACTCTTCCTGGCGACATCTGGTTGCTCGTACCACGCACCTGTGACTCGCGTTGCCGAACCGCGGCTTTTTGCGCTCCCGCATGACTTTTGCGCTTCAACCACCACCTCGACACCACACCACGATAGTCGTCTGTATACGCCTTGCCAGATAGAGCATTCTACTCGCACAATCTCTCTACGACTATAATCTGCCGCCACACCACGTCTTTGCATAATCGCGCCCCGTACCTAACCGCATGGTCACGGTACACTGGACAACTCAAACGAGCTGGACGACCTCTCCTTGCGCATTGGCACATGGCAACTGCTCTCGCGACGCCGCTTCTAAAACAACGTTGCTCATCGTTACCGCGACGGGCGACACGCCGTTCTTCTGAGCTGCCCTCCTAGCCCGGCTGAATTCAACGCCACCGTCCTACCCGGCCCTGTCAAATGGGATCAGCTTGTGCAACATGACGGACCGCAAATCTCTCGATGTCGGCCCCAACGGCAAGGACAAGTCTAAGCCTAAACCCAGTGTAGCTGTCAAAGAGGGCACTCCTAAAGACCAAAATGGCAACGGCGCGCAAAAGACTAGCCCCAAGAAGCGCCGCAAGGTCAACCACGCCTGCGTCTATTGTCGCCGTTCTGTAAGTGCTGCCCACATGCGGCTCTTCTTTGATTTTGTCCTGCTAACTATTGGTAGCACATGACTTGCGACCTTGTACGTGCTCGACACCTGTGCCAAGATTGTCACCCCGCCCACTAACCAACTCTAGGAGCGACCTTGCACCAGATGCATCAAGCGAAATATTGGCCATCTCTGCCACGACCAACCTCGCGAGAGCGACATCAAGAAGCCGAAATCATCCAAACAGGACTCCATCGACGAATCCGAGGCTGCTTCGACAACGTCCACCATGGGCCCTCCGCCGGCATTCGACGGCCGACAGCGTTCCGACTCTGGCTTCGGCGGTGTCCTTGGCCAGGGCAGCAGCGGTCTTGGCATGGTCCCCAACCTCGACCTGCAGCCCAGTGCCATCAATCCCACTGGTAACATGAACCAGTGTATGTAGACACTCTCCTATACGCTGTATCTTTTACATATTAACCTTGACGTAGTCGCTGGCTTTTCCGATGCTTGGCTCACGGCCCAGAACTTCAACGGCATGAATCAGTACAATCCCAACTACATGGTTGGCGACAATGTCAACGAGTTTAAGCTCCTCAATGACTTTCTCAACAGCAACCTTCTCGACGAGCCTGGTATCGCGCCAGATGACACTCAGACTACAACGCCGACGTTTGTCCGCAGCCAGTCTGAACTCGCCGCCAGCTTCAACGCCGCGCAGTCTGGCTCCCCAAACCTCACCACCTCCATGCCCCCGCCGCCTCCCGCCGGCGCGGCTTCGGCTAGTACCCCCGGTCGCCCGCGCTCGTCGCGCATCGCTGCCGCCGCCGATAAGGACAAGGAGCGCGAGTACTACCTGCAAGCCGCCGACCCGGCGGGTAACGCCATTGGCGAGGAGCGCATGTCGCGCGTGCTCATGGCCAAGTACGACGCGGGCCTCCTCAAACCCTTCAACTATATCAACGGCTACGCGCGCCTCGGCAAGTACCTCGATGGGCACATTGCTGCCTCGTCGAAACAAAAGATTCTTCGCACCATTCACCATTTCCGACCCAAGTTTAGGGAAAAGGCCCAGGGACTCACGGATTTGCAGCTGCTCTATGTCGAGATGTGGTTTGAGCGCCAGCTCATGGACTATGACCGTGTCTTTGCGAGTATGGCCGTGCCAGCCTGCTGTTGGCGACGGACGGGTGAAATTTTCAGAGGAAACAAAGAAATGGCAGAGCTCATCAACGTTCCCGTTGACCAATTACGCGACGTAAGTTTTTTTGCCCCTCGCTTCGCTCGACGTGGAAGTTGACGAAAGGCTCCTCGTCACGGCTCAACTTGCGAGCCTAGCTGGAGGGGTTATTGGCCTTCAACTTGCTGACAAAAGAATGCAGGGCAAGATTGCGCTTCACGAGATTCTGACCGAAGAGTCCATGGTCCGCTACTGGGAGGAATTTGGCACCATTGCCTTTGACCCCTCCCACGACACCTTGCTCACGGCGTGCTCGCTGAAGAACCCCAGTGACTCGTCGGACCACCCGATCATAAAGTGCTGTTTTTCGTTTACTATTCGGCGTGACGAGCATAAGCTGTATGTTTTGACTATCCCATGTTTGATTTATCCAATACTGACGTGTTTCAAGGCCTGCGCTCATCGTAGGAAACTTCTTACCACATGATCCGCCCACGCCAGAATAAAACCACCTATTATCCGAAATATATTCTTCTGCTCCTTTTTCGTTTGGGTTTGGATGTTGTGATAGGCGTTCATGATGGGGTTGCGACTGACTGCGAGTATGTAGGAGCACGGAATACTTCTTAATGTTGGAGTGTTTGACTGATTGGTACACTCCAGTGGTTTTATATCTATATTGCATGGTCAAATACGCCGTCGCTTCATCGATTGATCTATGACGCTCCATGAATTGCTCTGCCTGGCCGTCTCTCGGGCTTTGGGGGTCATAACGACCGACGGACTGTAGAATTTCGGGGCTGTCCGGAGGTGTCGCGGTCACGAACCTGCTGCCCGTTTGTCGGGCGTCGCCAACTGATGATGGAGTTCACAAAGACTTTCAACACCACGACCAGTGATTATCCCGCCTGCAGCTTCGTGCATGCCTAGCTTGGCTTTGGGTATATATATGCTCATTTCGCAGGCGATGACTTTAACCCTCCATCCTTCTGCATCCAACTCCAGGCTGCTCTCTATTATCAACCTCTCCCTCCCTACATTGAACCTCTTCTATCTTGTCATCCCCTCATTGGGAAACCCAATCTCTTGACCTTGCCGGCGCGTCGGTCTCGATAAGAAACAGATCATGTCTGAATGTATCTATGACCCCAGCTTGTCTCGCCGGTTCCCCCCAAGGCACGCCCAGCGTACATTTGAATGGCACGACACCGGGACCGTTGTTGACAAGGCCGGTCTCGGGAAGCTCGGTGTCCTTCCATTTGAGACGCTGCAGCAGATTCTCGTCGACACCGACATGCGAAGCCTCATCCGCCTCCAGAGCGTCTGCAAGAACATGAGGCGCGCCGTGGACACGATCGCCGAGTTCCATACTCTCCTCCGGTGCACACCCGACACCATTCGCATCATGACCGCCGCCAAGGTCGACAGCATGATTGCCTGTCGCGAGCTCTACCGTGTCTTTTGCCGACCGATGTGCGATCTGTGTGACAAGCCGGGCGAATACCTGTACTTGCTCGCCTGCCATCGTCTCTGCTTTCACTGCCTCAGGTCGAACCCGCGATACCGGCCGCTCCGCCCCATGGAGGCTGTGCACCAGTTCGACTTTCCTGTGTGGCAGCTACCGTCTCTGCCGATGTTACAGGTGCCGAAGTACTCGCCGAAGGCGCGGTACCGGCGGCATTGGGGATGGACTAATACTACGGGCTGGCGCCTCATTGACCGTGAGGTCGCGCTCCGTCACAGCATGATCGCCTCTCGACGCTCTTCGGTATGCATTGGCAGCGCCGTGAGCTCCAAGCTGAGTATGATCCGTCAGTCTGGTGCCCCCAAGACGAGAGAACGACTCTTACGTTATTACAAGACGCCCTCTCATCAGGTAGCCTTCTCTGCCTCTGTCTTGTTTCCTTACTACGATGAGGGTACTGGGTGGGTGTGCAAGCCCTGTGTGCGACATGTCAGAACTCCTGATCTATGACTGATCAGAAAGCACTTCATTAAGCATCGAGAGGGTATGGAACATGCGCTTGCGGTCACTCACTCGAAATTGGGCTGGTAGGTTAGATTAGCACTTGCAGATGAGTACACTATGGCTGCACCTAACGCCAAGAGAATCCCGAGCTATACCGAGGATTCCTGCTACTGGTGATGTTTTTTCGCTTCTATATGAACTTTTCGGGAATTGGGACATTTGCAAAAAGGGTTTTTACTACCGGAGTTTGATTGACATGGCTACTATTGGGACTTGAGCTGAGGACAATTAACACCTTTTACTATTATTTAGCAAGTGCCCATATTACCAGTGACTGCGCCGTACACTCTCTCGCAACCGCACGGCAACCTAGGAGCTGCAATGTCAACCGCTTCTGAACATAACCTGACCACATTCATTCACTCTTCCCATCCTGCCTTTCCAATTCACTATCCGTCATGGCCGAAATTCACTTCATCAACATGCTCATATATCATCTTGATTTCCTCCTCTCCCGTTCCCAGGGCTCTGTCATTTTCTTGCTTGCTCTACAGCATCTCACACTGCAGCCAAGCTTCCGCCAGGTACTCCCTCCTCTTCCAAGCCATTCTGACTATATCGACTCTCCTCCCTCTGCCGCTGGCCTATTCTGATCGTTCTAATCTTTTCAACCCACACTTGATCCCTCTCAACCGCCACTCAGCGGGCACGGTCGACCGCAATCCCCCAGGATGGACTCTGATCTGAGCCTCTCCAGCCGGCTCCCGCCCAACAGGACGACGCGGTTCCGGTGGCAGGACGGCGCGGTGCTCGACATCCGGGCCGACGTGGGCGCCCTCCGCGTGCTGCCCCTCGAGACCATCCACGCCATACTGCAGCAGCTGGACCTGGCCAGCCTGCACCGGCTGGAGAACGTGAGCCGGGGCATGCGGCGCGCCGTCGCCAGTCTGCCGCAGCTGCAGGCCGTCGCTCAGTGCGCGCCCGACGCCGTGCGCGCCATCTGGGCAGCGCGCGTCAGCCACCTCATCGCATGTGGAGACCTGTACACGCAGCTCTGCCGCCCGGCCTGCGTCTTCTGCAACTTCCGGCCGGGCGAGTACCTCTACCTGCTCGCGTGCCACCGCGTGTGTCGCAAATGCCTGCTCGGGCAGTCGCGCTACAAGCCGCTGCGGCCGTCCGAGGCGCGCCGGGCGGGCCTGCGCGTGCACGAGGTCCGCCGCCTGCCGCGCCTGCGCGTGCCCAAGTACTCGCAGCGCGCGCGCGGGCTGCGCACTTCGGGCAAAATCCGCCAGCGCAACACCACTGGCTGGCTGCTCCTGGACTTTGAAGCCGTTGTGCGCGAGATAGGTCGGGTTCGGTACACAAAGCGCTGGACGGAGGCTGCAGTCGCCTCGCTGTTCCAGAGGCAGCCGTCAAGCGAGGTGCTTCCTTACAAGCCCGAGTATGCCTACTCGGCGTCGGTGCTGCTCCCGTGGCTGGACCGCAGCACGCAAAACGTTGGCCGCCCGGAACTGTGCCGGGCGTGCCGGTTTGCCGCCCAGACAGCGCCGAGCGCGGCCCAAGTCACTCCGCAGCGGGCACCCTGCCAGTCGTGGTACCACTGCGGGACGCAGCAGGGTCTAAAGGACCACATCGGCCGTCATGGAGCGATTAAGGATGGTTTACATGTTAAAGTTGCCGTCTGAGAGAGCGAGAAGCGCAGTACTTTCTACACAGTCGACGGGGCCGGGATGTATTGATGCACAGCTGAAATGCCGAGATGGCGTAGTTGGGTATACGCAACTATGTGGTCTTTTGACCTTGATTTATTGCTCCCCCCTTTCTCTCAGCTGGGCTAGCAATCAATTCTCGAATCTAGTTCCGCACGCGCTTTTGGGGTTGTCTCGTCATGTGAGTGGTCAGTAGCCGCCATCTTGCGGCTCAAAAGGCCTATTTTATCGTAATTCGCAAGAGTCCATTTCAATTGTATTCACTTCACTTATAACAATTGCAAAAAAAAAAGATTTAAATAAATCGTTCCACAACTCGTTGGCAACCGAGGCCAAGGAGCCGGAGTACGCACCCCCCTCCCCAGGCCTTGCCAGTAACGGCCAGCGATTATTCTAAGCGACAGAGCATTGCGTTATAATTCACTGCACTTCTGCCTATTCACGCTTTCAGTGAATGCCCACGCTAGCTTCTTACAGTCCATGTGACCTCAGTGTCAGGCAACCAAGTCACTGCAGTGAATCGTCAAGGTCTTCCTATATATTCCTTCTCCTCATGACTCTCCCCTCAATATGATTGCAATCCCATACTGCCACATACTGATCACAGTCAAAACCTGGCCTCTTTTTCCCGCGTGTTCCAATACGCTCGCCACGACCAGCATGGATGTACCGTATCTTCGCGACAACCCTCATCTGGGTGAGCATCGTCTCGCCTTCAACCTATCTGCAAGGATACCTAGCCACAAGACATTTGCTTCGATATTTACATTGGAGAGTGGAGAGATGCTCGATACCCGAGATGCCCTGGCCGGGTCCTTTCCAGGCATCTCTCTGGAAATCATTCATACCATCTTCCAGCAGCTTGACCTGGCCTCTCTCGCAAATCTCGGAGCCACCAGCAAGGGCATGCAACGCCTAGTCTCGAGTCTGCCCAAGCTTGTTGCTTTGATGCACTGCGCACCAGACGCCATCAGGGCAATCAATGCGGCCAAGGCTGGCCGCCTGCTCGTTTGCTCCGACATGTATGAAAAACTCCTCCAACCAACCTGTGACCAGTGCGGAGATCCAGGAGAATTTCTTCACATCTTTCGTTGCGAAAGACTCTGCAACCACTGCCTCACCACTGTTGAGCATTACCGCGCTCTACGTCCCAGTGAGGCTGTGGCACAGTACGCACTGAATCGCAACGATGTTTATGCGTTTCCTAGCCTTCGAGTACCCGCCTACTCAGACGAAGCATTTGATGAGCGCCGCTTCTTTTTCCGTCAAGTCAATACCTCAGGATGGAAATTGATTGACCCGGAAGATGTATTCCGCCTCAGTATCAAGACCCACGGCTCAGTCGACGAAGCCAGACGACGAGGCTATGAAAAACTAGGAAAACTACTTATGACTGGAGGCTTCTATCATATTACGCCTGAAGATTGGCTGGAAGCAAGCATTCAACTCCGCCCACAGATCTCGCTGCGCCACGCTGGTGAACCATCCGAGGTCTTCAAGGGTCGCCTCATAGCTCACCTCCCACCCGGCGTTGAGTCTGCCTGCTCGGTATCCATTCTATTTCCATGGTATGACGTTTCCACGGGGTTTTATGGTCTCCCAGTCTTATGCACAGCATGCTTCGCTGGGTATGTGCCTGTACAAGGGTGTTATTACTGCGCTCCAGGTCGCGATGAGCACATGGCCCGACGGGGTGAAGTTATTGATGGTACTCACGTGAAGAATACATGACACGAGAGTCAAAAAGAGGACTTTATTGAGACTGCTTCATTATGGGATGAGAACAGAACGGCGAAGAAAACAACCAAGGAGGGTCCCTATGTTCAGATCATTGAAGCAGTGGATGTAATCTTGTGTGCTGTTCTAGGAGACGTCAATCTATTGAGGTGCTGGTTGGATCCATATGAAGGCTGTTTTTTACATTCGATATTTTATTATCGTTCTCGAGCTACTTTGCTGTTGACTGGAGTTCATAGTTTTTCGTGTCTTCTTGAGCAAGCACCAGCAATGAAGTCCCCGCCTTGACTAATAAAGCCCGAACAGTGACTTCAATATACTTTGGGATTCTCTCCGGTTCGTGTGCGCTAATAATGCCAAGCAGTTCAATCAGTACAAAACTCCAGAATATGGAGCCGAAACCACCTGCAAAACGGCCGCTTTCTCCCGCGTCCCTGGCAAACCATGAGGCAGCGACGCTACTCCGTAAGTGCGTGCAAGACAGGCTTTGGCAGTAGCTGACCTGTTGCGGCAGACTTTGCCATGGATATCGAGTCTTCAGCGCCGAGTGACAATCCAGCCGAACTTTCTAACCTCGAGCACTATACTCTACGAGCAAACGACCCAAGCAGGTTTCCCATCGGTGCGCTGTCGGTCGACGCAGCCCATCGGCTGGAAAGCATCGGACGACGGATATGGAACACATTCCTACGAAAGCAAGACGGTGCTTCTGAGAATGAAGATGGAACAACAAACGTTCAGTACTGTCTACGCGCAAGACTCTTTGGCTACCTGCTGATTGGAATCGGTTTGCTGGGGCGTCCTGATGCAAACGGCACCCAAACCGCCGCGTACCTGATACGGCTCGGCCTCTCCCTCTCCAAAACCTGCATCAACCTGGCAGATTTGGACTCGGCGCGAATCGCGTTGCAAAAAGTCGCCGAGTATCTGCCTTCCAACCCCTGCGGCGGCGCATCAGCTGATGGCGGCAGTCCGACCAGCAGCCAGGCAGACTTTGCAAGCTACTACATTCTTCGAATCGCTCTGGTACGTGCATGACTATCGGCGTCCCCGATGCTGTCGCTGATTCGTGGCAGTCTTAGAGAGACGACAGACTCGATCTCGCAGAGCACATGTACAACAAGGCTACGCAGTACACACCGAACATCGACGCTCGCACCCGCACTACACTCATGCAGGTTCTCAACAATATTGGGGAAACGCTCGTCGCACAGTCCAACCTCGTAGCCGCTGCTGCCTGGTTTCGACGTGCAGCTGCAGAGTCATCAACATCCCGTGGCGATCGATATCCAATACCTCCCGAGGCCGAGTTACCCGTACATGAGCAAACCCGGCTGGCCGCCCTCCGCAGCCTGGTTCAATGTCTCGTAGGCCTCAAATCGCGTGAGACGCTACACGAGGCGAGCAGTATTGTCCGAACGGCGCAGGCTGAATTCGGCGATCGGCGAGTCGAGGTCTTGGAGATGATGGTCCTGGTCCAGGCCGCAAAGGGGGACGCTGCTGATGCCCTCACCGACTTGTTGGTGGTTTTGCTTCCGTGAGGTCGGCAGTTCCCGTTATCCCGCTGCCATCATCCGAACCCTGCACGTCAACGGTTTGCGCTTTATTTAGATCTATCCGATAATGCACGTCTAAGCGGCGACGAGGTCGCAAGATGTAGAAGGGAGAAGGGAGAAAGCATTCGGCGCATTCGGCGCTTACACAATTGTTAGTGATCTGCCCAGCCGTATTCAGGTATCGTTAGGGGGGGATAAATGATTCAAAAGATGCAACCAACTTGGATAAGCCATGACTTTGGACCGTGACTAGGACAATGCTTATCGTGGCTGATTCTCTGCATTTGGTAGTGACCGGGCCACTTGACCAATATGGCGCGGAGGAGGCGACGCCGATGGTCCGCGCTGCGGGAGCCTGCATTGTTGCAGAGGAAGGAATAAATATTCTCCGCCAGGGAATAGGGGCAAACATGTGCGTGCCCTCACTGCATTGACTATGAGATTTCACGTAGCACAGCCTCGGGATACCTGCTCCTTCCAATCGCGGTTCCGTCTATATTGCGAAATTGCGAAAGCAATGTCTTGCACGCATCCCAAAAATGCATGAGTTGCCAAGCCATCGGCAACAAGGCTCTATTGGTTCTCAGCCACAGCATGTCACCTCCCTCTCGTTCCCGTCTCGTCTGTCGCAGTCTACCTCTGACATATTTTGGCATGATGAGCCCTCAGTCACGCTGCACACCTGCCCAACTACTTCGTGGCGAGGGTAACTACTGGCCCCCAACCAGGAACAAAACTGGCCACCGATCGGCAATTGTAGGCCCGTCAATCTGCTTCTGCGTTTTTCAAGAGATGTTTGAGGTGAATTGGCTCTCATTCTACCGACATGCCCTTTCGGGATCGGTCCCGTTGTTTCCGGCGCGGCGATAATGGCCACGGTCGTCTGATGATCGGCGTTGCGCGCCCCGCCCACCACTCTCGGCCGCCCGGCGGTACGCCTCAAAATGCGGTCCTTCAATTTGTGAGGCTTGAAGGAAAACAGGGCCACAATGTTTTAGCCAGGTTTGAAGGCTAGTGGCCTGGTGGAGGCGAATGGTTCCCAATATGGCAGTCCTGGCTGTCGCCCCCCAGGCTCAATGTATTCGAAGTACTACCCTCGGTCTAGATCCGTTGAAAGGGCAGGGCCACCACACCATTTCCCAAGGGTACTGATAATCTCTCACAGAAAAACGATGTGCTGTATCTAGGTCTACGTGGATGCCAGTGTACAACTTGGGATGTAGATCTGCTCCGGGGGGCATGGTCGGGCCTCACGGACACATGCAGGGTGTAAGCGGCCACAATGGGAGAAAATGATATAAGAAGGTGTCCAATTTCCCATTGAAGTCACGAATCTTGCAAGCTCACACAAGCTCTACCTTTACTCTCAAGCTCTACACCTCATTACCCAACATGCTCGCCAACGTTTTCTCCAAGGCCGCCATCCTGGCCCTCGCCACCGCTGCCTCTGCCTCGCCCGTCTCCGTCGAGGGCAGCGACTTCAAGAAGCAGACGCTCGACGCGCACAACTGGTACCGCCACCAGCATTCAGCCGCGCCGCTGGTCTGGGACGACAAACTGGCCAGCAACGCCGAGTCGTGGGCGTCCCAGTGCTCCTCGGACCCTCGTCACCAGGTACTGCCCCCCTTCCCCTTATCCCGTTCCCGGAACCTCGCACCTGTTGTACTAATCCCGCCCGCGTATAACCGCACAGCCCGACAACGATCACGGCGAGAACATTGCCTGGGGAACCGTCGGGGGCCCAGACTACCTCTGGGTCAACCTCTGGGGTAAAGAGCGCATGGACTACAACTTCAGCTCCCCGGGCTTCACCTCAGGGACGGGCCATTTCACGCAGCTCGTGTGGAAGGGCACCAAGCGCGTGGGCTGCGCCTTGGTCTCGTGTGATTACGGCACCAATGTGGTCTGCGAGTACGACCCCCCGGGCAACATGGTTGGCAACAACAACCAGTACTTCAAGGACAATGTCGGCCGCCAGATCGAGGGCAAGCCCTCCGACCAGTACAAGGCTTGAGAAGGAGAGAGACAAGTATCTGGGAAATGCAGGTGTGCGTTTGTACATATCTGCATGCGCACCGGGTGATGGGGTGATTGTATATGTATATAGAATGAATGGACATGGACATCTTGACTTTGATACAGTACCTTGATATAGGCATGTCGATTGTAGCCTAAAGTAAGACTATGTCTTGCGCAGTTGGGTGTGATGATGTATGATATATGGCTGAGTCAGCTGTCAGTTCCTCCCATATCATGGCCGTTTGGAGGAACCATCAATTGGTCGTTTGCATCTCCTTCATACTTGCAAACAGACTCACGAAGCAAACACAGCCCTGCAGAACAACATGGATGCTCACCTGCTCCAGCCCAGTCACCGCGCGGCCCTCAACAACGCCGTGCTCCTGCAGCTGCAAACGCTTACACAACGTCCCGACAACGAAGCCATCTGGGATGCCTTTCACCTACTCGACTGCGTCCAGTTCCACGTCCAGGCCTTGGACCCCGACGCCGTCCAAGCCATCCACATGGTCCGTAACCCCTCCCTTCCCATCCCTCACTAAACCCAGGGCCAACAACCCCAGACGCTCTGGACCTACATCCAGTCCCTCTACGAGCAGAAACGCTACACTCTGGTGGCATCCTGGTGTCGCCTCGCCCTGCACTCCTCCCTGCACCAGTGCGCTCCCACCAACCCACCCACCTTTCTGCGACGGCTCCTCGCCGCCCTCATCGAGCTCGGCCAGTACGCCGACGCGCTCACCGTGCTCGACTCCCTGCCCTCCGACGAGCTCACCACCCGCTTCCTCGCCTTTCGCCTGGCTGTCCGCGCAGGGGACGCCGCGCTCGCGCAAGAGTGTCTGCAGTGCATGGCCACGCGCGCGGACAAGGACGAGGCGCGCGACGCGCTGTACGCCTGCGTGCGGGAGGCGCAGGGCGCGGGCGACCGGGTGCGCACGGTCGAGGCGCTCCGCGCGACGGCCGCGACGTGGAGGGGCGAGGTCGTCGTGGCGGCCAACGTCCCGGCGCTGCTGCGCTGCGCGATCCGCCTCCTGCAAGCCGAGGAAGCGGCAGAGCCGCTCGACGCGGAATCCTTTGTATCCAGCGAGACGGTGAATCTATTCAGCACAGGTGACGTTTTTTGCCCCCCCCCCTTTTTGTCTGTTGACATGAGACGGCCCCGCCCCCCGACTTACACGAGAAACCGGGTGTTCTAGCGGCCAGCTTTGTCGCCGACCATGCGCGCGACACCCACGGGAACGCCGTCTTCTCGCCCGCCGAGTTGCGCTGGTTCAGCGCCAACGCGTACAATCTCGGCGTCGCCCGGTGCACGGTGTGGGCGCCCGGCCGTCTCGCCTCGCTGTGGGAGAGCTGCCTCGTCTTCTCGCAGGCGGCGGCGCTACTCGCAACACCTATCAGCGAGGAAGACGTAAAGGCGACCGATGCCGAGGCCGCCACTCTCACGACTCTTCGCTGCCACTTTGTGCTGGCGTCGCTGTACGTTGCCGAAGCACGGCTCGTGCAAAGCGAGCACACGCGGAGCCTGTATGCCGACGTGGAAAAGCACGCGGCGGCGTACACCAAGCTCTTAACTGGCTCCGCGGCGGCGGCGGCAAGATGTCCCGACTTGCTGCAAAAGCTAGGCGTGCTCTGCGTCTTGCACTGGGAAGCCCTCCTGGCCCGGCAGTCCCACGAGCATCTGCCGTGCATCATCCAGCATGCGCGTCTGTGCAGCGACGTCGACGTCCTCAAGGCGCTCGGTGGCTGCGTCCTGCAGAGCGAGGCGCCAGCAAGCGGTATGTCCATCTCGCTTCCTGCGCCCTATCCTTGAACGGGACTGAACAGGGAATTCGCGGGGTTTCCCAGTCAAGAGCAGCATTCTCAAACGCATTGTCAATGAAATCTTCACCATGGACAACTTCAAGAGCGCCCGGCTCGCGCAGTACCTCCGCTGCATGGTGCAAGTCCTCCTGCCCATGGCCGACGACGGCCCCGCGCGGGCGCTCCTCGAGCAAGCCGTGCAAGTCGCCCAAGAGTCCAAGCAGGTATATCCTCTCCCCTCCCCCCTCCTCTCTCTCCTGCTTCATTTCGCTTATTACCTTCGCATTTGTTTCTTTGTCCTTCATGTGGGGGGGTACGTGTGACGGGAAACGAAAAGAATTCTAAAACCAAGCCGTTTCAAAAAAACAGGTTGGAGTGGCGTTCCCCGCCGACGAAGCCCAGTGGCTGGCCGCCGCTGCCTTCAACCACGGACTCACCAGGTACGCAGTCCGGCAGGACATGGTTGCGTGCGATGGCTGGCTAAATACGGCGTTTGCTTTGGCGCAGCATGTCGGTGATGATGGCCAATTCGCCGCGTCTCTGCAGCTACGGCGGCAGACGCTCATGGACTCTTCACGCGCAGGCACGTTGTAGTCGCACTCTTATGGCGCAAAAGCACCTACTGGAGGACATGTATACTGCTGTTCACGAAACGATTCTTCTCAGTCCCCAATCATGTATATGCAGTCTCCAAACAAGGACGCAAAATGAACATGTTTTGTCTTCTCAGAGTAAAAAGGGAATAGTCATCAATACATGCGGTCGTTAAACTTCGTTTCTGCAAAGCCATGAAAAAGGAACCCCCCAAAAAAAATTAGGGCAGGGTCCAATGCCCCCATCTATAAACCATACGCGGACGTCGGGATGTCTATTGACCAGGTCAAGTCCAACCAAAAAAAAAAAGTGACGAGAGAAGAAGAAAATCCAAGCAAAAGCAAAGCACTCAAGGCAAAAAGATCATCGTCGTACCGAGCACACATAATGCCATCATGATCCTCTCGGGATTGAAATGCGATAGGGTATATCCATACTGTTGGTCTTGTCCGTCAAGTAACCAAACCACGCAGCTCAGCACGCTCGTATCAACAAGAGCAGAAACATGTTCGGCTTGGCAAATGTACCAGTTTGCGAAGCTCTGAAAAGTATACAGTGAAGGCAAGCAAAAAAAACGGGGTGCTTCTCAACCAAATCCAACAGTGAGTCAGACATGTCAGATACATGTGGCGCACTAGATTATGTTGGCAATGCTCAAGCGGTCATTGCCCCTTTTTTGAGTATTTGGAGGCGGGCTTGTGTTGGCACCGCGGCCATAATTGGGTTCAGACGTAAATCGGGGCGGCTCTGCGTGCTTGGGAGCGTCTAGTCCGGCCGAGGCAGGCGACTCGGTCTTGATCTTCTGTGGCGGTAGCGGTGTCCATCCTGCATTGTGTGAAGTGAGTGAACGAATAGTGGATTCGAGATGCGCCCATCCTCCCCATTCTCGCTGTTCAGAATTTGTCAGCCCAGTGCGCTGTTCTGACTGAAAGATGGAGGATGTCGAAACGCCTGGGGGCTTGGGTGAGTTTGTCGCAGTCGGCTCAGATCGCTCAACCATGGTCCAAACCCAGGTTCTTGAAGGGGCAGCTTGGGTATCAGCAGACACGTATACCAGGAGCTCTTCGTCTCTGGTGAGCGATAGCAAGAGGGCCGAGTTGTCGGCCTGGATTCGAGACTGTGGTATCGAAGTAGATCCCGTAGTGCGGGCAATGTGGCTGGCGTGCTCTGCGCGTTTGGAGGCAAGAAGATTGGAAAAGAAGGCAATGTATCGGCCGCAGGGCATCACCACATCACGAAGCCCTTCAACAGAAGCCAGTGCTCGCGTACAAGTAATAGCTTGATCAAATTGCCCAGCCATCAGCAGAAACAAGGAACAACGAAACAGATGCGTTGCGAGAAGCGCCGTTGCCCCCTCGGCAGGAGCGGTAGTTCGGGCAATGAGGGAAGCAGTCTCCATAGCAATATGCGTACAGTTCTCAACAGCCGCAAATCGCGCTTCCGGACTGCAGCTAGGAGCGAGGTTGTGCCTGTGCAACAAAAGTCGAACGTGGAGTAGATAAGCCAGGGGTGGGAGAAAGTGCGCAGCTAAAGCGACAGTACTAGACGGGTCGCAAGCTGGCGGGAAAGTGTTTAGACACTTGCGAAAGTGGCTGTCGAATGCTGCAAGATGCGCGGACGGGACTTTCGGGCTGTCAATGGCTTTGAGAACAGACGTGTAGGAGCGCACAACATGGATGATTGCCAAGAGCGAGTGCGTCAATGGCTCGGCCCCGTTTGGCACATGCATTCCGTTGTCGCGCACGTAGTGATCATCAACAGCAGCCGGCAAACGCGCGTCGCAGTCGGCATCGTTGATTAAGCACGGGTGACCAAGCTCGGTGGCAAGCGTTCTGTCCAGCACATACATGGCCCACCAGGTTCGACAGCGCATTTCTCCCTCGATGATGGGAAAGTTTTCCGTGTCCGTGTAAAGGCAAAGATCCTGGCCGGCGCGGATAGCATTCCCGAGCCAGTTCCAGGCTGCCGACTTCAAGTTCATCTCGTCCAAGCAAACTGCAATGATGATGTAAGTGCGGGCGTCGTCAAGCGTAAATGCATTATTCCACGGATCAATCAGACCGCGTGCTGTGTCTAGCAGCTCAGCCACGCGGTGGGTTGTTGCGGGAGGGTCGAGACTGAAGAGAGCGCCAGCAGCCAGGACGGCGAAAAACATGGAAAGCCAGCCAGAAGGCGCCGGTCCGCGGGGATTCCTGTACAGGTCATCCACCGTGGCACGAAAGGTTGGCAGATGAACGATTGGGAACATGGTGTGCAGCGAGTTGTAATAAGTGTGCAGGAGCTGATCTGCCAGGGCTCTTGGAGGAAGTTCCGGGATGGCGCAATCTCTAGGCGGGTTCGACAAGTAGCGATGCATCTGAGGAGGCTTCCACACGCCCTTTGCCGCACTGCGAAGGTTGGACCTAGCTCGGCCAAGTTCAGGCATTATCGGTCCACGTCGCTTGGGTCGCGGTTCGGGGTCGATGACGGGCATCTGGTAGAGCGACTGGTCGCCATTCTCACCTTCCATGTCCATGGAGACATCTCGATCCTGGAGCATGCGCCGCAGCTGTGTGTTGTCGCGTTTGACCCGTTCAATTTGTTTCTCGAGATCTTGAACTTGCTTAATAGACGACATTCGACGATTCGTTTCCTTGGTGAACTGGCATTTGACGTTGCGACTTGAACACTCGGAGCAGCTGGCAGTTTCGGTAGCATCGCATTTGACCTTGCGCTCCCGGCAAGCATCGCAACTGGGGTCTTTTCTTCGCTGGCGATATGCTCGCTTCTGGGCCTGGGGGCCAAGGCTGCCGGAGAGAGACATGCTGTTGTGGTGCCCCATGGAGTCACTGGAACCAATTGATTCGCGGCCCATCATGCCCGACGGCACGGGCGAGTACGGCGGAAACCCATGATTGACCGAGGGCAGCGACGGCATGCCGCCGAGGTGCGGAGAGTGCGCAGTCAGCTGAGGCTGGCGGCTATGACTTAGCACGCCAGTATACTGGGAATGCGGTCGCGGAGACGTGGCCGACGAGACAGACGAGGAATCATACGATCGTGTCGAGAGATTCGGGGAGCGCGGGTATGAGCTGTGAGCCGTCTCAGCCATGGTGGCTGACGGGGTGGACGGGGTGGACGTTGGGGGAAGGCGAAAAGAAAGTCAGCTTCAACTGAAGCGCGATGTGAGAAGGATGTCAAAGACAAGTGTCGATTGGGAGGCCGACTGCGCGGGGAAGCCAAAAGCGTAATGCGATCGCTGTGGCTGTTGCCGTTCAAGCGGCCGAGTCGGCGGCGACGGGAGTCGTGCTGCCAGCCGAGAAAAAAAAAAAAAAAAAAAAGGTCGAGGACGAGGACGAGGTACGGCTAGGACGGGACTGGCTGTCGCAGAGCGAGCACAAAGAGATATGAAGCAAAGACAAGTTGTGTGTGCTTGTCTTGCGCCAAAAGGGCGGCAAGTCGCACTACGGAGGCACAGCGCAAAAGAACCGCGAGATACAGCGGTCGGTCTTGCGATGCACAGGTCAGGTAGCCCGTTGCCAGATTCCAAGGTCCGGCAGTGTTCAGTGTTGTGCCAGGGGAGACGCGATTCAAAGTGACGCTGGGGGCTGGGCCACGTTGATACGCTCCAGCAGGCTGCCAGGTTGGTGTTGCAGAGGGAGGTGAATGCGGGCGACAAGTTTCGGATCGATCGAGGCGAGCAGTTACTGGGAATCGAGGTCAAAATCTTGCGCGGCGAGATGAGAAAGGGACAAAGGGACAAAGAGAAATGGTGTGACGGATGATGCAAAGGCAAGCGTCGACATCGGCCCCTCCACGTATGTACGTACATGGCAGAACACAGACTCGGTACCGTGGCCCGTTTGGCTCACTCACGGAATGCGGGAGCTCCGTGGAAGGTTTCGGGGTGATCGGCTGGGGGCCCTTCTTTGGCTCGTCTAGTTACAATCGGAAATATTAACTATTCAGTGGTCCGCATGGGAGGGGACGGGAGGGGGTGTGTGTGTGTGTGTGTGTGTGTGTGTGGTGTGCGGCGTCGAACAAAAGTCGCGGCCACTAATCAGTAGCGTGAGCAGGCGTTTGTAGCAGAGGGAAAAAGCTGCCGAAAAGTCAGTCAAGGTATCAAAATGATAGAGCACTTGTTGTAAGTTTGCTCCAACTGCATCCATGTGTGCGCGTGGCGAGGTGCCATGTCAGGCAGCCTAGTTGGAAACCCCGACTGCGTGTGAGGCGGGCAGAGTTGAGATCAGCTCAACGCCGCTAACATGTTTCGAGTTTGAGGCGGTGGCTACCAGTAGCCTGCTCCTTCCCGGAGAGACAAGCACCCCTGTTCTCGGCTCACTGGCCCTCTTCATTTAGGGTATCTGCTTGTGGCCGGCACCTACGGATACCTTGTATCGCTTCATGGCGGAACGGGGTGTGTGCCTTGGGCTGGGTCGTCGGCGGCAGCACAAACCCACGAGCTAAACACAAGTTGCTCCGACAGCCCCAGTAGTTACCATGTCAGCTTTCGCCGCCACGGCCGGCATCTCTCTCACCCTACCGCCCGCCGGAACCACTGGATACGCTATCATGCCAGGCGTATTGACTCGCAACCTGGTCCTGCCTTATCCCAGCCTTCAATGCTCGACTGACTGGACTGCATACCAGTAATGACTTCAACTGACTGAAGATATGGGGTCGACGCCGAGACTGGAGCCCCTTTCGGCCTTTGATTCCGATTCACTGTTACCCATTTGACAGTCAGCTCCGCCAACCAGGGCAGCATGTACCTGATCCCGTGCCACAAGACAGCTGCCGGTCCATGTCTGGGCCGGCCGTCCCGCCCCTCTTGCTAATATACCAGTGGACCGTTGACGAAGCGGAACTCTGCCGAGCATCTTGCTGAACTCTCTTCTCTACTGGTACATACATAGTAGCGCCAGTCAGTCATGACAGACTCGGTGCCTGTGCTTCCATCCCAAGAGTTTGCGAGACTTGGTGAGAGCCGTAACTACAACAAGCCTTCAGCCCACAACTCCAAGGCACGATTCTTTTGCACCCAAGGCGCTATGTGCTGCACAATGCTGCAGCAAAACTAGCCCCTGCTTAATGGCCGTCGGGCCAAGATTCGGCATCGGCATGTGGTTCTTTCGCTCGACCGCTCCAGAAAAGATATGCGCGAGACAGCAACCTGGCTTGTTCATGGTTGGTGGCGCAGAACCGATGGCCCTTTTAATTCACAGACTTTGGCTAGCCACCTACATAGCCGTGTCCACGATTGTGTCGAGGCTGTCGAACTAACTACACATGGCCCGCGACTTGTGGCTAGGCGTGCGTCGACCCTCAGTATGTACGCACCAGTGCGACGTATAGTTCTCCTAAAATGATACACATCGTAATGAGTCGGACAGGAGCCGCGCATTGATGCAAATATAGGTTTTCCGCCAAGATCTGCCCCGCGAAAATGACATGTACATTTGTGGCGAATATGCGTCATTGGGTTTCTAAATGAATACCGCATGGTGGCTTGATGTCTAGCTTGAAAGTGAGTTGCGTAGTCCGTCCATTTTACGGCCATGTCTCTCTTTGAACAATCGGGCTTCTCTAGCCGTCTGGGTCTTGGCGTCTTGGTCTCCGGCGTCTGGATGTCATTCGGCATTCAACTTTGGCCAGTCAATGCTTCCGAAGTGACCTGATCTCAGTAATCCCGCGAGTTGCTCTAGGCGATAGCGGATGCGGTGGCTGTTTGTGGCTTGCACAGCGTTGTCTACCAGTTGAGCAGGCGTCAACGTTGGCTTGTACGACTCCGCATGGGCGGTAAAGAGTCGGCAGCATCCGGAAGGACTGCCATCTTCTCAGTTGCCCCAAGATTTTTTGTTGCCGTGAACCGAGTGAGCCGCTCGCTTCCTAGAGCCTGACTTATCAACGACTAACTCTTAGGCTTGTGGTGACTTCATGCGAATCGAGGTAATGAACAAGGCCATATGTAGGCTTGGTGGGAGATGCTTCAAGATAGAACACTTGCTTTGCGCGATTTACTGAATCGTTGTCAAGGATGAGGATACTACGGGTTGGGCCCTTGACGGACCAGTTCAGAAATGGAGGGGTCATCAAGCCTTGGGCCACGGTCAATATGAAAGGCAGCCCAACGCTGCTTGGCTGGCTGCTGGTCGTGGGTAGTAGGCCGCTCTGCTTGATAGTTCATCACGCCCCATAAGGCACACTGGTAGTCTATGCCCGGACTTCTTCGGCTGAATGCTAAACCCAGAATCAAAAGTGTTGGTACATACATATATGTATATCGGCGTTGATCCATCTACCGAGACGAGGCAATGCACTGTCTGCCGGCAGGCAGCGCTCGGTAGGCTCCGTTTGATGAGGAATTCAAGACAGGCGGAAGATTGGGCGCGTGCGAGGCAGAAGGTTCCACCAAAACGGTCCCCCAAAACAACTTGGCACGCGGGATTGGAAGACGAAGGCGGGCCGGAGAGTTTGTCGCGACGGTGGCTGGAGTAGCTGGCCTAAACGGATGGGTCCTTGATTCAACTAGGACGGATAGGCAACCCGGCCGGCGAGCTGACGCCAGGCGGAACCGAGATCAGGCATGATTTTAGCTTCGGTGATGATAGGGGTGGAGGCCGAGCATGAAGAATGTATAGAGTCTAACTAGGGAAAAAGGCATATCAGTATGGAGTACGAAGTACGGATACAAACAGTGAGGCAAGGCTGGGGCAGGCAGAAGTGACAACTGATAGCAATAGCGACCAAGAACTCAGGAATGTTGACTTTGTCGAAATCGGAGCCTTTCCCGATGGACCAGAAGTTGGAGTCGTCGAGGACAATGATGGGGATGTGGATTGAAGGGGTTGAATGGGTGAGGAGGGGGATGCGGCCTGGCGACGGGGGTAGGGGAGGGGCCGGAGCTGGTGGTTCTTGCCTGGCTGATTGGTTGAAGCTGGCCGGCGGCCTCCCGAATGACTGGGGGTTTGACGCCAGCGCAGCGCATGAGCGAGTGAGGCACCTAAAAAAGCCAGGAGGCGGCCAGGCACAGGGTCACCTTCTGCGGCCCTTGACCAGGCTTTATCACAGGGCCTTTCACCACAATGTTGTCCACAACGGGGCGGGGTATGTACCTGCTGATGCGCTGGAGACGTGGTTCGCTGGAGACGTGGTTCGCTGGAGCTCGGTCATTTCCCTGTAGTTCTTCGTAACTAGGTAGCTGAAAGCGCTGTCAGGCCTGCAGATTCCCACCAGATCCCCCCCTGTGACTTCCGGAAGCCCCCTGAAATCACCTTCCCCGTTGGGCCTGGAGCGCTAGGCTTAACGCGCCGTCCCCTGTAAGGAGCTGGGAATAGCAACAAGTCCTGGGAAGTGTGCAAAGTATTGAGACGTTTCTACTATCTGTTTGTCAGAGATGACTGATGAGTCCTTTGGCGCTGGCCCTTGCGGATGACCTAATCTGTACAGTCCTTCATGTTTGTACCGCGGAAAAACAGCGCAAGGCCAAGGATCTAGGTAGGTACCTATGTACGGAATAATCAACAATCGAGATGAACCATCTAATTCGTAATTACCTCCGGATCATTCGTAGTTACTATTGGTACAGTACTAAATTTAAGGTAGCCGAGCTTTTCAGCGCGTTTGCGCAGGCATCCTCCGATCGGGTAGGCACCTAATTGGTGGTACCTTCGGCATTGCTGAACCTGCTACGCACCACCAGAAGTCTCACCCACCCATGGCAAATTCTTCCTCCCACATCCCTTGATACGCAGAACACCGCTCGTCCCCTCCAATACATGATGCCATCTCGCCAACGCTAACTAGCCGGCGCCGCCCATCTCCACCACTATTTAGCATCAAGACTCATACGCCGTTTGCCAAAGAGCCCACGCAATTTGATATTTATTAGGCCCGCGAGCGAGGTAGACCAATGCGCCCACTCAACGCAGGGGTCGCCGGCTCCAAGTGATGCCCTAAGGCATCTCTCTTTATCAGACGACGCCTTTCGGTAACGAGCCGACTTGCTCACTTGATAACTAGCATGTTGATTAGAAAGTCATTCGTCCGTCACACGTTCTGCCAACAAGTCTCGAGCCCTTGTCCTAGTCGAAACTACATCCACCCGTCCACATACTCACCGCTTGTCCAGCACCGATTCGAGTCTTCGGTCATTCTTTTGCATCTATTACTTGTTTCGTCTGCTCGGTCCAGTACCTGAGCACGAAGCACAGGACACTGCCATCGCCAGCCTTCTCTGCGGCTGGCTCGGGCGGACGGCACCAGATCCTGTCCGTCATCTGGCCCAAGCTTCCAGTCGCAGGCCCCCCTGCGCCGACTACTTCCAGAAACACTTGTCCAACCTTCCACGGCGCCATACGGAGTGCGGGAATCCTAAGTACCTAACTAGGTGCCCGCGCAAGCCTGTCGGCTACAAGCCTACGAATGGTGGTGTCCACCTGCCGATCCGCACTCTCTGGCGCACCGTGAGAGGGCTTGAGAGCTTTGTACGAATACAAGACCCCCTGAAAACAACTACATTATGAGCCCACCCTTGTACTAACTAGTGGAGTCCAACACCGATGAGCCGGCTATTCAGTCGCCAGCTGACACTGTCGTGCTCTCGCGGATCCAGCACGAAAGCATGAGGAGCTACAGACTACTCCGTAGTTATCAGTGCCGAATTGCTATTCCGACTCGGTACTCATGTCGGTCTCGCTCCTGTGCTGAGATAAACCATCGCCATATCCATGGCAAACCATGGGTTAATTACGTGACTCCCGAGGTCCTGGTCTAGAGGATCGGGCGATGCGACGGAGAGACGTGGTTCCCTCCCAGGCTAGCTCGCCTTCGACGCAATCTCACAGACACTGCGTTTTGAGCAGCGTCGCACTAATGAATTATTATTAACACTGCGAATTGCAAGTTTATTCTCACCAAACAGGACTCGCCAACCGGCCGCGCGGCTAGCTCAGCGTCTTCTGGCCGCTGCGGCCCTTTTCTGGCTCATTCTGATGGCTGGCGTTTGATGCGACACGCCTGTCCTACACAGGAAGTACCTGGCCATGATTTTGCTCGACTACTGGGCTTCAGCGCCATGACTTCGCCTAGAAACCTATCCCAGCTCGTTCTGTGTCCGCCGCAGCGTTGCTTCATCCTGCTGGGTTCCCGAACCTGCGTACAGCAGGCCCTAACGGAGCCGTTGCGGGCTATGGACGTTTTTTCGGCCTCGTTGCCGAGTGGATCGCATGCACATGCTTGCAAACCGGCAATCGCGCGTGTCGACCCAAGCATCATCAAACTTTACAGCACGATGCAACACCGAAGAAACGACAAGTGCCGATTTCCTTGTCAAGAAAGATTGACTGGTACAGGTTTTTCAGCCGTCTATCACGAATCCGCGGAACTTTATGACACGAGATACCCTCAAGATCGAGAAACTGATATGATAGGCTGCACTCCTGCCCGCCAATGTTACAGCCTCGCACGACCCCGACTAGCATCTTGGCACCAAAATGTTTCTCGGTTATAGACATCGTAGTGCAGATCGGACTGGGAGCAGATGCTCAAAATTGACAGCTTGTATCCGTACCTGTGGTCAACAGGCGCATCGCGGTCTTCCCTTGTTCTTTACGGGCTAGTTGGCTGTCCGATTGGCGGCGGAGGTTGGTGACTGCGAAACTGGAGCCATCATCAAGACGTAATATTGAAAAGTCCACCTTTTTCAAATTCTCTGACAAGATCGAATGACTTCGAGCCAGTTCAGCTCGGTATGCCAACATCTGCAGTGTGTCGGGCACTCGGTTCACATAACTACCCTGTCAGTGGCTTCAGCCCCGCGCTGATCCCTCGGAGCAATGACAGAACTTGTCATTACTCAACTACGCTAGATGGCTAGGTACGGGGACACTTTATAAAGCTGTCATTGAGCAATTTGGCTGATGCTAGTCGTGGGGACTAGTGTGTCGCATATCAATTCATCAAGACGCTCACGCAAGCCACAATGGCAAGCCAAGTTTCCAAATACTCCAGCAACCTAGAGTACAAATTACTAACTATCGTGATTCTCTCGCGTCAGATTCAGAGAACATCTCGCAACACCCTCGAAGAAAGATATCTCCCTAACGGCACGGGGCGAGACACCCGGTAGAGCTACAGAGGGTTTCGATACGGTCTGCCCGATCTACTTCCGCTCGCTACATATATCCTTTTAGACAATGGCGGCCGCCAAGGGATGATTGAGATATCTACTCGTAACATGCGTAACGTGCAACAACATCGACCACTTGTGGACGCTTATTCAGAACAAGGAAGGGTCTGAGACGATGGCTTGCACGAGCCAAGAAAGACCCACCTATCAAGATGGAAGCCAGTCAAGAAAATAAGCTGCGGCGCCGGCTCGGCAAGCAGGCTGCACGGCTATCCCGCCAGCCCCCCAGCCCCCCCGCCGACTGCACTTGGTTGCTCCCCGGGGTCAGATTGCGTTTGCTGGCGTGTTGGAGCTTAATCCCCGCCACAGCAAGGGTCTGCCACAAACGGAGCCGAGTGTTGTGCGCATTCTGGGGTTGGTGGCTGCAAATGGTGGTGCCAGTGCCGGCTCCCTGGTCTTGGCGGCGACCCTGTGCGTTGGCGCTGAGGAGCTAATGACTCTCGCACACAGCTGGGACAGGCCATCTGCAGAAACTGTGGTGTGTGGTGTGGTGATTTGGCTCATGGCAGACTCAATACTACGGCGACTTGGGCCCGGCGCCATGCTGTCCAAGTAAAGCCCCAGGGCGTCAACGGCAACGGCAGCATGGCCTGTTTCAAAAGGTAGGCCAGATTTCTAATTTTGCCTCGTATCCACCCAGCGAACGGGCAGGGTTGAAATGTTGTGTGGAGGGATAAGCTCTGCCAACCACTGGCTGGATTTGCCGTTTCGGCCGAGCTTCCGACTAGACGGATTCACCATCCTGGCAATCTGGGTGCCAGGGAGTCTCGGCAGCAAGCCGGGTCGGAAACGGGAGACACCACTTGCCAGTTGCCAGTGGACCCGCGACTGGTTGCAAGAGTAGAGGAGGGGAGGGGCTACGTCGCATTCCCTTTACGGCATTGAGTCCGTTGCGGCAGGCAGTTGGTGTAGCTTCCTCAGCATTCAGTCTTGAGTCTTCGGGTTTATTATGTTCGTCGAAGTGAGACCGGTGAGAAACGAGGGTGCATACTCACTGGTACCAGCAAAGCTATACGCAATGAGATACTATTACGTATCATAGGACCAGCACCAAATCTAACCCACGACGCCACGGAAGAATCAAGAAGGTGACGGCCATGCTTGTCGGGTACTTTCCATGACACCCATGCGAGTGCAAGACTTCGGGCAGCCTGACTTGGCTTGGCCTAGCCACGACTCACGACCAAGAAAGCAGCTTCTCAACCTGGGATGGGGGTGCGCGAACCGCACTAGGAAGAATTGAACGAGTAAGGACCGAGTTATATGTCATATTTCATCAACTTTTGGACGGGAGAAAAAACGACATGTTTAGCTTCCCTCGACCCCCCTCTTGGCGCATAAATCTGCCACAGGTCAAAGACCACGAAACCGGAGACCCGGCGACAAGGCTGCGACTCGCACGACAACCAAGCATGCCTCCTCGGTTCCGACTATAGGCAGTTGCCTAGCTAGGGATGCAACGCTGCGGGAAAAAGGCAGGACAAGCTGGCCTGTTTTAAGCTCAACGGGGACCTGAATTCTAACTATTCTAGCCCCCCTCCCCCCCTCCCGCCAAGGCCCAAGGCGTTTTTCTCTCGTGCTCCTCGTTTCCCAATTACACCCGGAACACTGTCCTGGCCCGCTCCGAGGAGGGGTTTCGGGTGCTTGCCGTGTCTTGCCATTCACCTACCGGAAGTTGTTGGGTGTGCAGCGGCGTGTCACCAGCTGTGTGCGTGCCTGTGTTGCCGCCAACGCACAACATGGGTCTCGGGCGGCGCGCGCTGTCTTTCCCAGCCGGATAGGGAGGACGCGCGCCAGGCAACGGCGGCGGCGGCGGCGACTCTGCTCGCCCATGTGTGCCACGGAACACGGAAAGCCTTCGTCCCTCCCTCCCCCCCCCTCCCAGAGCTTGCAGAGCAGAGGGCGCTGTTTGGAACTCGGAGCGGGTGCACCAGGAGAAAGTTTAAATTGCATTTCGTTGGGGCACCACCACACACGCCCGGCAGCGCCCGAGATCTTCCTTGGGGTTTGTTCCTTTTTCCCACCCCACGTTGGAAGAGCGTTGTTTGCTTCTATTTCTCGGGCTGATAGCCGGGCGGGTGGTTGGTGTCTGTCGCGTGCGCCGCCTCCCCAGTTGCTGCAGGGTACAAGAAGGTGAAGAGGGTGTGAAGGGGGCATTTATAACCGTGTAAACAGTCAATTCTTATACTGTGCGCGGCCGAGGGAGAAGATTATTGTAGTAGTCGACAACTGGATTCTGCTTTTTTTATACTGTGCTTCGTAGTCTGATGGTTGGCGCAAGCTGTGTGGAAGCACCACCGCAGCACCACTGTAGCACCACTGAAGCACCACCACCAGTAGACGTTGTTGATGTCCACCACGCCACGCATGCCTACGAGTAGATAAAGCTCACGGTGTATACACTGCGAATACAATTATTCCTGACTCATCATAATCTTGGTAATGGCTACACCTATTCCATTTATTTCAAGAAAAAACCCCGCGTTGCAGCACGTAGATGCACCCAACACCAACCGAGCAAAATCTACAACGCAAAAAAGGAAAAAGCCCCAGCATCTCTACATTAACAAAAAAAAAAGGCAAGAAAAACATACAGTCTAATCTTCCATCACCCCTCTGTTGTATCCATCGGCTCTTGGCCTGCCGCGCGGTTTGCAGCCAACTTACTCCTCGCCTCGGCCATTTTGTCGTCGCGCCAGGCCTCGATTTTGGCCTTGAGCTCCGTCTGGGGCACGACGTCGTCGACCGTCATGGGCTGGCGGGTAAAGGGATCTTTGGGGTCGCTAAGGAGGTGCTGGACAATGGTGGAGCGGTCGACGACGTGCCTGGACGGGAGCAGGACCGGGTCGCGCATGAGGTCGCCCATGATGGGGTCCTCAAACTCCGGGGGCACGTCGCCGAGGTCAAGCTCGGCCTGGTCGAGCTGCGCCTTGGCTGAGCGGAAACGCGCCTTGAGGCGCTCCCAGCGCGCCATGTCGGCCGGGTCCTTGGTGTGCCGCGAGGCGAGAATCGTCGTCACGCGGTCGAGCACCTCGGGCTTGTAGGAGCGGCCGTCGGCCGCGACCGCGTCGACAAAGACGGGCGAGCTGCCTAGGTGCAGGTAAATCTCAACGAGGTCCGACAGCAGCTGGATCGGGCGAAAGTGGTACTGCTCGCGGTTGTCCACATTGAGCTCGGCAGCGGCGCGCTTGCCGGCGAGCGTCTCGAGGTTGTAGTTGAGCATGCTGGCGAGCCGCGACACGATCTCCGGCATGGTAAAGGCGTCGCTGAGCGCACTGGTAAAGAGCTTCATCATCTCCAGCGTCTCATTGGCGAGCTGCATGTATGATGTGGCCTGGTTGCCGAGCGTCGAGAGCTCCTCCTGCTTGGCCTGCCGGTCCTCGGCCGTCAGGTGCTGGTCCTTGAGCTCAATCTCGAGCGCGCGCATCTTGGGAAACTTGGATAAAGCCTCGTCAAGCACGTACGTGGCGTCGTTGAGCAGCATGTTAACAAACTGCACAAAGAAGCCGCGGTTGATCCTGCACACACACATCTTGTTAGTCGGGTACAGCCAGTAGGTAGGTACCTAGGCATGTTTGGGTGCTACGTACTTGCTTTCGCGTGTAAGCTGCTGCTTGTACACGTCATTGGACCACACACATTTGATGACCTGAAAAATTTCGTAGCGGATATTGAACTTGTCGTAGAACGCATTGTTGCCCGTCGACTCGCACTCAATGTAAAACTTCATGAGCGCGTGCAAGAGGTACTCATTGGCAAACGGCAGCGACATGAGCTGATCGCCGAGCACGCCCTTTTTCAGGTGCAAAAAGTTCCACGTGCCGTAAAACAACAGCGACACCAGCGAGGACTTAAGATACGGGTTCTTGATCCAATCCGACGAGCGCAGAAACGTAATGCACAGGGCAATCATTTCCTCGCCGACGGCGCTGGGGAGAATATTGGGCAGCCACTTGAAGACAAACTTGAAGTTGTCGACAATGTTCTGCAGCGTGTACTCGGGAAGGCACGCAAACGCTTCTTGGTTCTCCTCTGGCAGAGGGAGCTTAACCATCTGGCTCTCGCGGCCTGGTTTGTAGTCTTGGCCAGTGGCCAGGCGCATCAGCCAGACGGCCACGTAGCGCATGAACCGGAGGGATGTGCTCTGCATGCGGTCGTCCAGTAGTACACCTTCTATGGCGTGACGCAACGCCATCGTCTTCTCCAAAACATTCACGTGACGCGACATAGTCTCTTCGAACACGGCCTGTTGCTGTGGGGTCCTGGTCGCCTTTTCGCGCTCTGCTTCCATGGCCTGAATGCGAGACGCGAGATACTTTATATCTCTGCCCAGGTTTTTAAGCTGAGAGTTGAGAGCCTCGCTACCGTAGTGATGCGCTGCCAGGGTAAGGAAGAATGCCTCTGAAATAAAGTTGGATCCCTCTTCGTCCACCTTGGTCTCGTAGTATTTGTCGGCCGTGGCCTGGTCGGCGTTGATTTTGGTCTCGTCGTTGATATCCACACGTGGGCTACGCCGTAGGTACCGGATGTCGATCTTGTCCATCTTACTAAAGTCGTTGTCCATAAACGGTTCGCAGAATCGATCCATGATTGTGCTAATGTTGACCATGAAGCCGTCCGAAGCAACAACACGGGGGTCGACCTGGATGGCCCTTCGCTTGTGATTTGTGTTCATAATGTGCGCGAACCAATTCAGCGTGCAGCCTCTCGTGATTGGACCTGCTCTTATGAAGGCGTTGGCAATCGTAAAGAGGTCGTCTTGGTGTGTGCGCAGAACCATGCGGAGAGCATCCTGGGCGTTCGCGATGCGGCCCTTGTCGAGTGTTCGGGCACCGGGGAAGTAGCTCTTAATGACTTCGGGCTGGAGGGGGGAGAGGCGGAAGAAGGGGCCGAGCAGGGTCTCTTTTTCGATGTCGTGGGCGGGCGATGCCACATTGAACGCGGCCGTCTTGGATAAGTTGCCGACGAGAGTGGGAAATCGTGTATATGCGAGTAGGGCCTTGTTTGTTAGCAGAGACCTGGAGCGGAGAAACAATGGGCAAATACTTGAACGTGCGGCTTATAGTTGTCGCCCATGGACATGCGTGCAAGTTGCCTGCTTATGCGAACCATAGCGTTGTCGAAGATGGCTGGAAACTCTTCGTCTTCGTCAAATCGCTTGATAGCCTCCTGTATGAAATCAAAGCAAAGTCCATTTTCGTCGTTGGGGCCGCGGAGTAGCTGCGGCGCAATTGTATCGTGTTCGGGATTCGCAGAGCGTCTGTAAAACTAGTCAACGCCGGGTTGGCCCAAGTATCACCGGAAAACGTACCCGTAGAGATCCGGCATGGTAATGGCGAAGAGGCAGTTGCTCATGCACAGTCTCTTTGCCTCCTCGTGTACCCGATGCCTCGTCACGGAGCTCGTCTTCTGCGCCGCCTGCTTGACAGCACGCTTCCAGCACGGTAAGAGGTAGTTGAGGAGCGGCTTGTCCTCGGGCCAGCTGCTGCAGGCTTCGATGATGGCCTGGTCGAGAGTGGCCGTCGACAGGCGCAGGGACTCGCCCGCGGCGTTGAGTTCCTCGTTGAGGCCGGGTAGAAAGGTGAGGCGGACGCCGGCGGCGTGCGGGCTGCTCATGTGGTGGGGGTCGACAGAGACGCGAAAGACGTTGGTCAGGACGCGGTGCGTATACAGTTCGTCCGACTCGGCTGTCTGAGGCGCAGGCTGCTTGCGCGGGGGAGGCGGCGCGACGGTCGCGGCTGTGGAGCCGTCGTCAATCTCTTGTAAACTTCTTTTGCGCGGTGAGGTGGTTCTACCTGAGCCGGCCGGGCCCTTGCTGTCGCTCGGCTTGTTGTCGAGACCCATCTGCGTGAATGGGTTCGATCCAGAGCGCGCGGTGGGGGCGGCCGGTGTGATATTGATTTTCGTCTTGGATGCGGCTGCCGCGCTGGACGAGGAGGCGGTGTCTGCAGCCGCTGACTTGGGCGAGGCCTCGCCACCGGCGGTACTGTTGCTGCCACCATTATCTGGCTGCGGTTTCGGCGCCCCGAGCTTGGCTAGTCGACGGGCTCGAATCTGTCAGATTGGTGGAACCCACTCGTCAGTATTTGGCAACTTTTCGCAAAGAGTGCCGCGGGCTCGCATACCTGATCCATCTTCTCCTTGTCCGGCGCTTCGTTGCCGCCATAAGGTTGGTCATTGGGATCCATGGTGACGTGAGTGGGAAACGAAAGAGCACAGGCGGAGAAGGCGGGACGGAGAAGGCGGGACGGAGAAGGCAGGAAAAGACAACAGCGACGCTAAATGACGATGGAAAAGATACAACGAATGCCCGGGGGGATAAGGACAGAATGGCAGACTGCTAGGCCGGCTGGATGATGTCGAGAGAAGAAAGTGAGGCTTGGTTTGCTTCACTGGTCCAGAAGCCGACTGTGACGTGCTGAAGGTGGGATAGTGGGGCTTGGGGTGTTTGGTGGTTGCGTTGCACCTTCGACTGGTGGCTATGACTTGCGGTTATAGCAGCGAGTGTATTTTGTGATGCGAGTCCCGATGAGAATAATCTGGAGCCAAGCAGTCTCTATTTTCTGCTCATCATTGGTCCTCTGTGTGATTGTATGGGAGCTGACAGCGCGGCACGCGGGACGAGTCAAGGTGGAAGCACAGAGAAGTAGTGAACAACCCAAAATACCAAACGCCGAGTGCCAAAAGTTACTCTACACGGGATTATTCCGCTTATAATAAGACATCGTGGGGCATCTCGTTTAAAAAACTTGCATCTAATTATTACGCTGTGCCTGTTTTCGCCCCGGCTGACGCCTTCTCCGCTGCGGACCTGTTTGGAGCGGACTTTACTAGGTACCTCTTAGTAATTGGGCCTTGGAGCACCAACATGGACGATATCAGTGACGGTGCATGTATCTGATTATGTAGTTGCATCTTTGAATACCTTAAAACGATATTGGTAATTTCTATGAAGTTGAGAGATGGGTATAATCGTAGAGTTCCACCATCCATGGTGAGCCCTGTCAACTGACTCTCTGACTGTGAGATACATAAACGCAACCCGTTCAAAACTACACGTGTTCATTCTCCCTCATAGTCATGATATCAGACAATATTATAATCGCGGCACATCTGCATCCATGCCCGATGACCGCCTTCTCTCCTGCAGCATTGGGATGCCCTCCCCCGCGCTGTTCCTCCGTATGCCCGCCGCCGTTGCGACCGCGGCCGCTGCTGCCGCCGCGGCCGCCCCCGTATTGTTGGCCGCACGGATGCGACCCTCCTCGCGACTGCGGTTCAGCAGCCAGTTGACGTGCATGCGAATCATATTAATGTTGTTGCGGAGTTCCGTCACCTCCTCGCGGATCGGCATCACCTGGTTGAGGGTCCACATGCTCTGCCGCGCCTCGAGGTGCGTCAGGTTCTGATGGACCTCTTCAAAGCCCGCATCCAGGTCCTGCATCGTCCGGCAGCTGTCGCTCATGGAAGCCTCGCCGATGCCGCCGGCCGCACTTGCACCAGCCGAGCTGCCGCTGACGAAACGACGGCTGACGGACATGTCGTCCAGCTGGCGCGTCGTCTCCGCCTGTCGGGTCTGCAGGTCGCGGAGCTGGCTGCTGAGGTCGCCGTACGACTGGATCACGTCGCGCTGCGAGCGGATGATGATGCCCGACGGTGTTTCGGGGTGGAACGCGCAGCATATCGTGTGCGTGCTGATCTGCCCGCGCATGAGGCGGGCAGGACAGCCGAGATTTTGGTAGGGGCAACCGACTTCGACCCCGTCGCATTCGAGGTCCCGGTGGGCATCCATCTGTGACCGCACCACCATATCCCAGCACGCTTCGCATCTCGTTTTGCTCTTGGGGCAGGATAACAGGTGTACTTCGGAGTCCACCTCTTCGATCCTTTCCAAACACGCCGCGCACGACGTCTCTTTGTGGTGGCACACATCGTCGGTCGGTTTCGAGGCCAGCTTCTTGGTGCAGTCCTTGTCCGGACAGTAGTAATCCCGGTATCGACATTCACTGGAAGCATGCTTCTCAATCATTTCTCTGCGTAGCTCTTTTGTGCATCCTCTGTTGGTGTACGGGCACTTGACGACCAGCGCGTTAAGCTGTGTGCGAATGAGGCGGGCGGCGCTGAAGCAGTCTGCCCAGAAGAGCGGCTCTCTGTCAATGGGGCAGGCCGTACCAGACGGACTGGAGGCTATGCTTCGTCGAATACATCTGTAGCAAAATGTATGGTCGCATGGTGTCGTGACGGGGTCAACAAGCGGGTCGTGGCAAATCGGACACAGCAGGTTGGCATCCGGCTCCGCGACATAGGCCAGCGAGTACACGTCGAAGATGCACTGCCCACCGTATCGTTTCGGGATATCGAGCGACGACTTGTGCGGCGGCAGCAGCGGTCCGGAGCGGCGATCCGCATTCATCGTCGAGGCACTCCCACTCCCGCTGGCACCACCGCCGGCACCACCCGACGTGCGGCGGCGCAGGCCCCGCAGCGTGCCCCCCTGCCGCATGCGGCCGTGCAGCTCGGGCGTGATGTAAAAGGCCTCGGGCGACGGCGGGCGCACGAGGCTGGTGACGAGGTCCGGCGTGGCCGATGCGCGGCGCAGGTTGCGGCGGGCGAAGCGGCGGGCTTCGGCGGGCGTCATGCGCAGACCGTCGTCGCTCGAGTCGGAGCCGTAGTTGGGCGAGAGGGAGACGCCGAGGGATGGGCGCGAGAGGGGCACGTCGGGGGCTGTGGCGTTGCTCTCGCGCCGGGTTGGCGGCGGTGTGGTGCTGGCCATGGCTTAGGATGGTGTCGCTGATGGGACACAACGCGGGCGGTGAGAGGGCAGCAGCGTCGCGGCGACGAGCCTATTCATGTGCGAACGAAGATCAATTCAGTCGTCTTAATGAGAGAAAGCGGAGAATCAATCGGAGCCGTGTGGTGATGGCGCGGATGGAAAAGACTGGTCGTAGGGTAATAACAGATGCAAGGAGAGGAATGTCGCGATGACACTAGGTAGTGGCTTGTCAGGTGCCCAGGCTTGCTAGACGCTTCAGCCGACGCTTGATGGCCACTATAAAGCCGAGTACGCCGCTGTCGGCCTTTCTACCCCACGACAAATAGGGCTCGTCACCCCTAATAGATGGCGTAATTAGTATTGGCACTTATAGCATATTTTATTCCATGTCCCTTTTATTTCTTTCCCCTTCTTTTTTCTCCAAAAAATAAATAAATAACTCGGCCAAGTAAAAGGCCCTCTCTCCTCCTGCTGCATTCATTATGTAACTGAGCGCACTACATCGAAACAGAACCTCAAAACCATTAAAAGCAAAACCAATTGCGAGGGAATAATAATAATCATATCTTAGCATTTTATGCTCATCCACATATATAGTAAGCTGTATTCAATACTCCAAGCTACACACTACCATTGGGGTAGAATGACAACGGCAGCCAGCCAACCTTGTATTCGTCGAGACTCGCTGCCTGGCGACGTCCCTCGATCACGCATCCTGGCCTAAAAGGGACCAACTCTTGACTCAAGTCTAGCTTTTCACGAGCCAACACAATTTTGCCACTAAATTGGCCCTCCACATCAACTTGGAGCGAAATCACACTGCGGAGCGGCACCAACCCACCCTTCTGCCTGTCCCGGTCTTGGTGGAATCGTGATGGCGCTCAATATATTCGGTTTTTTTCTTCGACTTTATGTTAATGATTGCCCACCTCGAATCATATCCGCCAGGGCGTCAGCATACATCTGAGGAGTGTATTCAATACTAATCACGCCACCCCGCTTCCTCTTTTAAAAGATGCTTGCTTCAACTGAAACATGATAGACCCAAGGTTCTCATGTAGTGCTCTCTTATGAGACAGGCGCCAGGTTGCAACAGTTATCCAAATCCATATTATAAACATGATAAGAACCACAGATATTGAGATGAGGCAAGAGAACCACCCAGTCAAGGGTATAGTATCTGGAATCAGGTCATAGACCCGGGAGATGACAATGGCCCAGATTTCAAGGACGACAAAGTAGAGTAGGCCGAGCACCAAAAGTGCCGTACTAACGCGAGTCTTGGATGTCTCCTTCAGTTGGAGGTACAAGTCTAGCTGTAAACCGATCTCTGCCATGTGATCCTCAGTGTAAACCTATTCATCGAGGTCAGTATCGTCAGCCTTTCCAGACACACAACAGTTCTGACACGTACAAGGCACCTGTGGTTGAGGATTTGCGCTCTGACTCCCGAGTTTACTGGTTGTGAGACTATTCCGGGACTCAAATCTTGCGCGAGGAGGGGACTTGAGCATCGTGAATCGTTCTGAGGGGCCTGCTGAACGCGGACATTGCTCTCTGACTTTGCATGGACCGGGCTTTGGTGTCCACAACCCACCTTTTGAGCTTGCCACTTTTCATCGTTCGAATCAGGATCATGTTTCGCATCTATGAGTTGGATTAGAGAGGGTAGGCGCAGTGGGTACTGACTGGTCTTCCTACCGGTTTGCGCCTCACAGCCAGCTAGAATCGGCAAAGCAAGAAGAAAGACTGCCATGAACTGACCGAAACTAGCCTCGTCCTTTCGGAACTTATTCTTTAACAGGTAAAAAAGGACCTGGGCAAAACCAAACGTCCAATAAAAGGCGAGCCAGATGATCTGCCACAAGAAAGAATCCCACAGCTCCATGTGCAGGATCACAAGGTGCCGCGAAATAGTGGCCATGCGCTTCGGTTTCTTCCCCTCAAAGTCTGTGATCAAATCGACAGCATCCATATACCGGGATATGCCCTCCCCCAGTTCGGTCGCCGACATTTTGGGCGTCAAGCGTGCGCGTTCTGTGGCTCTGGCTCTGAGGTGCAGTTCAGTCGCGCGTCGAATGAATCCGTAGCCCAGCATGCCCACCATGATGACCTGATTTAGGAAGCGAGTCAGAATGACACGCCCGGACTTTCGCACAGGGATGAGTCTGAACTGGTGCCACGCGCACGCGAGGGTGAAGCTACTGTCCCTCTGAAACGAGTCGGCCTGTCCGACGATGAGATGGAAAGCTAAGTTGATCAACACGAACGTCATTATGCCGAGTCGGATCCAACGCAGTTTTGTGTGCTGACTTAGATTGTCGCGCAGAACCGTGACGCACGACAAGTGTGTCAGCGCGGCGAAGAAGGCGGACGCCACGGCAGTCTGGTACGAGTAGATGGACCATTTTTCTCGGAGGCTGCTTGTGCAAAAAATAACATCCGTCGATATAACGAGGGCCAGTCCCGTCACCAGCTGCTGATCGCTGACGGCCATGATGAAGCTCTCGTATACTCGGATCTTTCTCTGTCGAATCCTCGTCGTCATCGATCGTTTGAGGGAGGGGGGGCCCGAAAAGTCGGAAGACGCAGCCTGCGCCTCCACACAACGAGCCCTGAATCTCCGGCGGCAGCCTGGGATCTTGGACAGAAACGCCAAGTCCACCTGGTTGTAGCGGTCCTTGGGAAGCTTTGCCTTCAGATAGCCGACCATGATGGTGAGGACAGTGACGGAGACGGAGACGACGAACGACGCCACTACCTAGCGGTTTCTCTTAGCAAGCTTCACAAAAGTCATTGGGGAAGCTGGAATGAGAAAAACTTACGCCCCAGCCAGTGATATCGGGGTCAGGATCTGACTGCACCGTGCAGGGATCAAGCAGAGATTCTGATGACATGTTGCTAGATATTCAGAAGACGCTATGATCTAATGACTCGCAACCGCGAATGAATTGAAGGTGTATGATAAGACGTGAGCTGTAATCAAGTGGTCATGTTTCGTACCAACAACGTTGGGTTCTGCCACGCAACGCCTTTTGGATTCAACGCCGCGGAAGCAACCGACTTTAAGCATACACACCCCGCACTATAACAAGTCAATCCAGCCCCCTCGTCCAAAAGAAAACTTGGCATAGGCGGCCCTCAAGCCGTTTACCTGTCGCTTCCCCGGCCCCGTCTCTGCATATACCATTAGCATGGGTAGTAGGCAAGGCTGAGCTGACATGCTGCCCTCGTCCGGGCGCGTGAACAGCCAGTTACAATGGCCCCTAAATCCCAGAAGCAGAAACAATTCACAATTCTGTGGGTGCGTTATCGCATCAGCACATTGCTGTCTGCATGTCTCTGCCGCGCCTTCTATTTGCCTGACGGGCCCGAGTTCACCACGCCTTGGTTCGGTGTGGCGCTGCGCGTGACTAGCTATTTATATGATTTTCCATCACATTTTCCAGGAGAGCACACCTTTTGGGAGAAGAGAGGCGACAGGCGACAGGTAAGCCATACCGGTCCGGCTGTCTCTCCAGACCTCCCGATTGGACTGGCAGGAGAGGGCTGACGGCCAGCCATTGTCGGGCAGCCCCCCCAACCAGATAGGAAAAGGACAAGCTTGGGAATTGACACCTCTTTGGAGAATCAGCGGGAAGCCACACCTCAGCCTCGATTTTCTTTTTGCCCGACCATTTTGTGCAGAGTGCGATGCTGCATGTCAGCGAACGTTCCCTTGTCCCCGTGCGCGTTCCTATGCGGCGTTGATCATCCGTCAACATGCAGCCAGCCGTGTGGCAGTCTGCAGGCTGGGCTAAAAAAAAGTTGGCGAGCACATTAGATTTATACCTTTCCAGAGTTGAGACTTTTTTTAGAAGATCCACCTGCCAGACGGTTCACACCCCGGTCGATGTTGTCTCGGATGATGGCCCATTGCAGCCATGCTGGCTTCTTGCCCGTACCATCAACTTGTCGGATACAGTGTTACCGGCAATGATGTGAACATGGCGCAGATACAAAGCAATTGTCAAGGTCGGGAACAAGTCGTTCCTGGTATCCGACGCGGTTGCACGACGACGTGTGCGGCGTGAGACGACCAAGTGCAGTATTTCCATGAGGTAAGACAGGCCAGAGCCTCTGGCTGCATTGAAATTGAAAAGAACCAACCATCTACAGATTACTTCAGAGACTCTAGGTAAACCAACCTCCGTCGCATTTCGAGGCCAGGTATAGGTAGGAGCCCGCGAAGCGCGCCTCAAGGCCCCTGCTGCTCGCCTGCATATTCTGCGCAGACTCTGAATAAGGCTCTGGGTGGTCTCTATTATTACTGGCCCGTGGAATTTGAGACACCGGTAGGCGGCGCCTTCACCCCGGGCTGCTTATGCCGCAATGGCACATGTTGTGCCTCTTTTCTCGTCTCGGAGGCTGCATTCCGCCCTCTGCACAACCGGACCTCGTGGTACATTGGTGCCAAAGTCAGCCAGCTGCACTCCATCGGATCGATTCATCAGGCTGCGTTGGTCTTGGTCATCTAAGTAACTATCCAGCCTTCAGGTAGCAAGAGCTCGTAGCAGCTTGTAGGGAAGAGTATATATTGAACAACACCTAGCCGTCATTTGTGACAACCAAAGTTACTCGGTACGAAAACTGTAGTTACTGGAGTGAAAGAATGTGCTGTCTTAGGGTTATTATTGGACTACCCCGGACTGGTGGCTTGTTACCCCGGATGTACTTAGTACTCCGTGCAGTCCTCCGCTCCCCGCCTATTGCGACAGCCGCTATACTCAAGTTGATACTGCGAGGGAAAAAATGAAGAAAAAGAAAAGAAAAAAGAGTTCCTAATCTGTGAATAGAAATCATTCATCAGCCATACGCTGTGTATTTCGCACTTCCGCCACGTTCCCCGCCTGCTGCTGCCACCAACATGGATTTTCACATGTCAATTCAGCATCACTACAGTGGGTGGCACAGTACGGATCGTGCTCGAGTAACAATCAACCAACCAACGTCCCCCATCTTCCTCTGTAAAGAAAAAAATCGCTCTTACTTTTTTGAAACCCATTTCCAACTATCCTGCCAATTGTAGCGCAGCAAAGTCCTCCTCTGACACCCACGGACCCCTGTCCGCTTCCGTCACGCGGGGACGCCAAACTTTCACAAGCCAACCAACCTCCACAACACGATTACCAAGGGAGAGGACAAAGACCGCAAACGAGCGAACTGGGCCGGTTCTTCATCCTTTTTGCCTCTTCCATCACATCAAACCAGCACCTTGACACAGTTTACTCATTGCGCACAAACGTCGAAACGCATAGATAAGCTTGCTTTATTAGTCCTCGAGCGCATCACCAACAACCCTTACCCACGACGACGCTATCTATCTCCGTGGCTGCCTCACAATTGACACGTGGGCAGCGCCAATCCGTCCCAACGTCGAAATACATGATGAATTGAACCTCGCACTCTTCCATACACGACCTCCCCCCCTCCGAATTTTTCGACTCCAAACGTCCTTCCACAGCCGTTGCACCGCCCACCCCGGCGTTGTCGCCACCATGATCGACCACGTCCTGGGCCGGCCCTCGACCAAGTCGCGGCGCCTCCAAGTCCTCGCCGTGCTCTCCCTCTGGGGCCTCTACCTACAAAAAGGGGGTCGCCACGGGCCGCCTGGCCTCGGCGCCGTCTCCCGCTTCTTCAGCACCCGCCTGACGCCGTGGCAAGTCACCGTGCTCACCATGATGGCCATGTACGCCGCCCGCAACTTCTCCGCCCTCGTCGGCCTCGCCAGCCCCGAGCCCATGGCCAACATGTACGACACGACCTACTTCCGCGCCACCTGGGTGCTCACCGCCATGGACGCCGGCTTCTGGACCGCGATGCGCATCCGCTCCAAGTGGGCGCGCGACCTCGCCGGCGTCGTCTTCTCCATCTTTTACCTCTTCGCCGCCGAGCGCGCCGACGAAAAGGTCCGCAAGGTCCGCGGCGCGCTGACCGTCGAACACATGCGCGTCGCGTGGAACAAGGGCACCACACCGTACCTGCGTGTGCTGCAGAGCCTCATGCGCCCACGCTTCACAAAGTGGCCGCCGCGCCAGGTCCGCATCCCGCGGCCCGCCGGCAGCGACTACACCGAGCCCGTCGCCGCCTGGCTCTACTTTGACGGCCCGCTGGCTGACCTGGCCGGACACACACGACTGGTTCTTGATATCCCCGGCGGCGGCTTCGTCGCCATGGACCCGCGCTGCAACGACGACAAGCTGTTTGCCTGGGCCACCAAGTCCGGGCTGCCGATCCTCAGCCTCGACTATAAGAAGGCGCCCGAGTTTCCGTACCCGTACGCGCTCAACGAGGTCTTTGACGTCTACTCGACGCTAGTCCGCACGCGCGGTAAGTGCATCGGCATGGCTGGCGAGACGATTCCGAATATTGTCATTACCGGCGACAGCGCCGGCGGCAACCTCGCTGTGGCGGCGACGCTCATGGTGCTCGAGACGGCGAGCACGCCGTTTCGCAAGACGCCGCGCGGCAGCACGCTGCCGCCGCCCGACGGCCTCGTCTGCTTCTACCCGGCCCTGGACATGAATATTGGCAACTGGATGACAGACGAGCAAATGTCCCTCATCCGTGACCGCAAGTTCCGCAAGACGAACCTCGCCATTGTGCGCAAAAAGAGCCGCCAGTACACGGATGTAGTCGGCACCCCGTACCACTCCGAGGACGAGGACGAGGCGTCGCCCAAGGACACGTCCGACGCCAGCACCACCACCACCACCACCAACCCAATGGACAAGCTCGCAAGCTCCCGTCCCGAGTTTTCTCACAGCGCGCCGCAGCCCCCCAGCGTGCCGACGTCCCCGGCAGTAGCCATGACGGCGACGGCCGTGTCGCACCACCCCGAGCCGATGAAGACGCGCCTCGCCACGTCCTCGATGATCTCGTACGTCAACGACCGCGTGCTCACGCCCGAGATGATGCGCGCCATGATCATCCTCTACATTGGCGAGCACAACCGCCCCGACTTTTCGCAGGACTACATGCTCAGCCCCGTGCTCGCACCCGAGTACCTCCTCGCCCGCTTCCCCAAGACGTACTTCATGACAGGCGAGCGCGACCCCCTCGTCGACGACACCGTCATCTTCGCCGGCCGTCTGCGACGCGCCAAGGAGACGGCGATGGCGCAGCCGGGCCTCTTTTCCGAAGAGGAGATGGATGCGCACGGCGACGACGACGACACCGCGCCCGAGGTGGTGCTCATCCCCGGCGCCTCGCACGGCTTCATGCAGTTTCCGGGCATCTACCCGCCGTCGTGGCGCCACTTTGCCCGCAGCGCCGAGTGGTTTGACCAGCTGTTTCTCGAGGCCGACGAGGCGCGGGCGCGGGCCCGCCGCCACCGCCGCCGCCGCGCCGCTGCGCGATACGAGGAGGAGGCTGCCGGCCGGACAAGGGCGACCGCCGCCGCTGCGGCGGAGTCGAGCGGCGACGAGGACAAGCCACTCGAGATGAGCATGACCAAGCTGACCAGAGGCCGGAGCGCGACGGTGGGTCACGAGGAGGAGAAGAAGAAGACGAATGGGGACGAGGGGGACGAGGTGGGAGAGGATGGGGACCAGAGGCCGAAGCGCAAGATTAAACAGAATAAGAGCTTGCTGAAGCTGAAGAGTACGGATGATTTGCTGGGGCGACGAATGGCGGGCGTGGCGAGCGGGCTGACGGGCACGGGCGAGGAAGATTAACGTACATTAGACATTCTACAGTTCACATCACACACTTATGCTAGGAGGCTTTTTTTCTTCTTTTTCAAAAAGATGCATTTTGTTAAAATCATGGCCAACGAAAGTCACACTACTCGCCTCCACCATCCAGCTTTCCGGCATTAGAGCAGGAGAGCTTGAGGTGCCTAATACATTAGCTGCCCCCAGCACGCAGATTGCTCACATCCAATTCCCTTCCTGCCGACATTTGTGTTACGCGTCTCCTCGGCGCTATCTCATTAAGAATTCTCCAAAACAAACTTCGCACACCTTGAAGTCGCCGTTCCAGCCTGCATCGCCCACTTCGCCGCCGCAATAAGTGCACCGGGCTTTCCGTATCCTCGACGTCCTGCCCGAATTCTCGTGTTCAAAGGGATCCTCTCGGTGGTGTGCGCGGGTGGCAACGTGTGCCGGTCGTCGTGCGCTCCGGACGAGGGCTCACCAGAGTTACTTCTCTGTGGTGCCGTGTCAGTCAGTATACAATTCGGGTTCAAAGGAGAAAAGACGGACAGATCCAGTGACAGGAGTAGAGACGAGAGAAGAGACGGGAGAAGAGACGCTTACCGGCGTGATACTTGCCTTTGGGTTCCTAGGACGAGCATTTCCCTGAATGCCACGCCTTCTTGCACTTGACGCAGGTGTCTTTGCCGCAGTAGCTGCACGTCGCCGTGTCGCCGATGATGAGCGCCGGCGGCACCGACCGCCGGCAGCGCTTCCGATGGCACTTGACAGTGGGGAGCGCAAATTGCGCGTCAGAGTGCTTGCGCTGGCGCTCGCAGAACGCCACGACGTCGCTGTCGTGGGGCGGGACGACGCAGACGATTCTCCGAAGCGGAATGTTCACTCCGCAGCACCGCAGCGGGATCCGCAGACCCTCGCGCATGTGCACCTTGAGGATTCTGGCCATGCATTCGCCGCAGTAGTCGTGGGGGCAAATGCATTGGACGCGCTCCCAGCGCTGGCAGACCCGGCCACAGCCGCCCACGCAGTCGCGCTGCTCGCCCTCGGTGTCCTTCTTAAGGTTCGACATCTTGTAGATGAATTCAATCCACTCCTTCACTTTCACGTCGCTATGCCAGTTGTCGGCCCCGCCCAGGTAGTCCTCCCACCGCTCATCCTCCCACCACTTATCCCCCCACTTGAACTTTCCGTCAAAGGGGTTATTAAAGCCCTCGTCCTTCTCCTCCTTCTTACCATCGCCTTCGTCCCGATGCGGCATCGTGCCGGAATACTCGCCGTGTAGAGGGCACGGTCTTGGGGAGGAAGACTTTTGAGTATTGGTAACGGGTAAAGAGGGGTCAGGCTCAATAATGTAGGTCGTGTGGCGAAGCGCGGCTTGTATTTTGGTGTCTCTTCGTTTGAAGACCATGGTGAAAGGGCCGAGAGGAAGGAGGCGTTCCCAGGTGGTCTTATATACTGCTCAACGTCAGAAGTGAAGGGCTGCCTGATGGGGTACAAGGAGAGCATCTGCGGCTTGTGCAAGGTCGGGTGAGACCGCCTACCTGCGTCTGGACTTGGTGAAGGATAGATGAAGGAGGAATTCAGGTGGTGTTGTTTCATGTAACGCTCAACGTCATCAGTGAATGGCTGCCTGACGGGGTTAAAAAGAGGGCATCTGCGACTTGTGCAAGGTCAGGTGAGAACGTCTACCTGCGTCTACCCGGTTTCGGCGCTCTTCATCAGGCGCAGAGCTGCGCAATGTGGAGAGAGAAACACTTGAACGATAGTCTCTCGTACTTTATTTCGTTGCAGCATTTGAAAAGGCCATTATTATATTACACGCAGACAACTCTTGTGGGAGAAGTTGTTGGTGGGTTCGCTGTCGGTGTTGATGAACATCGTTTGTGCTCTTACTACCTAGGCAGCATGTATTCAAGGGTTGGTGTTACATCGTTTGTGCTCCTACTAGGCAGCATGTATTCAAGTGTTGGTGTTGAGGAACATCATTTGCGCTCTTACTAGGCAGCCTGTACTCAAGTGTTGTAAACAGTCTTGAAACCTCTTTGGGGGACCAACTCGTCTCTTTATGCGCTGGTACTCACAGTAGAAGCGCACAGTGTATCCTGTTAATTTACACTGTCCATTTACACTGTTCACCTTTTTAGTTTCACTTAGCGACTTGTTTATAAATGATTGTGCATTCTTGATTGTTCTTTTCTTGGTACATTCTTTTTCGATATTGAAGCGGTCTTTGAGAGCTCGTCACACTAGCTTCGGCAGGGTTGGTACAAGTTGACAAAGGAATGACGTTGTAGTCGGCAATCACGGATCAACGATCCACTGCTGTAGAGTATAGTATGGATAAGACGAGGCGGCGCAAGCCAAGGAGCTGGGGTTTTAAACTTTGTCTTTTTTTGGCCAAACTGCAACTAGAATAGTATTGCTGGAAACGGCCGTTCCTCGCGGTTCATGCTTGGCAGCGTGAGACCAAGACCACGCTACGCAGAAGAGATAAACGTACAGGGTTGACTGGTAAAAGCCTCACTTGGCAAGCAAGCTGAATCGGGCACCCTTCTATCTGAAGCTGTCCCGTCTCCATGGTGGGCGCGCCTAGCGTAGCCGTGTGATCCGAGGGGTGCATAATGGCGTGGTCTACAGCCAGCAGGGATGCCATGCTCTTGTTACGCTGTCCATGGTCAGAGGTCTCGGTAAACAAGGACGGGTCCTAGATTCTGCGGGATGCGACTTGAGAAGATGAATGAAATAATGAAAGAAGACGTGGGAAATTAAAATAGAATCATCAAAAGCATGGCCGACGGAAGAAGAGATTGGCGATGAAGCCGCGTCTTGCCCCGCCAAGGTAGCTCTAGGTGCTGGGTAGCTCCAGACGCTAACGAAGAACTTATGCTACTCGTCGCCACCAGAGTTTTGACCATGCCATGCTGGCAATGGCAGAGCTCGATTGGCTCCGGATTGATGTGCCATTTGTACTTTACCGGTGGACCCGAGATGCATTCTGGTCCTTTCGTGGCGGTGTCGAATTGGGCCAGCCGGGTGCACGACGTCGGCCCGTGGCTAACACGGCCAGCCATCCATCAGCCATCAATCATCTCCAGGCGAGATCCCAAGAGAGGAGCTACCCCTCCCCCTCCCCCTCGTTTGTTAAGGTTTACAGCTCCCCCAAGCTCCCTCCTCGCCCCTTCTCTTCCTCTCTTTGATTTTCTTAGATTCTTCATCTTTACTCCCGATACCCAATTCGCAGCATCACTGTCATCACCATGGTTCATCTCTCCCGCGTTCAGACCGGCCTCACGGATCCCAAGGGCGCCGCCGCCTCGGACCTCCACCACAAGGCCGCGCAGCTGCACCTCGCCGAGTACAATGACGAGTTTACCACGTCCGTCTACGGCTCGCGCTTCGCCCGCGAGGACCTGCCCAAGAACTGCATGCCCGAGGGCGAGATGCCCAAGGAGGTGGCCTACCAGATGATCAAGGACCAGCTGAGCCTCGACGGCAACCCCAAGCTCAAGTGTGTTCCCTCGCCGTGTCCATCTGTTGAAGCTTGCTAACACCAGCTACAGCCTGGCTTCATTCGTCTCGACCTACATGGTGCGCACCCGCTCAAATCTACCGCTCGTAGAGTGGGCTGTACTGATGATGCAAACAGGAAGAAGAAGCCATCAAGCTCATGACCGACGCCTTCCCCACCAACTTCATCGACTACGAAGAGTACCCCTACACCGCCGACATTCAGAACCGCTGTGTCAACATGATTGCCAACCTCTTCAATGCCCCCGCCGAAGACGCCATTGGCACTTCCACTGTCGGCTCCTCCGAGGCCATCATGCTCGCCGTCCTTGCCATGAAGCGCCGCTGGAAGCAGGCCCGCCAGGCCGCCGGCAAGTCCACTGAGCACCCCAACATCATCATGTCATCAGCCGTCCAGGTCTGCTGGGAAAAGGCGGCCCGCTATTTTGAGATTGACGAAAAGTACGTCGACTGCACCCGCGAACGCTTCGTCATTGACCCCGAGACGGCCGTCTCGCTCGTCGACGAGAATACCATTGGCATCGTCTCCATCCTCGGCACCACTTACACGGGCCACTACGAGGACACCAAGGCCATCAATGACTTGCTCGTCGCCAAGAACATTGATTGCCCCATCCATGTCGACGCTGCTTCTGGTGGCTTCGTCGCGCCTTTTGTCGTCCCGGACCTGGAATGGGATTTCCGCCTGCCCAAGGTTGTCTCCATCAACGTCTCCGGCCACAAGGTGCGTTTCCCTCCCCCAACATACCACGTAGACTCCCACTAACCCCAGGCATTAATTAGTACGGCCTCGTTCACCCCGGCGTCGGCTGGGCCGTCTGGCGCTCTTGCGAGTACCTCCCCAAGGACCTTATCTTCAACATCAACTACCTCGGCGCCGAGCAGTCGTCCTTTACCCTCAACTTCTCCAAGGGTGCGTCCCAGGTCATTGGCCAGTACTACCAGCTGATCCGCCTCGGCAAGCACGGTTACCGCGCCATCATGAGCAACCTGGTCCGCACCGCCGACCACCTGTCGGACCGTCTCCAAGAGCTCGGCTTCATCATCATGTCGGAGAAGTCTGGCGACGGCCTGCCGCTTGTCGCTTTCCGCTTCCCCGCTGGCAAGGAGAAGGGCGCCGTGGAGGACCGCGTCTATGACGAGTTCGCCCTCGCTGCCCACCTGCGCGCCCGTGGCTGGATCGTGCCCGCTTACACCATGGCCCCCAAGACGGACGGTCTCAAAATGCTGCGCGTCGTCTGCCGCGAAGACTTTTCCCGCAGTCGCGCCGACGATCTCATTAGCGACATTGGCCTCTGTCTCGGCCTGTTGGCCACGTCAGATAAGGAGTCGCTTGACCGCGCCAAAAAGTACGTCCAGCAGCACGTCTCGTCGCACAGCAAGAAGAACCACAAGCACACTGTCCACGAGTACAAGAACGAGGAGCACTCTCTCCAGGGCAAGACGGGTAAGACGCACGCCATTTGTTAAGCTCGGAATAATGCAAAGACGTAAATGTAGATAAAAAAAATATGATTCATGTATACCAATATATGCAAATGCCAAAACGCCCATGTCTAATCTTCAACTTGGTCGGTTTGTTGGCCTACTTCCTCGTCGCAGCAATAGCCTCCTCTAGAATGCCCAGGCCAATGCCAATCTCCTCTTCAGAAATCTTCAAGCTGGGCACGAAGCGCAGGGTGTTTGTGCCGGCCGTAATCACCAGCAGACCCCTCTCCCTCGCGGCCTTGATGACGGGGGTCGGGTCCTCGGTCATTTGCAGGCCGAGAATGAGGCCCTTGCCGCGGATCTCCTTGACGAGGTCCGGGAAGCGCTCGCGAATCTTGGCGAGCCCTGCGCGGAAAATGTCCGACTTGGCGCGGACGTCGGCGTGCAGGGCGGGGTCGGACAGCTTGGTGACCATGTGGTGTGCGAGGCGGCAGGCGAGCGGGTTGCCGCCAAAGGTGGTGCCGTGGTCGCCGACGACAATCTTGTCGGCGACGGCGTCATTGACAATGACGGCGCCGATGGGGAAGCCGTTGCCGAGGGCCTTTGCGGTGGAGAGGATATCCGGGTGGGCTTCGCGCGGGAGGTGGCCATGGGCCCAGAGCTGGCCGGTGCGGCCGAGGCCGCACTGGATCTCGTCGTAGATGAGGACGGCGCCGACGGCGCGGGCGCGGCGGGCGAGGGCGACGAGAAACGCCTCGCTGGCCGTCTGCACGCCGCCCTCGCCCTGGATGGGCTCGACGAGCACGGCGCACGTCTGGTCCGTGACGAGGGCGTCAATGGCGGCCACGTCATTGTACGTGCCCTGGCGGAAGCCGGGGACCATGGGCGCAAACGGCAGCTGGTACTTTGGGTTGTGCGTGGCCGAGAGGGCGCCCATGGTGCGGCCATGAAAGGCGTTGGTGAAGGAGACGACGTGCGTCTTGGCGCCGGCCGGGTCGAGCACCTTGCCGACCTTGCGCGCAAACTTGATGGCGGCCTCGTTGGCCTCGGAGCCCGAGTTGCACACAAACACGCGCGCCGCGTCGTGCATCCCGCCCGACGCCCGGGTCCTGTCCACCAGCAGCTTGGACAGCGCGCCGGTCCAGGGGTTGTAGTACAGGTTGGAGGCGTGCACGAGCGTCGCGGCCTGCTCGGCGAGCAGCGCCGTGAACTCGGGGTCGCAGTGGCCGAGCGCCGTCACGGCGATGCCCGCCGTCAAGTCGAGGTACGCGCGGTCGTCGACGTCGTAGAGGTAGCTGCCCGCGCCGCGGACGAAGACGGGCGGCGGCCGCGCATACGTCGCCACCATGTACGGCGCGTGCTGCCCGACGAGCGTGGCGCTGCCCGAGTCGGCGGCGGGATCGGCGTGGGAGAGCTGCTGCTGCTGCTGCGCATCGTGTTAGCCATTTGGCGGAGATTGGGGGGGGGAAAAGGGGGGGGGTTAATCCAACGCGGCGGGCCTGTTAAGGGCGAAGGAGGCCACGACGCGAGCGAGATGCGAGGCCAGGAGGGGGGGGGGGAAACCCGTACGTTGGAGAGCGCGCTATCGCCGACACCGGCCGTGGCATAGGCGCGCGCGAAGACGGGCGCTACAGGGCGTTTCAGGGAGCGCAGCACGGCGGGCGCGTGCCTGGACAGAGCCAATCGAGACGCCATGGCTGTAATGAAAGGAATTTTCTTGGAAAATTCCAATGATGAGGGACTCGAAAAGGAGGATGGCAATGAAAAGTGACTCAAACAAGGTAGATAAATAGCTAGAAGGGGGGGGGGGATCCAGGTGGGCCGTCGGCACGGACATGGGTTATCGATTGGCGTACGCCCTGCGAGTCGAAAGTTATGGGCCGCGGATGAAAGCAATGGTCACTAAATACAACATAACGTTCGTATGTACGATAGTTTTGTGATTTCTTCTTTCTTGTTTGGTGGGCAGTGCAGTGTGCGACTTTGGTAACTAGATGACTTGGTTAAGTGGCCGCGGGGTGTTGCAGACGGCAGCCCACTTACACGGTATTTTCAGTCCATGTAGCTATAATATTGCTTGAGCTACTATTCAGGTTATATTGAACGAGTTATTCTTGCAAAAAAAAAAAAAACAGCCAGTTCGCTACAATCAAGCGAATCAAGCGAATCAAGCGAATCGGCCAAATCGGCCTGTCAATTCGCCCTTATTAGCGCAAAATATCTCATCTCCCACTATATCCAACCCCGATCTACCAGCTCTCTTCAGCGTCAGTGATTTAACCAAGTAGCGCTACGCGCGCTTCAGGTAGCTATACAGATATCCGAGGAAACGCAGGCAACACAGGAAATATAGGTGATTCGGGCAATAATATAGGAGAAGCGATCACAGCAAAAAGAAGAAGATGCCAGTGAAAGTAGCAGAATACACAACACTTGTCATAACGATAGATAGCAATAATAACAGTAAACAGTAATAGCGATAGCGAACAATAAGAGCAGTATGAGAGCAGTTATAAGACTAATAACAACAATAAGAGCAATAATAACAATAAGAGCAATAGCAACAGCAATAGCCATCTCTGCTGGCACACACGCCAACCACGCTGACTCAGCACGGATGCCTCCACACATCGTCAGCCCCTCTAGATAGCTTCCTGTTCTCTTTCTTCTTCTGGCATCATCACGAATACACCTGTTTCCCTTGCTTCTTGCTTGTGTGCCGACCGGTCGTGATACTTCCCTCCCTCTTTGACTCGCCACAAGCCAGATAGATGCTTTATCCATCAAGATCCTCGGTATATCTCAGAAGGGTGCATCTTCATCTCACTGCGGGGCGGAAACGATCGAGCAATATCCTGACTGCTGAATTCCACATTCGCCGGAGGGACCATGTACTGCTTCTCGCTCTCGCTGCGCAACTGCAGCATGAACCCAATCATTCGCCGTAGGAGGATCTCCATGTGACTCGCTTCCGTGACCAAGTAGGGTCCGAATTGGTGCATGATGAGAAATTCATCTGCATGTGGCATTTCCTTGGTCAGTAGGGGAACGGCAGGCGCTTGCGCAGCGGTGGGTGTGGGCGCGCCTGCCGCCGCCGCTGCCGCTGCCGCTGCTTTCTTTGCCTGCGAACGAGTTTGTGGGAATGAATCGCTAATCGAGGAAGATGGAGGCTTGCCACGCGGTTGCTGTTGTTGGCCTTGTCCTCCTTGTCCGCCTTGTCTGCCTTGTCCTCCTTGTCCTCCTTGTCCGCCTTGTCCTCCTTGTCCTCCTTGTCCGCCTTGTCCTCCTTGTCCGCCTTGTTGCTTCTGGCTTGCAAAGTACACATCGCCGGCCCACTCACCTAGCTCGACAGAGGCAGTGGAACCCGCCGCATGGTTCCGATGAGCTTGGGGGTCAAACGTCGCGGGGTTCTTTGGCGTTTCCGCCTTTCCCATAAACTCCCTCTGGCCCTGGATGTACTCTTCGTACTTGTCACCGTACTCGCCAATGATGAGGTAAATCTCGTGGCGGTCCTGCGACACCAAGAGGCGGCTATGAGAACACACAAAAGTCAGCAGTCAGTAAGTAGTACATGACACTCCAAGGGGGAACACTTACCGGGTCCTGCCCGACCTCGAAGGCTGCAGCCGGCCGTTGTTGCTGCCGCTGTGGTGCGCGATCCACGACGCCATCTCGGCCGTTTCCTGGCGCCGCGTCTTATCAAGATTGCTCTTGCGCACAAACGGCTTGGCCTCGCAGATGGCCAGTGGCGACTCGTCAAACGTGCGACCCGTTTTGTTGCACAGATACCCATCCACGAGCGCCTTCATGAGCTCAACGGGCTTGCCGCGGCTTCCAACCGTCGCAAGCGCTCTGAGCTTGAGAGCGAGGCGTGGCGGGATCCAGTTCATGTTTCCCAGGTACTGGGGAGCCTCACCCGTCGCTGCCTGTAGGAACAGCAACAGGGCCACGTTGGAATACATTTCGTCCACCGAGGCCGCGTTGGCAGGCACCTCCTGGCCCATTTCAAAGTGTGTGGCCGCCGGCGTGCCAAACGGTGCTTCTGCCGGCCGGCTCTTGCGGTCGGGAGTCTTAATCTGCATGTTTTGAAATGCCTTGGCCACATCGCTGGCTCGGGCGGGCTCGTAGACGTATCCACTCTTGACGATGCCCTTGGCGCCGTCGTCGTCGTCGTCATCGCCTCTGCCCTTTCGGGTGGTGCTAGAGCTCTCGCTGCTCGTGTGCTCGCAGACAAGCTCCTGCCAGAGATGCACCATTGCCCAGACGCCTGCCGCTGGGTCCGAAGTCAGGCCGTTGGCTGCGACCTTGAGCTGGTCGATATATTTGTGCCAGTAGCTGCTGAGATTGTTGCAAATGTTGCCTGCAAGCCTGGCATTTTCCTTCGAGACATAGCCCCGATATTGGTTGTCCTTGAGGTCTTTGTCGCGGAACCAATGATCCAACACATCGGCACCAGGAGCATGGGGCTGCCAAAAGGCTCGAAGGTAAAGAAACTCGGACGGGCGAATCTTGGAGCCTGAACGGTAGTTCGTATGGGCGACATGTAGGGGCGTCTTGCCGTTCTTGACGCCGCGGCTGATGTCAGGGTCATCTTGGACTTTCTGGAACCAAGCCGCGGCATCCTCAGGGATCTCGTTGGCGTCAGGGTTCTTAGACATTGCGTAGGAGTGAGCGGAATTCTTGAGAGGGTATTGTGTATGTGTGAAGAAGAAAAAACGTGCGGAATGGAGTAGATCTTGTTGGTATGTGAATAGAAAAGCAATGCCTGCCAGAATCATGGGCACAACGCTGGTCTATATACCCGAGTTCGCATGCCTGGCACCATGGCCAAGCACGACTGCACGACCGCCGTGTCAGCAGCAAATCTATGTTACGCGCCGCGTTGGGCTTTGTCCAGTGGGCGTACGCAAGGGAGCGCGAAAAGATGAGGGATAGATCAAGACATTGAAGTGGTGCGCGACCCAATATGGCCGCCATTCTAGGGGTCATGCAACCATCTCCATCGTGGAGACGACTCCACGGCTGCCGTGTCAGCAGCAAATCTATGTTAAGCGCCGCGTTGGGCTTTATCTAGAGGGCGTATGTAGCGGAGCTTGAAAAGATAACGGATAGATCTAGACATTAAAGTGGTGCGCGACCCAATATGGCCGCCATTCTAGGGGCCATGCAACCATCTCCATCGTGGAGACGACTCCACGGCTGCCGTGTCAGTAGCAAGTGTATATTAGGCGCCGAGGTTTGAGGCGACAAAGTGGTGAGCGACCCGCCGTCCAAGAGACCATAACTAGCTCCGACTCAGCCTCCAGGCTGAGGCCGATGGCACTAGCCGGACTCTAAGCGCCCGGCTCGCAAATGAGAAACGGGTAAGCCAACGTAACCGAAGTAAGGCTGAGACGCCAAGGATACAAAGTGGAGGTATATTAATGACTGATTGATTGGCTATGCAAAGCCATAGAAGAAAGGTATGAAACGCTGGCTAAAGCATGCACAGCCCGCGGGAAACTATGCGGATATTCGAGGTGTCAGGTGGGCTGGGTCATCCCAGAGAGCCTCCTCGTCAGAGTCGCCGACGGCATAGCGCGTCTCGCCCACTGGTTGGCTCGCAATCCACCGCAGCAATGTCCACGAGTCTGGGCTTGGCTCGGCCCCTGTCAGGTCGAGCGTGCGAGACTGGCGCAGGACGAGCCTGTTTTGCTTGCCGTCGAAATGGGCCTGCGTGAGCCGGGCCGTCTGGTTCCGCAGGAGCGTCGCGACCAGCGCCGGCTTGGTGTGGTGATTGGTGTAGTCGCCGTCGGCGAGCTGAAACTCAATCAGCGCGACGGCCGCCTCGGCCTCAGAGAGCAGGATCGCGTCGTCATCGTCGTCGTCGGCTAGCGTGCCCGAGTCGAGGACGAGGCAGGCCGCGTGCGGCATTGCCGACGGGACCGTGGCAAACATGACCCATTGCACATACGACTCGTAATAACGGCGGCGGTGCGACGGCGGCCGGCAGAAGTGTCGGCAAGGCACCCGCAGCCCAATCGCTTCTCGAATGGCGCCCGGCCAGCTACAAACGGGGTCTGTCAGTACCGGTGCCCTCGCCATCGCCCATCACCGGGCAGCGTAGAGGGGCCCGCCCACGACGTGGACAGGCCAGAGTCCGACATACCTGTAGTGGTCCCATAGATCTGGGACCAAGCGGCCTAATCGACGCAGGCAGTGGCGGAACCACTCGCTCATGGTCTCGGGAACTTGCAACAAGATGGCCGGATCAACGCGTAGCCGGTGTGCGTACCAAGACCACCGATCGTCCCATGTTTCGTACTCGAGAGCCTCGAGCGGCCAGTCGCAAGGCAAAAAAAAAGTATCAGAGACCGCAGACGGGGACCTTGGGCTCGCATCCACGCCGAGTTGGGCACCGAGCGCGATGGACAGGTCACCCAGCTTCTCCTTTTTGATGGTCGGGACTTGAATCTTGCGAAGCCTTTCCGCTATTTGCGTGAGCTTCTTGAGTTGGATCCGCTCAATGGCCGCGTACTGCAGCTTGTCGGCGTCGGTGACGTTGGCCGGCGACACGCCAGGGGCGGAGCACGGCATATTGTTGTCGGAAGGATAGCTTCGGTCGATAGATGGAGAATCTCCCGATCAAAGTAGTGTAACAGCGGCCCGCGGGGTGATCAAGGTAGTCAAGTCTGGAGCGTACAATTGTGTTTGTGTGATGGATTGGGGTGAGATCAAGTCCGGGTGACGAAAGACTTTTGTTTATTTCGCGGGTATTTTGTTATGATGACGAGTTGTCCTGGTAACTCCACTTTTGGCGGTGACATGGACCAAGGTTAAAACGTGGTTGGATCAAGGCCATAGCAGGATCCACGAATTTGCTCTACAAAGAACCCCCTAATCTGCCGCCAAATGGGAACGAGTAAAATCTTTCTTGCCGAAAATAACGAATATTTCCCTCTTCCCCAATCTGTCCCGCTACTAAAATCGTTATTCGTGAGTACGATACACAGGAACCCCAAACTACCTTGCCTGTGAAGCCTCCTCTTACCGCTCGTGTACGTGCCCTCTCCATGCGCCGTGGCAAATTCAAGGCAAAAAAAATTATATTATAACGTTATACTCACATTCCACTTAGATGCCAGAGACGTGATGGAAAGGTGCGGCTACCTGTCACGTTGCCCGTCACGAGAATCACCCGTGTTACCACACAACGTAGATTGCATCTTCGTGTTCCAATACGCCCCCGCGCGCGTGACTGATCAAATACCCGAAGCATGCACCCAACGTCACCTTGCAATCTGAATAGAAAGAGTCCGATTTCATTTCGCAGCCGTATACAAGAGCAATGATCTTCAAACACGGCCCGCCCCTGGGATTCCCAAGTCTGCCATGTGTAACTAAAATACATTCGGGCCTTGTACAGACCCTAAAATTGATGGGTATTCAATGCGGGAGTAAACTGTCATGTCTAGATCAGACTGTAGGCATCAGTGTGTATGCGCTCGTCGAGAAAACCACCGGCGCGTCTACCTGTAGCGAAGCATGTGAAGAACTCCCTGTGATGCCCCCCAGCTACCACCAAGTTACCCTAGAGGTGTGGCCACTCCACCGAGTCATTCCCAAGCATACTTGGAGTGGTATCCCATATCCTAAAGAATGCCATCGACACAGCTGCATTTTTTTTTTTTCAGAGTTCTGCGTGACAACAGCACCTTTTTTCGCAGAGCTCTACGTGACAACAGCAACCTCTGCTGGAAGTGGCTGCCGCTCTACCACGAGCCACACACAATCCCACGTTTCTGCCAACGCTGGTCGTCTTTGACTAACCCCAAGGCAGAAGCTCAGCCATGAAAAAAAAAAGAACACCCCAAGCAATAGAACAGAGTTCCAAAAGAGGAAAACAGCATAGCAGTGCATGTCAACCAGTCTCTCGTCGTGTGGAGCGTTGGTGATAAACCTACCGCAACAACAAGCCTTGCAAACAAGTATATGAGCGAACTCGGAAGGGGGAAAAACACATGGGTGCCTAAAAGAACTTGGTTAGTTTATCTTGTGTGTTATATGCAAGTCTGAGTACTTGCTTGAAGAAAACATACCCCAAAGAACATGCGAGTGTTTCCATGTATCCTAGGCACTCGGTAACATCTCACAACCTTCAGACACAGCTAGATGCCATGCGCTTCCGCCTACACGAGCAATCTCACGCACTCTTTTGCCCAGCAGCTCATGCATACAGGCCCATCTCGCTCCAAAGCTCGCCTGGTATCAGTGGGTGCCTGGGACAAGTTCGCGCACACCATTTTCCACTTACATGGTCCGTCGCGTCCCCAGTATAAGCATAGAATAACACGTTGCCACGAACGGTTACGTCTACTTTTTTTTTTTTTTCCTTAGCAATGTTAGATTTTCAGCCTTCTTCTTGTCGTGTTTATTTCGCAAAAAAACGTACCTGTTCCGGCGCAAAAAAAGAAAATACACCGAATCATAAGCGTACGGTCCGCTCAGGAAGCCTGCTTGCGTGCTGAACTGATTAGATGTGTAGAAACTCGGTAGATGACCCCAATGGACTATATCAGCCAGCCGAGGTTGCCGAAAGTTTCAATAGTGCCAAGCCAACATCGAAGTCCGCCAGAACTATGCCAATCGCAAACTAGACTATAGGATAGGATCAAGAACTAGTGAACTGGCCGCGCAAGCTCGCCTATTTCACACCCGCCGGAAATGTCACATCGAACCATGTTAATTAGCTTTCAATTCTGCCTCTACCATTTACAAAACGGTCATCTCTTTACACGCCCTCACCCTTTGCTTCCTAATCAATACAATTCCATATACACAGCCTCTACCTAGTTCGGCCAAGCCTCCCAAATAGAGTTTCGTTTATCCAAATGACAGCCGCCACCTTTTTCCGAGCTGCTCCCCTTTGTCTATTCCGTTAAACAAACCCTCTTTTTTTCTTTTTTTTTCAGCAGGACAAGGCCATCTCTTCAGTTGTGGACAAATGGTGGTGGCTCAGCCAGAAGAGAAAAGAACGGGGCATGTCTCACACCAGCCAGCCCCAAGCCCAAACAACACTGTGCGATCCCGTTCTTACCAGTCCAAACCGAGCAGAGAACCGCGTTGTCTTTGCATTGTTTGAAACAAGCGCCGTTGAACTCAAGTGACAGGTCTCTTTTTTTTCTCGTCCTCGCTACTGATTCGGCGATTCCGAAGAGAAACTGTCAACTGTGGACAACCCATCCAATGACAGATCGGCGCATAAGACCAGTTGACCCGTCAAGGAGGGGAAAAAAAAGCAAATAATGCCAAAAAGAAGAAAATAATTGGTCAGTGTCAGATGCGACCAAGGCATTGGCCACAACAGATGAGGGGGAGTCCATCGCCCGTCCGGCGCAGAATGCCACATTGCCGAACGACAAGCCGATGCACGATGTCCGCTTCCGCGCCTTGGCTTGTTGAATGCGAGGAAACGATGCTATTCAAAAGCCGTTATCCGCTCTCCTGGATCAAACAATGTCGCCTATCAGGCCGCGACGATGCCCACATCTCGCGATTAACAACAGACACCCCCCTCCACCTCGGTCCTTTGCGCCCCTCCCAACGCGTGGAGAGGAACTGGGCAACAAGCTCGGTACCCCGCAATCTTCGCGCGCGCGCCGTACTGCCGGGTTTCGGACTCATCCCGTCGCAACATCCTCCAGTTTCAGATTGACGTTACCAAGGCCCCAAGACATCAGAACATCGCGCAACGCCAAGTCTGATCCACGTGTACGCACGCCCCGAGTACATCACCAGAGAGATTTGACTTGCCAAGTATTACTTACCAATACGCTTCGCCCAAAATGCACGTCACGTCTAAATCGAAGGGGCATCCCATATGCTCGCTTGGCGGCGTGGCTTGGATGTCTCGGGCTTAGCCAGCCCGGCGTTTGCCAAACGGGCACCCTTTGGCCGGCCAACTATCCCAAATGTGTCATTGATCGACCTTGTGTATAGAGATACAAGGTAGATTGCCAAGATCCATGATATCTCGCCGCAGAGCGTCGGTGTAGGATTTCTTACTACCTACCCAGACGTCCCTCGTGCACAACGCAAGTCATCAACAGAATTCTTGTAGGAGAGGGGTCTTTCTTCTCGTCGGCACCAAGCCATTGTGTTAAAACGCCATGACCCCAACCGAGTTCATGTCTCTTGTGATATGCGGCGGGGCGGGTGCGATAAGTACTTTGTGTCCTCGTCCGGATATCGCCGATATCAGTGCTGCTTCGTCAATACCTCCAGGTTCCCAGTCCAGAAGAAATGTGGCGCGCCGAGTGGAGCAGGCAAAGCAACATGTTTCCTTTTACGGAGTAGATCCTCATACTGTGCGCGTCCTGTGGCGCGGTCCTTCTTCAGAGCGTCGAGAACATCTCGCATTCCAGTCAAGTCCTGCAGCGCTGGGGGAGCTAGCTCGCCAGGCGGCATGAGGGCTGCGTGCCACGCTGTGTGAAAAATGTATGACCGCTCGGGAACGCCTGCAAGAACTTGGGCTGGGGAAACCGGCCCGACGCCGTCGCACAAGCTGGGATGGTTTAGCACCAGCCGATGATACTCGTTGATGATAGGGTTGCTATGTGGCTGCATCGGGCCAGTCCACACTTGCAACTTGAAGCTGCATCCATTCCACTCATCCCAGTGTGTAGTGACCTCCCCATTGTCTCGGGCCGTCTTATCCAGTTCTCTGTCTTGCCCTGCACTAACATCTGTAGCGTTGGCGCCGTCAGTCCCTAGGCGGCGCTCAGCGCGAGACTTCGCGTCTGGCCGAGAACGCGTAGAGTGATGACTCTCATCCTCAAAGAAACTGAAACCTTTCTCCCCGCTGTTCATGAGCTGTTCAGCATCCAGGTCCTCGGTTGCAGTGGTGTCATCGCCTAGAGTATCGGCCTCGAACTCCAGTCGAAGGTGCCTCAAGCCACGCAGCACACCTGGCTCGCGCCAAGATGATGACCCGCTGGTGTCAGTCGCATCTGAAATGCCTCGCTCCTGAATGGACAGAAGTTGGAGAAAGTTCAGTAGGCGCTCGACCAATGGTCCAGATGATCGCCGCGGCACACACGTCAAAGCCAGTGAGTCAAGACGGGGATTCATGTCGGGGACAAATCGCTGTGGATAGGCCTTGTCGATTCGAGAGAGAACAGATGTCTCGGCCAGATACAACCTGGCCAGAGAGGACAACCCATCGGCAGTTAGCGTTGGAATATTGGTGACGAGCGAGTGGTGTATTCGCAACGACCGTAGATTAGACGAGTACACTGGTCGGAAGACATGGGGTGATCCTACGATGCCGTGCAGTGATGTATAACTGGGCCAAAAATCTAGAGCCGGGCTTCGAGGCGGCACCAAAGGCATTGAATCGCATGCAAAGTGCTCGAGTTGTCCGTTGGATGTCCGCAATAATCTCTCGACGCCGCTAGCCGAGATTTGATTATACGAAATATCCAAATGTGTGACGCCTCTAGAGTTACGGTACGTGTCTTCAACGTCATAGTTTGCGGACTGATTCGAGAGGATGCGAGCTGCTTCATTGGCGGAATCTGAGCGCAAGGTGCCGCGTCCATCAGAGCGGAGAACTTGGCGTTGACCGTGCAAGAGGTATGGCTGCGCATCGTATGTGGGAGCGTCCAAGAAATATCGCTCCGGGCTGCTAAAGCTACCACTGAAGCGGGACTCCTCAATGAACTCGAACGGGCCGTAGGAAGCTGTGCCATGATTGGAAGCGAACAGCTTGCCCTCGACTTGAAATCGAGCAGGGGACCGTAGAGACGACGAGGGGAAGCATCGCTCGACCAACGTTGGCACAACAGAATTGGTGAGCCTATTTTTGCCCAGGTGTAGGCTCCAAAGCCGCAAGCGATACTGTTCAACCAGGCCGATCAAGGTGGCGTCGTCCAGTTCCCGCCCAGCAAGCTTCAAGATTCGCAGATCAGGAAAAAGCAATGGTTGGAGTAGCGGTGCTAAGGAACCCGGCAGATTGGATACATCAAGATAGACCAGTTTTTGTAGCGAGGATGAAGCAAAGAATGTACTAGGAAGCTGTGTAGAGCAATGCGAGATGCTGAGAAGCAAGGGAGAGGAATACGTCCCGGTGAGGCCAACGAGAGAGTTTGGGTCAATCTCGGTGTGATAGTCAAGCAAGAGAACATTTACTCGAGGTAGTAGCTTCATAGCCATGTGAAGGCTGCGCAGAAAGCGGGCGTTTTGGTCCGTGGCAAACTGGTAACACTCTTTCGCGAAATGGCGAAGGTCGAGGATACGGGCCAGGCCGCGGGTGGAGGGGCGGACTTTTCCGAGTTTAACAAAGGTGAAATCGAACCACCATACGAGATCTGCAAAACGATATTAGAATGAGGGTCATGGAGGAGGCAATCTGCTGCGCATAAGACCGTGGCATGATCACTAACCGTCCTCTGGCTGTAATCCACGTCGGCGAACGGTGAGCAAAACGTCTACCCACAGCCGAGGTGCAAAGACGTTCCAGAAATGGCGATTTACCAGACAGAGGGCATGATAATCGGCAGTCTGGGTGTATGGGGCGGCGATTTCTAGCCAGTCAGCGCGAGTGGTGGCTTCCTGGTACGATGGAAGCGATGCCATTCTGCTATGCGGCAGGGTTCATAGAGTGACGTGCGATCCGTGGCTCGAAAGAGGCAAGATAATGCAGCGGACTGATGCTAGAGTGGGGTTCGCTCCAGTCGGAGATCGTTCGAGTACTCAGAGCCTGGGTGTTGATGCGGTACTAATGGAGCATAGTCCGACGTTTCTCTTGGAGGTGCGCGGCGCCGGCCAGCCGAGCAATCGTCTCGTCCGAGAACGGCAAAGGTCGAAATCAGGGTACCAAGCAAAATAGACCGTCAGTGGGCAAAAGAGACAAGGAAAGCAAGACTAGACGACGGTTCGAGGATGCAAAAGAAACGTCGCGTGCAGTGTTCCGTGGAGGTGCACTAGGCTGGTGGCTGGCCGCAGAGGTCAAAGCAAAAAGCTCATTCGTGGCGGCAGCGCTCCTTGATTGGATAATGAGCGAAGGCGGGTGGTGGGCGTGGGAGCGGCCAGCGGGTTAATCTGAGAACCGAATTTCAGATCGGCTGGCCAGGCTGATGTAACCGTACCTGTCAGAAAAGTGCCCCGGCGAGTCGAGGTATCACTGTATCACGGTGGGCTGTGGGCGGAAATTAACGATGCACAGCGGAGAGAGAAATCGTGACTTCGGAGGAAAGGGAACGCGGGCTGATGGCAATCTTGCGCGGATAGGCCAGCGTACGATGATGATGGCGGTGATGGACACGGATGATGGCAAGAGAGAGCAAACGATGGACCGATGGGGAGACGTTGGCGGACAGCCCATTCAGCTGTCCCCCGAGAGGAACATGCCAATTGGTGGTAAACAGCTGCTGCCAGCAAGTACCTGCCACGCGCGCCACAGAAAACGGGGGGCGCAGCCTCACAGGATACTGGATCACCACCCCGCAAGCCGCCTTCCAACCGCCTGGAGCCGCCACAGGTCTGGCACGGACTCGGCCTCGGCCAACGCCACGGGCCATCTTTCCGTCCGCAGGGCCCACAGCCAGCCTGTGGCGCGCCGGCTTGGACGCGAATATATATTTTTTTTTGCAGCCACTGAAAGCCCAATTCCTCTCACGTTTTTGGTCGCGCGCAATTTCGATCTATCAAGTTGACGCCCCCCCCCCTCTCTGCCCCCGCCTGGCTTCCAAAGTTTCCGGCTACATATGCAATGTAAAACTCTGTTTATACAAATAGCCCAGTGGCTGACATCAGAACGGGTTGCGACGGCGGCCCTGGTTTATTTTTATTTTTTATCTTTCTCATCATATCCACAATCGAGAAAAGAGACGCCTTGCAGGGTACAGTGCGTGCGTTTTTGTGGTTGGTCCAGTTTCGAATATGACCTGTCGAGAGGATGCAGAGAGTCATGGAAGAAGAGATGGAAGCGAACAATTTCGGCATGCGCGAGATATAGTACTGTACATGCAAAAAGAATGGATCCGCTGTAAATTAAAAACGGGAAAATCATGCGGAGACCAAACTGACTGTTCATCAACTTGTGATACGACGCCGACGCCTTGCCCACGCTCTGCAAGGTACACACCGGACGAGGGCAACCTCTCCGTTCGGGATGATGCGCAGCTGACTCCTCCCACCTGCAGCATCTGAAAATGACCATGCATGTCTCTCCTGTCCATCTACAGGGATGCCCCAGCTTCCCACTCTGGCCTTTTTCCGCCCCCTGTCCAGCAACAAGAGGAGACCCCAGTACGGAACAAAGGTTGGCTCCGGGCGGCTGCATGAGCGGATCGGAAATGGTCAGAGAGAAAAGAAAAAAAGGCAACACTTGAAATCACTTCCTTTTTGAGATGCGTCTTCTATTCTAGTGCTAAGAGCCAAAATAGTTTATCCGTACGCCGCTGGTGGGCTGCAAATGCCTCGCGCGTTATTCGATTCAATCCAGTACAATTCCACAGCCAACATTTTTAGGTAATTCATTGTCAATTTTGCGGTGGAAAACAACACTGCCCGTCCTTGGCGCACCGTAGTCCCAGCTGTGCTATGCCCATGCAGTTGGTGGCTGTTGGTGCCAGTTTACATGTGAAGCCTGGTTTTCTTACACGTCCCTTTTCTGCCTTGCTTCCCGAGTCATGGCCAGTTGTTTCCTCGCTCAGACAGCACGCAACTATTGATTTCTCTAAACGTTACATAAAACGTTACATGAAGTTTTATATAATAGCAAGGCTGGCTATTTGTAAATTTAGAAATGCTTGGTTTTTTTGTGATTTGTTACAAAGACCAATACCAACACCCACGTTATCGGAGCCGGGATCACCAGAACTCGCCCATTCTTCGAGTCAGTTGACTGCAGTAAAATTATATCATGCGCAAACAATTCGCCTGTTTGGTGATCTTCTCTCAATACTATCTGTTCATGCGCTGACCCCGTCCACATTCGAATTTCCAGCCGTCTGGCTTGTCTGCCCTCCCCCCCCCCTGGTTGCATTTCTCGAGTGGCTGTGTAACCAGTCATGTCTCGCACCTTGGCTCTTGGCTGCGGTCGTGTGACAACATGGAATAATCTAGGCCGTCACACAAGATATTGATGAGAAAACAAAGTTCGTGTAGAGCCGCAACCACACGTTACAGTCATCTCCTTCTATTTCTATACGCGGTCGCTTATCGTGCTTGCACGCCTTTGTCTGGAGTGGGGTGTGTGTGTGCGCCGCCGCTCTTGCATCTCATCAAAAAGAAGTGACCATCATTTTGATAATCCCCCGATCGCTGGTACAGGTGACTCGATGAGCATCGGGAGATTTGGACGACTCCATCGACTCGACGAGCCTTTGAGTGGTGCGAAATTACATGCGAAACAGCGGCAGAGGGTTTTCTCACGCTCGACAACCCGGCAGTGACAACAAAAAAGACGGAATGGGAAAGCAAAACAGATTGGCCACCGATGGATCGCCCGGCTATCCGTGGTTGCTCCATGATCCAAACATGGTGAATGCGAGAGAAGTCCATACCGCTGCCTTGGTGACCAGCCTTCCCCAGCCGTTCACCAGGCGGGGGTGACTAGCACACAAGAGGGTAGCAGACGCCTCAGTGTAATTTCATCCAGTGTTCGTTTTGTATTGGCGCCGAATGAGAGACCAAAGAAAAAGGAAAATACTGCTTGTTTCCCGTCCGAGTAGGTTGCTTGGCTTCCTTGGGTTGCTTGGGCACAACTGTACAATACACCACCATGTTCAAAAGACAAGACAACACGGCACGCCGTCCTCGAAGAAAAAAGCAAAAAAACGGTTCACCAGAAATCGGGCATGCACATGGGGAACAGAAGAGGAAGAAGAGCGACCTGTCTGTTCTGGCTTGTCTAAGTCAAAAAGCACACACCAGTGAGTTGAGTGACGCCTTTCTTTTCTTGTCTCACCTGCAACGATATATTACCGAGTCCACACCCCTTCTGTAAGTGAAAGAGCACTAGGGAGGGGGGCGTGTGAGCGGGATCTGAGACAAATCACCTTTCTGGGGCCGAACTTTCTCGCCTTTTTCCAAAATCCCATCCATCTTTTCCTGATCCCCACCCCGTCCAGCTGTTCCACGCCACTGGGCACTAAATCCTGTCAGTGGCCTGTTTTGGTTTCCCGATGTTTTCCAGGCCCCCTGCACCAGTCAATCGATCTATTTTCTTTGGGTTGCGTACGAAGCCAAGGCTGACGTCCTGGTGGGCTGTCCTCGATGGTGGTTGGCGCGGCTCGTCGACTTATCCCTCGAGTCCCTTGATCATGGTTGGTGTGCTGGGTCAGGGTGCCATTTCGTTGCTTCTTTCTCTGCTTTTCATAATGTCTGGTTCCAGTGTGGTTCATACTAGGTAGTCATGATTTGCGCCAGCAGAAAAGTCGCCGAGAAGCAATCCATCCCATCCGTGCTCGCCAAGTTCAACGGCCCACTCACACGCCCAACATGCAAGATGGGATAATTAGGCAGACTTGGCTAGCAGTGACACAGAAAAGAGACAGAGTGAGGTATAGTTACGGAAAGGAAGAAGAGGCAGGCTCAGTGACACACAAGAGACAGAGTAATGTACAGTCAAGTAAAGGAAGAGGCACAAAGAGACCAAGTGTTTTCAAATCGGAACCAGCGTTTTCATTTGTTTGCAGGTTGCGCTCATTGTAAGCTACATTACAATTATGTACTAAAATACAGGCTACCAGCTTTCTTTCCACCGGAGCCAAGTAGAGCGGACGAGCTAAAGCCCAAAGTTGCCATGATCCATTTGATGCCCAGTTTTTGCGTTTGCTGCATCACCTTTTCCGTAGTGCTCAAACACGCTGATTGCATCTCCTCGTCGTTAAAAAAAGAACAAATAACGTGATGTACCATTACCCAGCTTTCAGCCCGGACTGGAACCCAGAGGCGAAGCTTTCATGCGATAGACCTAGTTCCAATAGTTCCCATTCCTCCTCCAGAGTACTGCTCCAGAGTCGCCATCCAAAGTTTTGTGTTCGAGGGATTAGAAGAAAGAAAATGGCTTGCCAGCGGGACCCCGATCTTGCCAGGCCGCCCAAGAAGAAAAAAAAAATCCCAAATCACTCCCACCAAAGCTGGATATCAATTGCCGTGACCCGTGTAAAAGTGTCGACAAGAAAAGGACTGGACAAAAAACAGACACCGGATTGCGCCGCCAAGATTAAAACAAGTGTGCAGTATGTTTGCAGTTATACATGAGAACCATGCCATGTGTGACGGGCGTGGGATGTCTAATACCATCCCCTTTGCTTCCGACAAGACATTGCTCTCTTGATGGGCCATCGCTGATATAGTTGCGGAGGCCCCGGGTTGAGTGCCCCAAGTAACCATCCATAATAAACGGATGGGGGACTCGAGGGGGGGGGCGCGTTGACGTGCGAGCTGCCACGCGAGCGTCTGCATGTCTCAGGCTCAGGCCACTTTTGACAGCTAGACAGAGAGAAGCCTTTGACCCCGCTCCCCTGCCGCTGAGAAATGCTGGCAAACTTGTTGCAAGCATTCCCTTGCTCATCTAAGGTCTCGCACGACGCTCCAACCGGACGGAGACGGCCGGGAAGAGAGTGGTTGCTCTCAGTAATCGTCGTGCTTCTCCGCCATCATCTTGGCCTTGGGCGGGGCTCTGCGCTTTCGGCTGCGCTCTTCCTGCTCGATAATGGCAACGGCCGCCGGGATGAATTCCACACCGCGGTTGCGGCTGTTGGGGCGCGCGTGCAGCTTGCGGTGGTTGTTGAGGTTGTCTTGTCTGTTGAACTGGTCCTTTCCGCAAAACTCGCACGAGAAACGGTTGGGTCCCTCGCCGTGAAAACTATAGAAACCCGCCTGTTAGCGTCAAAAGTCGCGCGATATCATTTTTTTTTGCGCAGGACCAAAAAACGTACGTCTGCTTGTGTCTCTTTAGGTGCTCGTTGCGGCGAAACGCCTTGTTGCACCCGGGGTAGTCGCACTTGCACATGGCTCTGCGGACCACGTCGACACCGTTACCGTCCTTTTCCGCCATCTTTCTTGAGGCACGAATCTGTGCACACTGCAGCTCCGACGTCTTGCGCTGAATCTCGTGCACCATCATCTTGCGGTGAGCACGGAGCCGGCTGGGGGAAGGAGGAGCACCCTGTAGGTAGAAGCGGCCAATGGGCGACTGTGAGTGGCGCTCAAGGTCGAGGGACTCGAGGCTGTGAGAGGGGAGGGTCCTTTGATGAGGGAACAGAGCAATGGGGCTGTCGTTGGCACACGACCAGGATGAGGAGCTGTCGCCAATGTCCGAGCCCGAGAGGCTGTGTGTGGGCGTCATCATGAACGAGCCGGGGCCCATGGCCGCCTGAGGCGAGATAGTGTACATGTTGAAGGAGTTGGAAGGAGTCAAGGAGCCCATGGACTGGTGTGAAGGCATGTTCATGCCGGGCATGAATTCATAGTCTGTGTGCAGGTGCTCAATCTTGCGGACGGGCGTCGAAGGCAAGACATCGGCATATCCCATGTGGTCAGGCTCGGGCTTGCCACAGCCAAACATGAACTTGGGCATGGTGGCGGTAGAAGGCGGCGTCAGCTCTCCGGCCTGGTGGACGGCAGCAAAGGAAGCATCAAAGTCCAGAGTCAGCTCATGGGGCGTAGATCGTCGAGAAGTAGGCGTATAAGGCTCGCAGGCGGACGAGGCCGAGGAAAAGCTGGTGCCGGTGGACGGGCAGGTCAGGGCCTGCGAGTAGATGCTAAAGTTGTCGTCCATGTCGAATCGGAAGTCCGACTCGAACTGCATTGTGGTGGCCATTGAGCAAGGAAAAAAAATGTTGTTGTAAGAAAAAGAAGGTAAGAGTTGGACGGAGGGAGGGGGAAAGGAATGTGTAATGGATTAGAGAAGAACAAGAGGGTTGGAAGGGTTCCCAATATCCAGGTCAGAGGCCCGTAGTAATATAAAGGAAGGTGAAGGCAGGCAGGTTGAGTAAGAGAGAGATGGACCTGGACAAGAATGCAGTTTTTGATTCGAGAGAGGACGGACGCCCCTGAAGATATAACATCCAGGTGGAATGAGCTGTGGAGGAGAGCTGCAGGCCGGACTGAGACACGAGAGGAGCCAGATCGGCCCCGCGAGAATCGTGAGTTGTCTGCTGAGTTTCCGGCAGGATACGGAACTTGTGAGGAAGTGGAGGGGAGTGAAGTGAGTCCAAGGCAGAGAGGGTGCCTATAAGTTGGTCGAGGGGGGTGTGTGAGAAGGGGTGTATGGGAGGTTTGTAAGATGGGGGAGGGGTGGTGTAGCCTAGAGAGAAAGTGGACATGACTGGGCGTGTGTCTCTGGGCAATGGCCGAGACGAGGAAGCTAAGAAAGATACGTGTTGGAAAGAGGCCGAGAGACAAGAGAACCCAAGTGGTCGTGGTGGATTTCATTTTTCATTTTTCATTTTTATTTTATTTTATTACTTCCCTGTCTGGTCAGGTCCCAAGCCAGAGTGGAATGGAACTAGACGATGCAGCCAAGCGGCGGGAGGGAAGGCGGAGCGGTTTATGATGGGACCAGGTTCGCTCGATCAGCCGATCCTACAGGTTTGGCTCTACGAGGGCGACAAGAGGCGCGTCCAAGGGCTTGTCGTCCCACCGAGACTATCGACGGTCACTGATGGAGTTTTCTTGTGGTCTTGTATAAGGCGATTTTCCCACCACAGAGAGCGAGAAAAGCTTCGCCCTCTTTATTGTCTCTGGCGTCTGCCCTTTTCGAACATGAACGGGTTCGCCTGAGCGGACAGGTTCAAGGGAGGGGGAAACAAAAACCAAGCTATTTGCACAGCGGGCCTTTGTATTGTTCAATTATTGCCGTAGCCGTGGCGACGACATGATGGAGAGAGGGGGATCAGGTTGGAAGAGGTTCGGTGAAAGCACGAGAGAAGTAACGCGGACGTTTCTTCGTTGGTTGCGTATGGTGGGCTGGTTACATGCGGACGAGGTCTAAGAGGAACGATAACTAGTTAGTTAGATTAGTTATCAGGTTGTGGACGGAATGGTTCGCTGGCATTATTTCCTTTTTCTTCTCCGCAGAAGCCAACCTGAAGCACAAGTTTCCCAAAACTGGTCAAAAAAGAAAAATCGACAGACCAGAAAAAGCTCCGATATCCCATCCATCCATTCTCCTTCCTCATTCCATTGTTCTCTATGACAGGAGGCCCTTTTTTTGGGGGGACCATGTGGGCGCATGCCTACTACTTCCTGGATCAGTACCAGTACGTGGTGAACAAGATGCAACACGCAAAATCGGTTCCTGGAATAGGCACAACCCAACTTGGCTCTTTTCTTTTCCCCATTACTTTTCGGGGTACGGATACCAGATTGGTTAGTTGGTTCAACCTGTCAGTTCACAATGCGGTCTTTGTTCTTCCCGAGGTTAAGTGGTTCCGGCACGGCCAAAAAAAGCAACAGCATCTTCGCATTCTCGTAGACAAAAGATCAATTGGCAACGATCCACAATCACCGCCATGGTGCGAGCGCATCAAGTCATTGGTTTTTCGGTGGCTGCTGCCGTGTGTGTGTGGTTGACAGGATTGCAACTAGTTTGCGTATTGGTGACGGGTCATGTTCAAACTGGGTTACCACCTACAGTAAACCGATAATGCACCGCAACGGCCCGAAACATGTCAGGGATCAGGAATCGGTACGATTCTTTGATTCATTTTGCAACTACCTATACCCTGGATTTCTGTTATAGCTGCCTCCCATCAACGACCGCTGGGGGGGGGGCTTCTATTGCCTACAACAGGGCCTCACGCAATACCACTCAATAGCTAGCAACCAGCCCTCTTTGGTCGACCCATAGTTCAGGATTTCTCTCCGCATACGAGAAGCTATCCGTAGTAGTAGTAGTAGTAACTAGAAAACGAGCTGCCCTGTGGCGTTTTCCCTCCCTCCAATAAAGCGTGCCGCGGGGGTGTCCCCTGGCAATGGAGCAACGGGAGCTCCGTTGGTTGCTGGCCACAGCCCAGGAAAACCCGCCCAAGCCCACTGCAACGTATTGCTAGAATCGGTCTCTTTTTTTCCCTTTCCTTTCTGGCAGCAGAGGAGAATGGGAAAGATATCTGGTCCCCGCCCGTAACCGTCGCTCCCGTTCCCGCGACGCTCCGCGCGCGCCGCCCGTCCGTCCTCCCGCGAGAGGTGGTCTGTTCCATGAACCGCGGGCGCGTGGGGTGGCCCATGGAGAGCGTGACAATTATTTATTTTTTTGCTGGGTCGTCTTTATAAGAGAGGAAGAAAAAAAATACACATCACTTGTAAGGAATGAGAAGAGAGGAATTGCTTTGTAAATGCAGCCCAGCCCTGGACAGCTGACCTGATGTAGCTGTAGTTATTGTATTGAACTGAGAGGGTCGGATCCGGACCCATGGGCAGCTTTTCGCCTTGTCAGCCACTCAGCTCCCCTCACATCATCTGCCTAGGTAGGTTAATCTGTACCTGTTCTCGTCATCTTCACTAGCTCTCCCTATCGTCCATGTACATCTTCATCTGCATCTTCATCGCCAGTCCATGTTCCTCACTTCTCTTCACCATTTTATCCCTCACTTTTTATTTCACCACTGCCCATCTTCCACCTTGCTCATCATCAGCTACCGTCCATACGAGGGTCTCAGAATAAAGTTTCCGGGACCCTGGTCCCTGCCGCTGCTCTCACACGCAGAAGCTGACGCGCCATCGCATCTTTCCCTATTCCCTGCCACATATTAACTTAGTTCGGACTCGGCGAACATAACACGCAAGCCTCATCCCCAGCTATGGACCGCCTTGCCAAGATGAGATGTTCACAATAGCGTCCAGGAAAAAAAATGCTTTGCTTGCCTGCTATAGCCCGCCCAGTTGTATCTAGATCTCTCAGCGTGTTTTTCTGCAGGTACCCACGACACTCCGTAACATCAGGCCATATTGTTTTTTTCTGTTTCTGCGCGTGGATCTGGATGACCCGGCACTTTGAGGTCCACCAAGCCGGCATAGTTGAAGACTTGTGGCCGATTTATAATGTATGCTGACCAGATGCGCTCCTGGGGCACGAAGAAACAGGCAAACTCGGCCACCGCCTGTTCTACCTAGCGGACAGATTAGCTTGCCGCGCATCACAGTCGTGAAAGCCTCTCGGAAACCTCTTGTACGCCACCGTCAGAATCCCTGTTTCTTTTTTTTTTCCTTTCTTATAAGTAGGTCGATTGAGCTAGCTACAAACGACAAACGCAAGATGGAAAGACTAGCGAAAGCCACACTGTATAACCGAGGCGCGCAAGACGTTGGGTATGTCTGTGTGCCAGGCGCGCGCGGCCATCAGACGACAACCCACAGGCAGGGCCAGCTGGTATCAGTCGCGGCACAGGCATCGGCACGAACGACAGACAAACCCGCAAAAGGCTTATTCCTACCGGACGCTCAACAACGCTGGAAAACTGGGAGGCAGAGCCCAACATGCGCCGGGCACACGCAAAGAACCGTCACCATAACTTACCATGGGATACTCACTCCAATTTTCTACGCCATCTTTAAAAGACGAGTGCACCACGTATTAGACAACTCCATCGCGACCGAGGTGTTGCTTCGCCCTGGAATGCAGCGTACGGGTGCAAATTTCCCGCCTTCCACCCATGCGAAGCAGCGCCGTGCGTTATCGACATACCCAGTGAGACACGTTGTCACCATTGCAAGTGTTCCGCGGCTTTTCCTTTCCAGCTCACCAGGCCAAGAGAGAAAACAGGACGAGACTGCGCCTCCATTGTTGCGAGGTCACTCGCACGATTTTCAACCCGACGGCGGCGGCCCCGCATCGGGGACGACAGACAAGCTTGCCGGTTTGTCATGGCGCGCCGCCGGAACACGCTCTTCCACGGGCCGAACAGCTTTCCCAAAAAAGGGACCTCTCCTCTCGGGGTCCAACGTTGGGGGATTTTCCCATCAACTGCTTTTCCCTCCTCTTCTCCACTAAAAGGGATGCCGGGCCCGCGAGGGGCATCAAAGTCGCGGACCTTTCTTTCCCTCCCACGTTGGGTTGAGCGAAAATGCGATTGATAGAGTTTGGAGCCCTCGGAGTAGTTCCAAGTTTTTTTCCAACAACGGCGAAGCCGGCCCCATATTCTCAGGAACCAAGAACTGGCGGGTTATTTTGGCCCGGCATGTGGGGGACTTTTTTAAAAAAAACTGGCCGCCCGGCTGCCGTCTTATTAGAGGTGGTGTGGTACCCTTCTTGCCTTCCAGTTGAGGTAGCCTACACGACATACGAGGGAGAGTTTATTAGGTCTTCTCCTCCCAACTTCCCCAGACAGAATGGTACACTATCTACGGCTTGGCAGCTTACAGAGGCAGGTGCTAAGAAAGTAGTCTGCGCGTTCCTGTACCTGAAGGGAGCTGCTCCAGTTTCTGATCTACCGGTTTCTCGTGCAAGGGCAGCCTAGCCGGACCGAAGATTTGAGATTTAGTTTTCATTAATTTCCTAGCCAAAAACGTCCTTTTTTGCTTTGCCCATCATCGATATATTAAGTATCCATCATGCGGTGTAGCAACAGGATATAGTACTAGGCGCACTACAATAACTAACTCACCTTGGCCAAATATAGCTCTGATGAACATGGTCATCTCAGCCACTTGGTTGCAACAGCGTCTAACCGCCCAAACGCCAAGCACATACCAGATCCAACAGGCCTGTCCCCTACAGTTTACCCCCCGGTCCTATCCCCCCGGTCCTTATCCCCCCCCTGCTGCTTCGTAGAAGAACAGACCAAGTTGAAGCTGCAACATGCAACGTGGGAAATACGGCGGGCAAAAGCTCCGATCATAGCCGCATTATGCAAGCAACGCAACGGTAAACTCTCTTCTCCAACGGGCAAGGAATTTATTTACAAGGGCCTTTGTCCACAAAACGTCATTCATGCATTGAAATCACCAGTTTCTAATTGTGAGCAAGTAACTAAAAACGCTGCACAACATTCTCATTTCCGATCTGTTCCTTTTTCTCTTTCCACAGCCCCAAAGTGCGGTGGCGGGATACCGACTTACCAGCGTGTCCCCTATGCAGCTGTTGAATGGGCTCTTTTTTTTTTGGCCTTGAAGCGGGTCGCCGTACGACGCAACTGGCCAAACTTTAACAAACGGCCCAGGCCTTACGGGAAGTCTGCACGGCCAGGAACCCGACGATGGTGTGCTAGACGGTTGAGGCGGAGTATACTGCGCGTTCCTTGCCAAACTGACTCTGCGTCTACATACTATGACCTAGTTGTGTTTGCTCTGTCGTGCCGTATGGAGACGGTATTGGGGCCGCCCAAGCCATGTGGGCACGGCCATTACCGAGGAATCCCACCGCCGCTGTGGCTCTTGCGACCAGGGGGAGGGTGTTGTCGTTGCTGTGTGTGTGTGTGATGGCCTTCACTGTTGCAACTGCGAGTCCGGCTGTCGCGTCTTCGCACAGGGGGAATCCCAGTCCGGCTGAAAAGGCGCAGTGGCACACCAACTGATGGGCTGGACCAACTAGGAAACATCTCTCGGCACGATGGAGCCCAACTTTCTTGACCGTGTCCTCTTTCGTCCAGACAATAAGCGGGTTCGCGGTGTGGTTCCGGTGGGAACAAGAAACGAGAAGAAGAAGCCCATTTCACCCAAGCCCATCCACAGCAACGCCCAGGACGACAATCAGACGGCCTTGGCAGTGACCTCGGACGGGGCGGCCAACAAAAGTCTCAACAACCTCCCAGGGACGAAGGTGAGCCATTGCTGTGAGGGAGAGAAGGGAGCCTCCGGCCGAGCGGAAACTCGTCGATAGTTCCATCAAGCAGATCAGTCACTGCCAAGGACTTGGTCCAGCAGAGCGACGTAATAGCGTGATTTGCGGTTTGGTATTCGTCTCATGGACCGTTGCCGCGCGCCCTGGACAAGGGAGAGGCCGGGGGCAGAGCGTCAACCGAGTTCCAGCATCAGTAACTATCTGTCAAACCACGAACCCATTGTGCGTCGCATAATGTGCTATTCGACTCGGCAGGGAAATAAACAGGACAAAAGTCTTTTCCGTACCGAGGATAGAGAACCCGCACTGGACGGGCCGCGAGCAAGTTTCTTGCCATCCATCGTCTCACCACCTCGGGAAACTAACTAGTTAACCCCCAAAGGTTCAACTCAGTCCTCACAAGCGCTCTACCATGGCACAAACTCAAAGTCACGTCTTCCTCGCAAGATGGGCACATCGGGGGTCCTTCTCTCCGCCGCCACACAATGTGGCGAGGCATGCTGAACTTGGAAGCAACCGCGAATGCAACACAACCGCGAATGCAACGCAAACGCGTCCATCGTTCCAGGCCAACAGCGCAACCATACGAGTTTTTTTCTTTTTTTTTTCAGCTTGCTGCTTGTCTCTTATCATTAACAAACCAGCAGCCAGATTGCGGCCGTGGGGAGCACCCGACGGCTGATCCCCGCTTGATTCGGCGGCCGTCCGATGACACGACGGTCATCGGCCAACACCGACAACAAGGACTCTGAATCGGGTAGAAACCCGAGAGGGTATCTGAGATGTTCCCGAGCCTCGATTTTTATTTTTTATTTTTTTGGTCCTCGCTTCCTCCTCTAATAAACAACAGCAAGGCTCAATCCTCGAGCCCTACTTCTTCCACAAAACGCTGACTCTCTCTCTACTTTCCGTGTTGCTTGGCATGACAAAACCGACAACAAGTATTGCCTATTACGGACAACACCGAGAGACGTACCCCAGCGCGTTGATGCGGAGAAAGCCAAAACTCTCTTTTTTATCTATTTATTTTTTTGGCCTATTGCGTTATCGCGCCATTGTTCCCGTTTCCGTCGGGACTCCCCGACGGGTTCGGCTTGTGCGTCAGGAACAATGAACTTGATAGAAGAGAAGAAATAGGCATGGGCACGGAGAGGGGGGGGGGGCGGGATGATTATAAAGAAATCATCCGACTGACGAACGATCTCGGGGCCTCTCCCAATCTCCAACGACGCCCGCCGCACTGACGAAATGGGGTCATGACCATCTATCATCTATTATCTGCCAGTCCAGCCGCAGCCACTTTTGTTGTATTTTTCCGGTTCGAAAAGCGACGATTTTTGCATCTTGGCTCCATCAGCTCGTCTTTTCTTTTTTCCTTTTTCTTTTTTTTTTTACAATGCGGATATGATCCATCACATGCCGCTAAGCATCCAGCGCAATCAGACCAGTCCGACAGTTCGGTTTTAACAGGGCATGGCTGCCTTGCCAAAAAGGCTGGGCTCTTCTTTTTTTTCTTTTGATAGTTAGGCCCGGCTCAAACTATGCACCAGCAACCTATTTTTCCACCCCCCAAAGAAGAGCCAGGAAGAACAAAGTGGACGATCCAGACTAACAACTCAGCTTGACAAACTCCTTGGTACGATGCACACCCCCCTCCATCTCGGCTTTTTTTTTTCTTGGGGTTGTTTTTTTATTTTTTTAAAGACCGTCTACCAGGTACAAAATTACCCCACTTTCTAACACCGCGTCGCGCGATCGGAACCCACAGGACTGGCTCGATTTGATCCCCCCCCTAGTTACACCTACACCTACACGAAAAACACGTTTGCTGCCTGCAAAACCTGCGACGCGCATACATGATTCAAAAACCCCGATGCCATGTACCCCAGGCCCCTCAAAAAAAAAAACCGTCTTTGACGACTTTGGAAACACGGTCATTTCTTTTTGACTCTCCTCCCCCCCTTGTCCGTCGTGTGGTTGAGAAACAACCCGTTTTTTACGCCATTGGCAGGCAGCCATGACTTGAATAATTCCATCGTGGCAGCCGACCTTTTTTTTCTTTTTTCTTTTCGACTCAGCTAACGTATCCCTGGCGCTCTCATCTGTGCCTAGCAGGGACTCGGCCAGCCGATCGACGCACACATTCTCCCCGCGCCTCTTTTACGATTGGGCACAAAAGGAACAAGCAAGCACCCACCGCCCTAACCGCGATGCCCTCCAACGCAGTCCCTTTGTTCCCGGGGTAGTACATATTGTTGCCTGTTTCGTGCCACCTTTTGTCTCGTGCCTTTCTCACGTTTAATATTGTCGTGCCTCGCTATCTCGCGGCGCTGATCGTCTTGTCTAACCCTGACTGTGTCGTCCTTGTGACCCGTGGGGGTCTCATGGGCTGGTGGGCACCGACTTGTGTGGCAACATGGAAAAGTAGCATGCAAGAACAAAACCAGTATGGGAAAATTTAATCCTCCGAACAGATTCCCCATCCAGAGGAGCAAGTTTTCTCCGGCTTTCGGTCGGTTTGCGGCTAAGAAAGTAATGCCCTTGTTTAAAAAGGGGAGAAAAGTCCGTGTTACCAGCGTCCAGTGGTTAGTAGTCGTGGAACTAACAAAGGCACACTACACACACACACCAAACAACGACAGACAGACCGGACGCAACATTGTGTCCCGCTTTCCATGCTACTTTTGATATATTCCTTTTTTTGCGGTTTCAGGCCTCTCGTTTTCAAAAGGGCAGCAGCATCAGAGCTAATGCAGTTCCGTTTTTGGGTAGCGCACTGGAAACCCTTTGGCCCTTTTGCAAATAGTTTACTTGCTCTTATTCGTATGCCCATGTTAGTGCAATGGGTATTGCTGTTGGCCAACCGACCAATTCTAATCAACGCGACTTCCCCGCGCCGAGTACCCGTACATGTACATCTTCCCCTCAAACCACTGTCAAAACGCTAAGCAGATGTTTCCCATTACATCTTACTAGCTCGCAGATCTATTGAGTCTTTTGTACATCATCGTGGCTTGCCCAAGAGGGTTGCTGGTTTCTCATTGTTTGCCCAGACTTGGTTCCAGAGGCACAGCCACCCAACCAGGCGAGTCAAGAGAAAACATCTACTAATCAATGGCCTCGAAAACTTTTCTTTCCCATGTTTGTTTTGATGTGATAGTATACAGAGCCCTTTGGCACCTGTCGCATTTGTCTCATACAGAGTGGGTAGTCTCCCAGCGCTCTGCCAAGGCAGGGCCCTTGTTCGCACAACGTTACAAAGATGCGCTCAGAAATGATGTATAAGCTCGCAACTTCCATTCTTGTCTACCATGGTGTAAAAGAACGACAAAATGAGGCCATGATCGGATCATGTCTCTTAAAGGAGCAACGCAACTAGACGACACTGTGGCCCTGCCGATTCATGAAAATCTACGTGCCCCCCCAAAACCCTCTGCGCAAAGAGAGTTCAATAACTCCGCTGCCCCCTTTGGATCATCCCAAGCTAAAAAGTGACAGCTCCGTCTCGATGACACTGAACCCGAGCCTGTCGACACTTTTCTCGCCCCATAGCCTCTCGCGTGATCCTCCGCCGCCACCGTGTAAGCGAGAACCCGGGCGAACGACTTTTTTTGCGCAAGCCACAAATCAAGAACCCCCCCCTGGTCTTGGTAGCTTGACAGCTGAAGCTAATAAGAGCCAGAGAGATGTGCCCGGAAAGACTTCTCTGTATGGACGAAAAAAGCAAAAGCCGCGTCGCCGCGTGCCCTGCGCCCAAGGCTCCGATAGGCGCACACACACACACACGCACAAGAAAAAGGCCAGGAACTGCCAAGCGAAGCGCTAGTATATCAAATACTCCTCTTGTTAATTAATACCCGTCGCCAGGGGTTTTTGTTTCTACGTCATTTCTGTGCCCTGGGTTCCATCCGTTCACCTGATCGATCGGAGGAGAGGCGCCGCAAAAAAAAAAAAAAAACGGTCAAGATAACATAATGCAGAGACACTGCTGGTTCCGCAATAATGGCGCAACGTCTCTCTCTCCTCCGTGAAACCGTAGCTACTGGCCCTGCACTGCTGAGAGAAAGAACCAAGCCCATCCCTGGCAGATGAACCACATTAATTTCGCAGCCTGCCGAACTACACTACACACCCCCTCCCCCTCCTCGAGCTCCCCCCCTCCTCGAGCTTTCCCCCTCTTCCCCTCAACTCCATTCTCCTCCCTGCTTCCATCGGCCGAAACTTGGTCTCTACATCTGGAACAACCGAGCCAGAACCTCTGCAATAGTGCAAGTTCGGACGGGTTCATCACAAAAAACGCCCAATGACAAGGTTCGTCTCGTGAGCTTGTGCAAATAGATGGCCCAGTGCTAATCTAAAAAGGAATGATCCAAAGGGCGGTATTAGAGAAAGCCTTGAGATAGGGCAATGGCGTTTTTTCCCCTCCCGACGGGATGGATACTAGAGTTTCCGCTGCCTCGAACTTGTCCTGAGTTTTACGCCGGTCTATCCGGCAACGACGGGTACCTGATGACTAGACGCGCTTGCTTCATTGTCTTGTGGTTTCGCTGGCCCTGCCAAGCCTTTTTGCTTGCCCTGTTGAACCCCACGCCTACAAAGGGATACCGTAAAATCCAACGGCAGTAATCAGTTCGCGTCCAGCTGACTCGGCTCCGTAGAATCCCTCGTTCGAGTTCATGGTCGTAATTGCTTCGCGGCCAAGTTTAAAGTGGCCAGCTTTAAAGTGGCCAGCTTTAAAGTGGCCAGCTTTAAAGTTGCCCGGTCGCGAAAGCAACGTCACGGCACCGTAAAAAGACTCCGGAACGGCGGATGTAAGAGGGTACTGGTGGCATGGCGTCAGAAATTTGTGTGAATAGCTCCACGCCTTGTCCCAGTCGATGTATGCTTTTAATGCTGGATTTCTAACACTATACAGTGTCCATGTCGTCGTCCGTACGTCCCAATACTTCCTCCATCTCTGCCTCCGTAGCCTCTAATCCTTCAGAGCTCATAAGTCTGTTGTCCTTATCCTCGGCTGCACACACAAAGTCAGTTTCGCACTAGGGTAGTCATCGCACAATGGAACAGCGGCTGGTTTTGCTTACTTCTGGCTTCAACGAGGAGGTTTTCTTGAACCTCACAGTCCGTAAGGACGGAACCATCGCCGATAATGCTTCGTCTACCCAGGATACACTTGGTGAGCTTGCACCCTTTCCCAACGACGACGCCGTCCATGAGCAGACATTGCGAGAGCTTCGCACCCTCCTGAATCTGACAACCGGCGCCAATCACGCACTCCTTGATTGACGTCTTCTCCTCGACAGTAACATTCTCGGCAATAAGACTATCAGCCTTGGTGATGGTCGTCCGGGGTTTCACGCCTGCGGGGTATGCCACCTTGCGGGGGTGCGCGAACGGAGAAGCGGCCTCGGGCCCTGCCTCCTCCAGCGAAGGCAACTTTGCGAGTTGCAAGGAAATGGCGAGCAGAAGCTGCGCTGTATCGACACGGCGGATAATGGAACCAGGTTCCTGGGTCTTGTGCGAGTGAAGGTAGGCGACCATCGGGGGTACGGATTCCGAAGCGCTGTGTACCCTTGAATAGTCGTCACCAGCAGTTGAAGAAATGCCAGCAGACGTTTGATCGGTGACGCCTGAATCGCTGTCAAGGTTAGACTCTGCATCCTCTTCAGTGTCACCCTTGCAGGACTTCATAATCTGAAGCTTCTCTGCCAGGCCTTCTTGCCAACTGGCCTTGGCCCACCAGCCAACAACGTCTTCGCCTATGCTCTCAAATCTGTCGTTTGCTTGAATAAAGTCTAGAACCCAGCGGGGGAAGATGTAAATGTGCGCATCGCGATGTGTTGTCAGCATGCGAATGCGGGGGTTGGCCCTCAGCAGACCATGGCGGAGAGCGAGTGCTTTGCGCTCTTCCATCCGATCCTTGAGCGCATCAGTGGGCATGGTGGCTACTACTCGGGAGACATTGGCCAAAATGGAGCCTTTGGGGGGCATGGTAGCAGACTGCGGTAGCTCAGTTGTCGCGACAAAGTCTGTCTCTTCGCCCTTGACCGTGACATTGTTTTTCGTCTCATACCAGACGCCGATACCACCGCTATGCCGGCTTCGGCTTCCATTAGAAAAGTCCCCGCCGCCCAAGAGATCAGTGGCGCTGGCTGCCTTAACCATCCAGGCTTGCAAAAGCTGTTCAGCGCCAAATTCACAAACGAGATCGCAGGGAAGCACGATGAAGTCGCCGGTGATGAGGTTGCCGATTTCCGGTAGTCGTAGGATTTCCGCAGTGCCCGTGGTCTGTGTGAGATCTTGTGGGCAAATAATCTCTGGTCTGGGCATCGGCAGACCAGTGAGATGAGGGTTTGTAGCCATGGCAGCCTTCATAGCTTTGGCCGCGGAAGGTGGGCAAATCAGCGTGATTTCTACGCTCGCGTTAGTTAGCCGGACTTTTCAATATCTGCAAGTAGTAGTATGGCCCTGTGCGGGTTCCATATCCTCATTGAGCGTACAGATGACACAGATTTTTCTCTCTGAAGGATTATGCTCCAAGGCTAGGAATACCATAGTTATACTTACTTGAAACGCCAGTACGATAGCAGAGGTCGATGGGGTACCAGACCATCGGCCGATTGGCAATCGGCAAAAGTGCCTTTGGGTTCTCATCGGGATTCGATGTGAATGTCGGGAAAGATGATCCCGGGCCACAAAGGATCAGAGCTTGCAGCCCGGTAGAGGCATTGGAGACCTGGTGCGGCATGATGGAGGGGCAATAATGAGCTGGGGACAAGCTCAAATTGGAGGCACACCGCGGATGAGGGATAAGATTCCCAAACTGAGAGGGACACAGTTCTTGGGATCCGAGCTTGTCTCTTATAATAGATAGAAATCGCTGCTTCACGTCCACAACCACGCGGTACTGCTTGTCCTTTGAAGAGTCATAAGGAACAAATAACTAAATATTCACCCCACCAACGAGGTAGCTGGAGCTGTGGCGCGTGGAGCTGTGGCTGGAGCCGCGCCACAGCTAGCTGCCCAATTTGTCTGCCTGCGTTCACGTGCTCTGCACGTGGCGCAGCCCACCAGCCACCAACCATTGCCGGCGTGGCTTCACAGTGACGCTATTTACCCTCAGAGCCTCGGGCGTCAGCGCGTTGCTGGGAAGCGTCCTCGGCTGCTCCACATTGTTGACATTGTTCAATCAACCCCCAGCCACCATTTTGTCCACAACCAAAACGGATGTCAACCCCACTGGCACGATAGACTGCTCCGTCTCTCACGCATTGCGCATTTCCAAGACATCCTATTCTGTTGGATTGAGAGCGGCCGCCCCCAATTCCGTCGCTTCGCGCCCCCCCCCTTTGCTCGTCGCAGCCCAGCAGCTTGTCCTGTCCCGAACCCAACCCCGAAAGCCGCCCTCGTGGGCGATGCGACTTCTTCTTGGCAACAAAACATGCCATCGCCAAACGAACGCCGGCGTGGCGTCTGGAGCCACTGGGTTCCGCTCGTCGTCACCGTCACCATTGCCAGCGCCGGACTCGTCGTCTGGGCGCTGAGCCAGCGCAAGGAGGAGGAACACCCGAGCCAGGACCAGGAGCACGAGCATCTCGACTATGAGAATGCTGACTACGGCGATAACCCGCCGTACGGTGCGACCAACCGCGGCCCGCGCCCTGGTTCCGGTCCCGGTGGCGCGGATACGCAGTCGCGGCCGGGATACGGCGCGCCCCCGCGAAACGGAAATGACGGATATGAAGCGCAAGCCGACGCCGGCGGCTCCAACTGGGGCGCGAGAATGTCTGGTGCCCTCCGCCGAACCCCTAGCCCCCAGCAGTTCTTCGACTCGACCGGCAAGACCATCACTGCTGGTGTGGCGGCAGCTGGCGCCGTCATTGGAAAGACTTTGGCTTCTATCCGCGAGGAGGATAAGTACCCCGACGATAGTAGAGTCTGGTCCGAGGAAGCCGATGCTCAGAAGGACCGTGGTCCGGTCTCTGGTGATAAGCGCCGCCGTACCGTCGCCGTCGTGGTATCCGCCGATAGCCCCTTGAGCCGCTTCGCGGATGAGGATTCCCACGAGCATGCTGTAAGTAGAAGCTACCACGTCGCCGTCCTGCAGGCCTAATCTTTTTGTTTCTCAAGTCCATCCTGTCTCATATTCCGCGCCACAACGACTTCTCTCGCATCAAGCTGTTCATTCTCATCTACGCCCCCGATCTTAAAGATAATGCCCTGGAGACTGCTACAAGTAACCTACCGCCGCCGTCGCTGAGCTCATCATTCTCTAACATTGGTCATGATCAAGCCCAAACGCCTGGTGAGGAAGCCAAGAATCCTATGTAAGCAATTTTCAGCCGATCCTGGGCAAAACGAAACCCCTCCCGAGCTAACCTTTTATGAGTGCGTCTAGCGAAAGCGCCGCTTTCAACGCCGTCTACTCGCAGGCTCTTGCACTTGTTGACAAGGAGACTATGATTCTTCCCTTCACCACTCCCAACGGCCACGTTCATATTCTCCGACACCTACAGCCAGAAGTCATCTACCTCCAGGAGTCGCTTAGTGGCGACAGTGGCAGCATCATCACCAATATGCAGACTTGGCTCCGCCACGACCTCATGCTTGTTGTCGGCGCCGAGAGTGGCTCCGGGGGTCTCGCTGATAGTGAGTCGGAAGCTGAGCGCTCAACAAAGACTCAGAAATGGTGGCAACGACCCGAGCGTGTTGGCCGCGGCAGGGGCATCATTGTTGTGGATAGCATGCGCGTAAATGACGACTGGGCTCGCCGCATCAATGGGAAGGAATAACTCGTCTAGGTGATGGATATCGTATAAATGCTTGTATAAGTTTAGTTATTTGGTGCCGTGGCCAAGTATACTGCAGCGGCACGGCATGATGTGTAAATGTGAATATATTCAATTTTGAGTCTGTTACTTGGCGCATTATCTAAATGCGCGACTATTCTCATTTTACCTTGCTGCTTACAAGGTACAATTTTCGCCCATCGGCTCTTCAGAAGGACAAGGCACTGATAGCATAAGCGTCGCATCACAGACACTGGTAGCAAGCAGGCAGTGATAGAATTCGCGCGTGACTAGCAACCTATATAAGGCATAGGGGCCAGTTTTATAATCTTGCTAAGAATTATGGTGGAAACCGTAAAGTAAGGGTTTATCTCTTTATTATTGGATGCTCCATTTTGCCTGGAAAGTTTGATTCAGAGCCATGCACGGAACAACCTATGGACATTTGAAGCAACGCAGTTCACCCCGGACCGAATTTGTTCATCGGAATTATTGTAGTAGTGATCAATTCAATAGATCTCAGGGTCAAGAGGTCAGCCCAAAATTAGCAAGCAATTTTTTTCCAGGCAGGAAATCGAGGCTTCGTCGGTCGCTGCCGGGTACCAAAGTATAATGATCACGTGACGCTATAGAGTGACTGCGATCTCCCTCCAGCACATCGACCTTACATTGGGGTAAGCGGCTCACTCCACTTGCAGGATCGCCAACTTCACACGTCTATCTAGGTTCTGTCACGACTCTCGGATCCTATCCAAATAACGCATCAAGAGATGAGCGCTGAAACTTGTTGATTTTACAACCTTGCGCCGTCCGCCACTCACTCGTTTCCTTCGCGACGGCATCGCCGAGCACCGCTAGCCAGCCCCTCCAACGACTTGCGACGAGACATCGCGACGACGACCAGCATCGAATTCATCAAAACCCGCTCTGCTTCCATCAATGTTCGCGTATTGTTCGGATAGATAGGCTTTTACGATAGAGCTGCGACGGGTGGGCAGCAGCATCTCCACGCTCACAGCGCCGGCCGCGGTGCGCGCTTCGAGGAGACTATGTCCCCGGCAACCGCGGTCGCTATACCAACACCGGCGACGAAAGCCAAGAAACCATCGCCAATAGGTACTGGCGTGAACGGTGTCGCACATTCCACGGCGTTATCATCACCATCGCTCTCAAACAAGAAGATGGCTGCGACCGCGAAGCCGCCTGCTAGCACTGTCGGTGGTGCCATTGGGGGGGCCCCCACAGTTCGGCCTGTCAACCGCGCACGGCGCGACACAAATCCGCAAGCCCTCGGCAGGCATTCACGGAATAGCGCTGGGATGCGCACCGGGTCGATCTCGGACGATGCTTCTGCCAACGGTGGCGGCACGCTTCCATACGGTATTTCCCCCCCGCATCTGGTGAGGCTACCACCATTCGCACGCTAATCACCACGCAGCTGTGCCCGACTCATACATCCTTGCGAAGCATGCCGGCAGCCCACCCTCTCTTATCGTACATCTACATCCTACACACTTCAGATTTGATGGGCAGGATGGTATGTTCCAGTATAAATCGCCCATGAAGCTCTTCCTTGAGCACGTCCGAAGCCGCACCATCCCCCACGACCTTCTTGAATACTTCATCCAAGCCAAAGTTCAGTTCTACGATGGCTGTCTCATCGTCCAACTTCACGACCATAAGTCAGCTGCGCAATCTAAAAATGTTGCGCGACCAACTTCCGCATCGAACAAGACAATGCAATCGTCCATTCACAACTACAACCAGTGGCTCACCCCATCCCCTTATGTCCCATTCCCCAAAGATGAACAGGGAGCAAACGGCGGTACCAGGAAAGCAGAAGAGGAAACGAAACCGACAGGAAGCGAACTTGTTGAGGTGAATGGCCAAGAACAGACGACCCCCAAGGTTGCTGCTAAACCAAAGGTGTTCACGGTTGTTCTACATCCAACGCCGGAAAGCTTACATATGGACCTGTTGATCAAAGCTACAACGCCAAAAGGCATCCCAGAAACATATGTACCGCCACCAACGCCGCTGTCGCTTGGAAATCCGCCCACCCCAACCGTTAATACTATGCCCCCCCCTGCGAAACGGCAAAGAAGAGACAAGACCGAGTTGGACGGATCCAATATCTATGCTGCAGAGGGGCAGATATTACTGGCTACCATGGCACCATTAATATTGACCCCGACAAAGAATGCAGAAGAGACAATTGCTCTTCTCGAGATGATGTCTCACCCCAAACACGCCGAATCACCGCCGCAACCGAAGACAAGAAAGCGTACTATTGCCGAAGTTGCGGCAGACGAAGCCGCAGCCGCAGACCAAGAGCGTTATATGCTCGTCCTGGACGAACGTCTTTCGGGTATTGCTGGGGGCCAAGGTGCAGGTGCTGCGGAGGGCGATGCTCAAAGTGGAGCTGCTACATTCGAGCCGCGCTTCGAGCGCTTCAAGGTTATCGAGGAAATTAAAAGACAGCATGCGGAGAAGAAGGAGCAGGAGAAGCTCAAACAACAAGAGAACGACCGGCGGCTGCAGGAACAGCGGCTACAGCAGCAGAGAGAGCAGCAAGCAGCAGCTCAGCGGGCTGAAGCCGATCGCCAGAGACAAGCTGCTGCCAATAGAGAGAACCAACTTCGCCAGGTTGAGGCACAGCGACAAGCCCTGGCGAATAGACAGGCACAGGCGCAGGCAGCGCATGCACAGGCTCAGCAAACTGCGCAGGCACAGCAAGCCGCGCAGGCACAGGCGCAGGCGCAGGCGCAGGCGCAGGTTCAGCAAGTTACGCAGGCGCACCAAGCAGCCCAAATGACACAGCGAAACAGTCAAGGTGCTATGGTGCAGAATGGCGTTGCTGGTAATGGCATGCAGAATGGCATGCATGGCGCTGCTCAGGCTAGATTTCCGTCGCAAATGTCACAAGCCCAGGCAGCTTCCTCCCCCGTTGTGCGCCAGGGCACACCGCAGAACATGTCATCGCCAATGGTTGGAAGCGCGCCCATGCAGCAATCTAACTCTGGAGCTGCTGGTAGCCCGCCACGACCGCCCTCTGTTGTCCAGAATCCCATGTCGGCTCCCATGGCGCATACTATGTCTGCTAGAGGCAGCCAGCAGAGTCACGCATCGGCTACTCCGCGAATGCCCAATGTGACCCCTAATATGGTGCATGCTACGCCAATCAACCGGCAGGCGATGGCTGGAACTCCCCGCATGACGCAGGTCAGCCCGCCGCCTGGCATGATGGCCCAGGGCTCGCAACTGGGTAGCAACATGGCTGGTCCGATGGGCATGCCAAATGGACATGGAATGAGCCCTCAGAACCAGATAATTGCTCAGCAATTAGCAGCCCAACAGAGATTGATGCAACAGCAGCAACAGCAGCATCAAATGCAGAACGGTGGAATGCCCGCCATAAATGGCCAGACATTCACACCACAGCAGCAACAACAGGTGGTTCAGACTATGCAGCGTCAAATGCTTCTACAGCAGCAACAGCTGCAGCAAGGCGGGATGTTGACCCCTCAGCAACAGCAACAGCAGGCTGTGTATCAGCAGCAGTTACAAAATCTGCAAGGTGTTCAGTTGCGCCAAATGCCGCCACAAATTCAACAGCAGCTCCAACAGATGACTAGGGTAGGCCAGTATGGCCAGATGACCAATGCGGTACCGAGACCTATGAGTGGCCAAGTCATGAATGGTAACCCGGGTAATATGCAAGCCATGGCCGCCATGCAGCAACAGCTTCAGCAGCAGCAAGCGCAAGCGCAACAGCAAGCGCAACAAGTGCAGCAGCAGCAGCAGCAGCAACAGCAGCAGGGCCAGCAGCAGCAGGGCCAGCAGGGCCAGCAGGGTCCGCAGGTTCAAGCGCAGTTTGCCCAAGCTCAAACACATCAGCAACCGGGGGCGCAGAATCAGATGCAGGTTCAGCTCAACAACCAGGCAAAGATCCTCTTCCAGAGAATGGTGGCAACACAGGCGCCTAGATATGGTGGGCCGGAACACATTCCCCAGGACGCCATGAACAAAATGAAGCAGTTGTCATTCCAACAAGCCTCGCAGCAACTCCATAATCATATTATGGCGCGTCGGGCGCAGGCTGCGCAGCAGCAGCAGCTGATGATGCAGCAGCAGCAACAGCAGCAGTCTATGCAAGGCATGGGCGGTGGTATGATGGGACCGCAGGGGATGTGAGCAGCGATGCCCATTTTTTTTTGTTTTATTTTTTTGTATTTTCAAGATTGGATACGGAGCAATAAAAGGGGAGGCACGACTTGGATCCGGTTATTATTTGGTGGTACGGAGCAAGGAGTTTGTTTATCGTTGCCCTTTTTTTACGGTCGTTGTTGGCCTCTTATTTGTTTATTCACGCGAGCATGGCTGTGTATTTGGGCATGGTCTCCTAATACCCAACGGAAGGAATTGTGTTTTATGCTTTGTTTCGGTTTGCAAGTCCTGATGCATATACCTCTTCGGGAATAAGTAGTTAGCGTCACAGTTGCGCTTGTGTATTAAACTATAAAGTTCATTAGTAAATGGCATGATTGTGGATGTAGAAAAAAATCGTTCTCATCGTCTTGTGTATCTTTAATACGCTTTTCCTTAGGGACCTCGTTTGCTTCCGTTTTCGGGCTCACTTGTTGGATATAAGTCACGAGTGCCACGCTTTCGCGCACCACACAGCAGCAGTCGGTCAATCCAAAGACAAGTGTCGAACCAAAAGAGGGAGTTACAAAGTACCATAAAGTCTTTTTCTTCCTGCTCTTCTTCTGATAGGATACAATTCCATGTCCAACGTGACTGAATGTGTGCCTAAGATTGCGGCGGATGCCAAGTACCCAAAAGTGGGTCACGTGTAGCACCCGATAATTACGACATGATGGAAGCTGGCCTGTCGCATCATCACTGCAACCTAAAGCCATCTAACGTGAGACGCATTCGCAAGAGCTGCAAGCTGTGGCATCCATTCTTTACGACATTTCATTATCCATCATTTAGCACCCATCTTATTCCTTTCCACCTCATCCGAGCCGGAGCTGAGACAAGCCTGCCTGGGGAAGCGCTGCTGCGGTCACGCGAGGCTTTACCCAACTGTCGCTTTCTAAGCACCAACCTTGACGATGCGTTCCGACGTTTTGCTGACGGCGCTCCTCGGAGCATCGTCGGCGTCGGCGATGCTGGACTGCAACAAGATTGTCGCCAGCGAGCATACGTTTGATCTTTCAAAGCTCGGCGGCCCGCACTCGGTCGTCACTTCGCGCCTAGAACCCATCACGGGGCTTCACCACAACAGAACGTACACGCTCGACGTATGCGGCAACTTGAAGAAGAGCGGCGATGCGAAGCCGAATGAAGAGTGCCCCAACGGCACACGAGGTAAGCAACATGGGCGAGAAAAGGGCGTGGTGTAATAAGGCAGAAACGGGACGTGGTAGTTGCTAACCAACCCCCCTTGTTCAGTATGCGCAATCAAGCGAGTCATTGGCGACAAGTCGGACCAAATCACAGAGGTCATTCCTATTGCGGGCTCGTTGGAGAACCATGGCGGCACCGCTTTTGACTACGATGTCACGCGACTAAAGACGAGCGACTCTAACAGCGACTCGAAAAAGGAGGGCCTGCGACTCGTTCTCAAGGGCGGCCGATACGAGAATCGCGAGCAAAGGGCCGTTATTGAGTTTCTGTGCAACCGAAATCACACTGGCCTGGAGGGTGAATGGGAGGCGGAGGACAAGTACGAGAGCGGCTCGAAGCGCAAGCGCGAGGACAAGGACGGCGATAAAAAGGATGGCGACGACTCAGACAAGGACAAGGGGGGCGACGATGGCAGTCATGAGGAGGTGGAGCACCAGCTGAAGAAGGACGGAGCGTCTCTTATTTGGGAGAGCTATGGCGCTGAAAAAGAGGCCGACATTCTTCGCTTGACATGGCACACCAAGTATGCCTGCGAGAAGCGGGACGACGACAACGACGTCGAAGACCCGGAAGCACCCCCCCGCAGCGGCGGCTGGGGCTTCTTTACCTGGCTGTTTATCATGTACGTGCTTACCTTTTTGACGGGAAGAACGATGCGGAGGCTAACAGAAAGCGCAGCGGTTTCCTCGGCACGGCAGCGTACCTCATCTTTGGATCATGGCTCAACTACAACCGCTACGGCGCCCGTGGCTGGGACCTGCTCCCCCACGGCGACTCGATCCGGGACGTGCCCTACCTGCTCAAGGACTGGGTCCGCCGCGTGCTCAACACGGTCCAGGGCGCGGGAAGCCGGGGCGGCTACAGCGCGGTTTGAGAGGTCCCGCTGGACGAGTTCCGGAGCGACTGAGACGCCCCATGGCCGGAAGCACGGCCAACATGTACGAACCCATGATGCAAAAAATACGCCGCTTCATCTGCGTCGTGTATGCCAAGGATGGAGAAGGCACGGTATGCACGTCTTTCGCGGTGTTTAATATTTGGTCTTTGACAGGCTTCTGTGCGCGAAGAGATGAGAAAGAAATCGCCGTGTATAGATTATCAATGTTACAGTATATTCAGTAGTTGGTATACTGGGCCAACCGGCAACGTGACTTGTCCCAACGACAGCTCTACAGCAAGCTGGCGCTTCATGTATCACGCCAACTCGATTCTTTTGCTGCCGAGTATCTTGTGATTCCCGGATACGCTTCATTCCTACCTCGGTAGCTTGATACGGCATTTTGGACGCCCGATGCAGCATCAGGCCCAGAACTCTCCACCAATGATGTGGCCTTTTTGCACTTTAAAAGGCAGACGACTGTTCTTCTAAAGGCTGCCGATTGGCATCTTACATGGGAGCTTACTTGTCCCAGCACGTTGCAGAGGGGGATTAATGGTGCGTACATTGGGGCTCTAGTCACTGGAATAGATGTCTTCATAGGTGAACTTGTCTACTGTTATCATGTTATTATTTTGCAGCCACAAGCATATAGTGTGACATTGTTACGCAAGGCTATAACCGAGTTATCCCAATACCTCAAACGCTGCTGTCACGGGGCGCCAAAATCATCGCTTCATAAAAAAACAAAAACAAAATAAGGGCTGACAAATTCAATCAATAATAAAAGTCACATCGCACGTCACAGAAACCCTCGCCTCCTGCGGCGTCTGCCCCATCGTCGTCAGTGCCGTCAGCAGACTGGGCCCAAACTCGGTCTCCTCGTCCGTTTCAAACACCATCTTGTCCCTCCCGTCCTGGACAATCTCGACCGGCTGGATTCTCATCGGACCCAGGAACTCCCCGTACACGACCGCCTGCGAATACGCATCTTCAAAGGCGCGCCTCGCAGCGGCGGCGGCCAGGCGCGCACGCGTTGGTTCCGAAATCTCCCACTCGGGGCCTTCCAGCCTGGCGTAGGGGCTTCCGATGCGCGTCTGGATAAAGGCGCCGAGGCGGTCAAAGTCGCGAAACAGCAGGCGGACCGTGGCGCTGACGGCGTAGAGCAAGGCGCCCTTGCGGCCGCCAATCTCCTCGGCCGTGGCCTGCCGCGTGGTGTTGTGCACGGGGCCAGCCCAGAACTCGTTGCGGGGTGGGATGGGGGTGGTGGTGGTGCGGTACGGGGCCACTGCGGTCTTGCTCGGGTAGCGGTTGATGAACTCGCCCGCCGACATTCGCAGTTTTTGTTTCCCCTTGTAGCCGTCTGCCTCGGCGGGGGTCGGATCCGGGTCGGCCAGTTCCAGGGCCTCGAGCGAGGGCGCGTCCTCGGCGCCGCTGGGGGAGCAGAACTCGATCTCGATGCGGTTCATCTCGTTGATGAGCGCGCGCTTGGCTGTGCCCCAGACGGTGCCCTCGTAGAGGAGGTGGGCCTGTATGCGCGCGCTCTCGGGCTTGTGCCGGACGACGCCGTGGCCGCGCATCTTGGCGGTGAGGGGCGGCATGGGCACATGGTGAGGGTCGGCTGTAGAACTGGGTGACATGTTGACGGATTCGTAGGGATTTAGATGGATTTGGTGATGCGGATGTAATAGAGAGATGAAGAGTACTAATATAGTAGGCATCGGTGGAAGTGGCATGACTTAGGGCATGACCCCTGGTGTCGGTTGCGCCTGCCCGGCCTGTTGGTTCTAACATAGTAGGTGCTACAAGTATAGATATATTTCACTCCTGTCGTTTCTCAATCTAGTCTTGACTTGTGTTTCTTCTCTCCCGTATTGTTATATAATGTCGCTGCCATCTGATGCGTGTTTGGGTCTGGCAGCAGACGAGGCTTCATGTTAGCAAGCGCGCAAGTTGCCGTCCAAGACAGCTTGCCAGATAATCAAGACGAGGATCGAATACTAATATGAGTTCTCGAAATATGAACAGATGGTCTTGGTTTCATGGCGCTAGGTTTTTCTTGCACCACTAGGCACTCCGGCAAGTCAAAGGGCGACCATCAGTCCATACCTAGTTGACCCGACGGCAGATCAGCCAGCGTACAAGTGCCACGCCTTGTCTTCAGCAGCCTCGTAATCTACTAAAATAGGGTCATATAATTCTATCGGCGACATGACCCCCCCAAAAATATATCGTCCGATTTCGATGGAATGGAGCTACCCCGCGGGGCGTGGGCCTTTGTGCCGACGGATATATGGGTCGTGGCCGGCATTTGGGTTGCAGCCTCGCCGGAGCCAGGATGGGGCAAGATGGGATATACTACAGGGGTCATGATGGGGACAGGAAACACAAATACAATACCGCCGAGACGGCGCCACAGTGGCATGTCTGGGCACTTCTGGGCAACACGCCACTTTTCGCGAAGCAGCGCGCATCTTTGGAGGGCTTCAACCGGAGATGGACTTGGGGGCCGGGATTTTTCATGTTACGTTACTCTGTAGAGGGGTCGCTGCGGGCTTTCGCTTCCGAGCTTGTTCGGTTGTCAAGTTTGGAGCTTGCTAATAATGCAGCTAGAAATCTTATTTACTCTCATTTCTCAGGATGCCCGGTAGTTTATATATTCCATCTCGATGCGTTTTTGAGACACAAGTGCGCGCGCAATGGCACGACGCATCATTATACGAAGTCGCCTTTTCATGCCGTTTGTCGGAAGCTGCCTCGCCGAAGAACCTTGTGGGCACCAACAAGTGGGCTTTCAAAAAGACGGCCAGAGGTTTCCCCCACACCTGCATCTTATCATGTTACTGCGAACTGTGACGACTTGTTGGTGGACGGTGCAACAAACGACAAACAGCGACTGGCGGATTGATGATGAGCCTAGTCATGGCCATTGACAAAACAGAGGTATCGGACGGAGAGCGCGCGGGGGTGCAGAAGACCTCTTCGTATGGCCACCATGCATGAAGCTTGGCGATCCTGGATTCAGCCACAGACTCAACGCCCGCCGTTACTGATGGGTCTTGGGAGGACAGCCACAACGCCATCCCTGGGGAAGTTGGGGGCTCGCAACTCGTGCGTCGATCCGACAAACCGATCAAGAATACATATGTAATGAGCACAGATTTTTCCGTCGGGAGAACCAAGCCTCCCGAGCGCCTGGGGGAAAGCCAGCCACAGAGTGCAAACGACGATGATCAGCACGGGGGTCGAAACAGACGAAGAATAGAAGCCCTAGAGAGGGTCTGCTAACCTTAACGTTAGTCCCGCCCTACCACGCCCCCCCCCAAGCAGCCTGATTGCATTTTTGACAGCCGTGTCTGAAGTGTTCCAAGTCGCTGCGCCGCGCGCATGCCTCTGCGCCCGCGTGCCCTACAAGCTTCTCCTTTTATTTTTATTTTAAAAGACTGCAACTAAGCCCCCCCCCCTTTATGCCTCTTCCCCTTTCTCTTTTCATTTTCGGGGGCTCCCTTTTCAAAAAATCAAACTCGACCATCTCCACACACACCCCCCCGGTTCTGCGGATGCCCCAACCGTCCGGGGAAAGCTATTAAAACCTTAACCTCTTTCCTTTCCCCCATCCACGATTTTCAAAACCGTCAAGAGGACAAACAGCAAAAGGCAATGGCTGCCCAGGAATACCTGCGCCGCCGCTCGCTCCGCGCCAACGTCTCGGGCCGCAGCAAGGCCTCGGCGCTGACGCTCCGCCAGTCGCTCTTCCCGCTCTGCATCGTCACGGCCCTCTTCTTCCTCTGGGGCTTCAGCTACGGCCTGCTCGACACGCTCAACGCCCACTTTCAGCGCGTGCTGCACTTTACGCCCTCGCGGTCTTCTGGCCTGCAGGCGGCTTATTTCGGGTCCGTCGCGCCTCCCTTTCTTTGCCTTGGATTTTGGCAATTTTTTGGCTAACGTGGTTTTCGGTGACCGCAAACAGAGCGTACCCCCTCGCCTCCATCGGACACGCCGCCTGGATCTTGCGCCACTACGGCTACCGCGCCGTCTTCATCTGGGGCCTCTGCCTCTACGGCATCGGCGCCCTCTGCACCATTGCCGCCCTCAAGGCACAGTCGTTTGGCGGCTTCTGCGCATGCATCTTCATCATTGGCAACGGCCTCGGCTCCCTCGAGACGGCCGCCAACCCCTACATCACAGGTACACCTTGTCCCGGCAGAACCCGTCAAAATACCCAACTACTTGCAACTGTGCTGACCGAAAACTCCGTCTGTGATAGTATGCGGTCCTCCGCGCTACGCGGAGCTGCGCCTCAACCTCTCCCAGGCCTTCAACGGCATCGGCACCGTCGTCGCCCCCGTCTTGGCCTCCAAGGTCTTCTTCGCCTTTAGCGACCAAAAAGCCCAGGACAACGTGCAGTGGGTGTACCTCGCCATTGCCGTCTTTGTCTTTATACTCGCCGCTGTCTTTTTCTTTGCCGACATTCCCGAAGTCACCGACGCCGGTACAGTGCCCTTCCTTTTCCCTATTTGCCAACAATCCACCCACCACTAACAAACAAATCGCCTCAGACATGGAATTCCAGGCCGAGGAAACCGACGCCCAAGCCAACGACAAGCCCTTTTGGCAGCAGTACAAGCTCTTCCACGCCGCCTTTGCCCAGTTCTGCTACACGGGCGCGCAAGTCGCCATTGCCAGCTACTTCATCAACTACGCCATCGACACGCGCCCCGGCACCTCGCGCAGCCTCGCCGCCAACCTGCTCGCCGGCGCCCAGGCTGCCTTTGCGCTCGGCCGCTTCGCCGGCGTCTTTGTCATGCGCTTCGTGCGCCCGCGCTACGTCTTTGGCGTCTTCCTCACCGGCTGCATCGTCTTTTCCATCCCCGCCATCACCGGCCGCGGCGCCACCGGCATCGCCATGCTCTACGTCGTGCTCTTCTTCGAGTCCGTCTGCTTTCCCACCATTGTCGCCCTCGGCATGCGCGGGCTCGGCCGCCACACGAAGCGCGGCAGCGGCTACATCGTCGCCGGTGTGGTGGGCGGTGCCTGCGTGCCGCCGCTCATGGGCAAGGTCATTGATATGCACGGCTCCGGCACCGCCATGGTCGTGCCCCTGGCCTTCTTCGTCGTCGCCTGGACGTATGCCCTCGCCGTCAACTTTGCGCCCGCATATAAGCGCGTGATTGACTCGTGTAATGACACCAAGATTGGCATCGAGACGGGAGGAGAAGAGGAGCCGCAGGTCAAGACGAAGACGCCGTCGTTATAAGCACGTCAGAGAAACCTGCCATTGTTTTGAGGGATACCAAGCGGTTTTTTTTTTTTTGCATTACCTTGACGCTGCATCATCATTCTTGTTTTAAGCATTTCCGCCAGAGAGCTACACCTCTTGTACATTTCTTGTCTCCCACAGAAAGTCATGTGGGCATATGAAGCGTATATACATACATCGTCTATTCACGCGGAAATTTTATTTCCATGCATCTCAAATTCCACAGAAAGTCAAGTTCTGTGAAGCATAATACCTCTATACACGTTCGAATTCTCCTTTTTCATAAATCTCATTCCCTATAAATCTGTGTGCAAAAGCCCATGAAACGCCTGGATGCATCAAACCAACACAACATTGAAAATCCTTTGAAAATCCACATCACCATTATTTTGTCTCTGAGTCTACGTGCCGTTGGCCCGACGCCCACCACGCGTGCTGCGATGCACATGGCCCTGGAGCACCTTTTTCGTCTCGACCAGGCTCCGCTTGTGCTTGCTGCGGGCCTTGCCAATCGTCATGAGGAAGTTCTTCTTGCGCTCCTTTTCGCGGTTCGACGTCGACTTGCCGGCGGCCTGGAGCTTGGCCTTGCGCATGGCCTGGGTGCTCTTGTGCTCCTCGCGGTCGGGCTTGCCCTCGCGCGCGAGCGCCACGCGCTCCTCCTTGGTCAGCTTGCGCAGGCGCGCCGGCGCCTCAATCTGCTCCGCCGTCAGGCCCTCGTCGCGGTGCCGGTCCTCGTGCCCGCCATTGCCGGTCGGGTGCTTGCTGCCGCGCCCGCCGAGGACGCGCTGCACCGCCGCGCTGGTCCGCAGCTCCGCGAGCTTGGTGAGATCGGCCGGCGTGAGCACCGTCGTGGTCGCGAGCTTCATCATTCGCGCGATTTCGTCCTCGTGCTCGGCGGCGGCGGCGGCGGTGGCAGCTGCAGCCTCTTCCGCGTCCGCTTCGTCTCCGTTTTCAGCAGACTTGCTGGTGCGGGGACGCTTCGTCTGCTTCGGGGCGCCAATCTCCGCCTCGTCGTCGCTGCTGACGGCGATCCAGTCGCCCGACTCGCTGCTGTCGTCCGACGCCACCTCCCACTCGTCATCATTAGCTTCCTGCTTATCCTCCTCGTCCGACTCGGCGTCCGATGCCAGGCCCTTCTCGGCGAGCCGGCGCCGGCGCTGCTCGTGCTTGAAGTTGGCGAGCAGCTCGAGGCCCTCGATGCCACCGGGCGCCTCCTCACCAAACATGTGCTGCTTCTGGATGCCGCTGCGCAAGCCCATGGAGGCATCTTTGCCGCGGTCGCGCTTCCGTAGGAGCTCGGCGCCGACCTCGCGGTACAGCGACAGCAGACCCTTGGCCGCCATCATGACGCCCTTATCCTTGCTCTTCTTGTACTGCACCAGGTCCTGCAGCAGCGTGTCCGTCATGGCCAGCGGCTGGCGCGCGCACACCTCACGGATCGCGTTGAGGCCCGCCGCTGCCACCTCGGCCGCCGACGCCTCTGAGATGAACTCGTTGGCAATCTTCTGAATCAGCGGCTCGAGAGCGTCAGGAGGTACCAGGTTGTGTGTTCCCTGCGCGAGGGACGCCAGGAACGAGGTGACGCTCTGCTGGCGCGGCGTCAGGTACTTGATAAACCACGAGTACAGCGGCACGATGGTGAGCTTGTGCAGACCGACGAGACGCGTGACGAGCTGCAGCACGAGGAGCTTTGAGTCGAGTGACAACTTCGCTTTTGTGTTCTGCAGGTGCTTGGAGAAGACCTGCTCAGCAAAGCCCTGCGCGTCGTGCAGCAGATGCAGAGCGGAAAAGTTAAGGGGATGAGGAGCCTGCTTCTTGCGGTCTTGGCGCTTGACCTTTTCGAGGGCCTTGGAGTAGTTCTTTTTATGCTTTCGCGTCTTCTTGTTGATGGTGACCTGGTGCTTGACCTTGGCGAGGTCAACCTCGTCGTCGCTACTCTCGTCTTCGAGCTCCTCACGCTCCTTGTCGCCGCCGAGGAAGAAGCGCACGCCGCCGATGACGACCTTTTCATTATCCGAGAGGCACGCCTCCTTCATGACGTCGACAGGTTTGGCGTCGGTCCAGAGCTGGCGCTTCCACATCTCGCGGGTGATTTTAATGGCCCAGATGGCACGCGGGGAGGCGCGGTCGGCGGTGACGAGGTTGTACAGGACCGTCTGGATGGTGCGGTTGAGCGGGTGGTTGATGGACTTCGTGTTGGAGTTGCGCAGGTCGCTGAGGATCTTGCTAAAGACGAGCGCACGCAGCGACTTGGACGGTGAGGAGACGAGGATGGGGAAGAGCGCCTGCAGGACCGTGGCGGAGTCGACGACATCCTTGCGGCGCAGCAGCAGCATGCTGCCGACAATCTTCTCGCGCAGCTCCGGGTGCAGGATGGTGTGGTGCTGCGAGAGGATCGCCTCGAGGTCCCCGGGGAAGCGGCCCATGACGTCTGGGTAGCAGTCGGCAATGTGCGCCATGAGGTCCACCATGTTGTGGAAGGACTCGATCGAGTCGGCCGAGGCGGTGGTCGGAGAGGTGAGGAAGATTTCGCGCTGGGACTCGTACTGCTCCCATTGTTTTAGGAATTCATCTTTGTATGATCTAGGGGCGTTAGCTCTATTTGCTTTGGGCGTTGCCTCAGAGGCAGAGGCTGGGCTGAACGTACTTGGGATCACGACGGATCTTGTATTGCAGACTCGCACTGGAAAGAATTAGCACACAGTGGAAATCACAGGAGCAATGTCACAACGAACAAATCGGCGTCGATTTTCTCGAGCGCGGCAACCTTTCTCTTCACCATTTTGACGGCGTTTTGTGTGATTGAGCGGTGATGGCAGGCGCTGCAATGGCGGGCAACTTTTTTTCTCTGCTATGTACATGGAAAGAAAATTTGGGGTCCTGATAAGATAAGGCGGCCCGCGCGCCCAGGCCCGCTTATCTGCGGCGGATAGCAGCGACGAACCATGAACATGGGAATTGTAGATGGATTAATCAATTTACAATACTTGATCGTATATATTAGTAGTATTTATTTGCTAGATGTCGCTATGATGTGCAAAGTATCAATTCCCCGAGGTCGAGGCTGAGCAGTGCTTGGATGCCAAATTCCACAGGTAGAGATTGACATATCACCAGGCCAATTACATTCACACATCATTCCCAAAACTGAGACGTACGAATCGATTATTATACAACCATTGGTCGGGACGCGACCAGTCCTCTAAGCTCTAACACGTCTAGAATGTATCCCATCCCTCACACCAAAGGCCTCTTCTCGCTCTCTCATCCTGTTTCTCGTCAGGATCCGAAGCGGCGACAAAACATGAAAAAATCAAAAGTGTTGCGAAACCTTGCCGCAAATGTGGTTCCCATGCATGCCTCCCAGCAAGCTGACTATTTGTTGCTCGCCTTCTATATGCTCGTGTAGGTAAGAAAGCAGCCGCAGATAAGCGCGGCCCAGCGCTTGGGCACATGCTCAGAATCGTTTTGTCGTCCCCTTGAATTCTATCCTGGCCTGTTTCCATCGTCCACCACTCCATCTTTATACAAAGGAAAGTTTTTTTTATTTGGCGGTTTCGACCCGCCTGTGAGCGCACGCGAGGTGACGCAGCACATCATTGCGTCGCCTCCCGCATCATTAGCGCCTACTCGAAGTGAGGCATTCGAGATGGGCGGAGCATTCTGAAGTCGTTTATTTGGCAATCTCAACACCGCCGGTGGCACCGAGGGCCTTCTTGATCTCGCCGTAGATAGCGAACTGACCAGCGGTCAGGGTACCGACCATGACGAGACGGGCACCAACACCGGTGAAAGAACCCTTGACGCCGAGCTCCTTGGCAATCTTGATGAGACGCGAGGCAGTGCCCTCACCAGGGAGACCCTTGGTCTTGTTGACCTTGGAGAGCATGGTGTCGGCAGGCTGGGAAATGAGGGCGGCGGCGAAACCGGCCATGAGACCAGAGCCCAGGTTGACACCAGTCTGGGCAGCGGGGGAGAGGCTGTTCTTGTCAAGGGCGCGGAAAGCAGCCTCGGAGACCTTCTCGAAGACGACGAACTTGGCCATGGTGTAGGGGATCCTGGGTTTCATGTTAGCGTGCGCTCGGGCGACGGCGGCTGGGGGTTGTCGCAACTTACTGCTTGAACAGAATGGGTCCGAATCCAGCGTACATGGCGCCGATACCCTCGGTCTTGATCATCTTGCCCATACCGTCGATAAGACCCTTGGCAAAGGTGGGCTCGGAGACGAGACGGATACGGGTGGCCTCAAGGGGGCAGAGAGCAATATCGGCGAAGAACTCGGCAGCACCGGAAGAGGCGAGGTAGACGGCGGTACGGTTGTTGGAAGCAGTCTCGTAGCCAAGGGTGTTGATGGCCTGCTGCTTGAAGAACTCGTAACCACCGAACTTGAAGGCACCCTGGAGGAAGTAACCGGCAAAGGTAGGGCCGACACCAGTGAGGAGAGCGCCAGCACCCTCGCTCTGGACAACCTGGCGGAAGCCGCCAATCATGCCACGGTTGTAGGTAGCGGGGTCAAGCTGGATGCGGGTCTTGACGCTGTGAAGGGAAGCAAGTTAGTCAATTGACCGATTTGGTGCGGCGATTGTTATGCCGCGATGCGCGACAATTGAGCCCGGACGACCGGACCAGCCAGGGGCAAATCCGATCGCGCGGTAGCGACGCCGACGAGAGCAGGTCACTTACACATCGACGGGAGTCAGGGCGCCGTGGGTGACGGAGCAGCAGATGGCGCCAGCAAGAGCGAAGCGGGAGTAGAGGGCGAGGCCGCTCAGCTTCTGAGGCTCGGCAGCCTTGACATTCTGGACAACGGCGTCGAGCTTAGTCGAGCCGGTGGATTTCGCGTCGGAGGCCATTGTTGACTTTGTGAGGGGGTATTATTCGATGAATAGGAAGACGACAGAGTGGAGAGATGAAAAAGGGTCGAAGCCGTGGGAAAATCACAGGATTGGAAACAGGTGGAGGGTGCTTGGAGGAGGAAAGAAGGGAAAGAATGCGTTTCGGGTTTGAGAGACTTTTTTTTTCTCGCTCGAGGTCGGGCTAACAAGGTTGGCCAGCGGATGCCGACCCGCACTCAGGAACAACTTTAGGGGCTGTCAGGCACTAAACAAGGCACTAAGAGAAAATTTACAGCGTCTCGCTCGGGAACACTCGGGTCACTTGATTGGTGCACCGGAAGCCTGTGTCTGGCCCGTGCGCTCCCGCTGCTCTACATCATTGTCGCTAGGTTTGCGCTTGACATTCGGGGAGTCCGCAGCTAACTATTTGATAACTTGATGAGAAGTAGGTATTTTCCGAACAACTAGACAAGGCTTCATTGCAAATATAGTTGGTTGTTCTCCTGTTTCAATCAGGCAAACGGAGTCTCGGCGCCTTCCCATTCCAGGTGCTTGCTCCTTGACATTCAGGTACGTACCTTGGGCGGCTTTGCGCCGGCTTTACACCGGCTATCTACAAGTAAGCCAGTCGGCGGCTCCGTTCAGGAAACGTGTAGCGCCTCACAGGTTTGCTCACAACCATGTCAAGTCTGACACATTCAACTACCTCTCCGTACATACAAAAGAAATTATCAATATATAACACAAAATTCATTTGCGACATTGCATCTGGCCTTTCGTTGTCCCCGCCCCTTGCCAAGCTGAGAGGCTCCTTTTCCTACCTCCAAAACTACCTCCAAACAACTTGCGTCGTACTATACGTACCCTGTAGCATCTTGGTCTTGGGTTAACGCCCTTCGATATGAGCACCAACAGCATGGACTGGCGATGCACAGCATTCTCACGCCATATTTGAGCGTGGTGTGTCCAGCGGCTATTGTTCCGCTGCGTCTCCCATGCTGGCAACCCAGCGATGGCAAAGTACAGTGCTTGTTCCTATCAGTCTACATCAACAAGCTTGTGCCTTGACACACGTGAGATATTCCAACCCATTACTGGGAGAAAAAGACGCTCTGATACTATTCACGGGTGGTTTATCTCAAATGAAGCTATAGTGCTCAGTTACCATGTTGGCGGCCAGACGTTTCCAATCCACGATGCATGCAGCAAAAAGACAGTCATGCCCATCGGCTACGCCCAAACCATGGCCTTGAATCTACGCTCAACCTGCAAGAAGCCGACCACCGCGTCATATGATGTGTCCGATGCAAATCGAATGGATGGCACAATTGTTGAACGAGCTGATCTCTGCCCCTACCAGGCAGGCATGCGATGGAATTTTTGGCGTAGGCCAAGCCCTTCATGCCACCTCAGAGGAGCGACAGTGAAGGAGACAGAAGCGAGCGAGCTCTTTATCTAGGAGACAAAAAGAAGGCGTTACTAGAACCAATTTCGTGACGCCAGGGAGCCCGACATGGCCGCTGGGTGCGTTTGAGCAAAAGGAGATGTACAGGAGGACGGACGAGAACACGGGATGAAACAGAATCCCGACTTGGCATCTGCACATGCAGGCCAACTAGACACTATTTCTCGCAGAACGGGAAGCAGAAACAGACTGCTAAGTCCACGACCTTGCTGCAGGCGGCTGCAGCTGCACGAGCAGGCGGACTATCACTTCTTGGAATGGCGTTATTTTTCAGCAGGGCGAATTGGAGCTCATTCCAAACGGAATCCCGCGATGCACACATTATATCTGCAATGTAGATGCAAGTTCATGCAGAGCTTGCCCTTGTCGTCTCAAGGGCCAGGGATGGGTCCAAGTGCCATGTGCCTTGGTTCTGCGACGCCGGCAGCGGATTGCAAACTGGGAAAGCAGACCGCCGTGCAATATAACAGTCTCAAGCTTGTCGCTCCGAAATCCACAGTTCAGCCCTACACTGGTTAAGACGCCAGTTGTTAGAATCCATCGTCCCATAACCTCCGCGCGCTGCATCTATCTCTAACACTGGAGCTATTCTATGATGATGTACTTCTCTCGGCTCCTTACCACTGTTACATACTCGCTATCATCACCTTGGCCGACTTACAAGCCGATGCTGAAGCTGATAGCCGTTTCGGCTAGACGAACTCCGATACCTGCTTCGCGACTGATCGGCAAACCACACTGGAGGCAGCAGCCAACGACTTCTGTCACGCGGGCAGCGGCTGCTTCATCGGATATGGGCCCTTCTGCATCTTCAGCGATGCAGTTCATTGCTCTTGCATGGTCTCTTTTCTGCAGATCCGACACGACAAAGTTGCCATGGCTAACATTCGGGATCTCCTCTAGCGATGCAGTGTGGCAGACTTGCAAGCCTTGACCAATAGTTTCAGTCGTCCTTTTTGACTGCGCCGTCATGTTAAGTTGGGGAGGAGAGCCAGTCTTAGATAGTAGTGGTCGGGCAATCGGCACAATATTCATCTCATCATGTACGTGGTCCGCGATGTGACAGGCTGGCTTTCACATACATAGATCTGCATGATTCAACTCCACTGTTGGACAGAAGCCAAGAATTGCCCAGGCCACGAGCCGAACCTACCTCCCTCAAACTGCCGAAGTAAATCATGCAGACGAGTGTTGAAAGAGGTAGCCTTGGATGCCCAATTACCAGCACAGAAGAGTACTGCCCTTCATTCATATTTATATGCGCCAAACCCCGAGACAATCCTTGATCCTTCAGCATCGCCTTCTTTTTCGTCTCCAGCCACAACACTATAGTTCATCAACGTATCTTGACCCGTGATCGAGTTCAACGGCTTCGTCAAGATGAAGATTTCTGCCGTGGGCGTCGCCCTCTGCATCAACACCGCCGTCTTGGCCCAATGGACCTGTGACCCGGGCTTCCAATGTGGCGCTACAATTATACACCGTGGTGCGCCGCGGCATCCCATTGAGGATCTTTCCGTCAGCCGATACTAACGAATGTATATAGATGACAGCGCCTTTTGGGTTCAGACATTGAAGGACGCTGAAACGCGCGTTGGAAGAAGAGGCCGGGACCCTCTGTGGGATCTGTTTCGATGCAACGGTAATCGTACGGCCTCATTCGTGCAGTCTTGCATTGGACGATGTCTCTATGGCGGGCCTGGGAGGGACAGATGTGAAGGGTGAGTCTCCTTGAGCCTTCGGAATCTCTACGGTAACTAATAAAAGGCAAATGTAGGGAACTTTTGAAATCAGAGACTCCTGACGAGTAGTGGTGCTGTGATTCGTCTCCTGGTGACTTTATGGTGGAGGAGGGGGCCTTGGTCGTTGTATGGAGTTCTCCGCGGGAGTTTAAGCTCGGCCGGCCATCAGAGGGTTCCTTCCTGTCCAGTGCTTTATTCGCTTGGCTAATTGAACGTACCCGAATCGCGGGGTTCTAGCCTATGAGCTTGCTTCAGAGTCCTAAAGATGGTGTATATTGTCCTGCAGGCGGGAGTTGACACTTTTGCACTGGAAGAGGCTATTCAGGTTCGAGACACAGCCACCGCCAGTCCAAATCTTGGTCCGATTTCCTCTCATATTCGGCATAGAAGACGCGTGAATAATAGCGTATAGTCTATATGTAGTTCTTCCTAGTTATATGCTGTATGCCTAGCTGTACTGACCAAGTGAGAAGGCAGCGAATCACGGTATTGTTCCCGCAGTGAGTGATTGTATACGGCCGGCGAGCGCGCATAAAGCTTGGCTACAAGTGAGTATCAGACCAGAAAAGAACCATGACAGAAATATGGCTCTGTTGGCGAATGCAAGCTCGCATGCGACCAGCGGTTCGAAAGTGGACTGGGAATGGCTTGAGATGACACCATGACCAGCCGAAACGTGCAGTTTTGGAAAAATGTCAACTTGGTCGTCTGACAAATGACAGACGGTCTATTGAAAAATTAGAGCATGTAGTAAAGACATAAAAAGTGCTCCAGATTTTGGCCGGAAACGCGGCAGCCTTGCGCAGAATACCGTGGATAAACCGTCACGCCGACGAGCTATGCCTAAATCCAACCTTGCACTCTACACTGTGCCTGGCACTAACCGACTTGAACGCGTCATGCATCCACGATACAAAGTTATTCTAGAATATCCACTATCCTCAACCGCTGACGCGCACATCTTGTCCTTCATTCATTAGTCGTCGGTTGCTTCTTCGAGGGTCACTGTGAGGCGGGCGTCTGTACCGCCACGACTACCCCGCAGAAACTGCCAATAAAACCCAAAGGCAGCTCTCACCACTTTTCGTCGCCCAACTTCCCGCCAACCTGCCTCTCGCAACCGACTCAACGCCCCCCGCTGGCCCAGGAGCCGCCGCCAACATGATCTCCAGCGTCCGATCTACCGGCCACCCGTTCCCCAACGCGCGGGCGCTGCAGCCGGCGCCAGAAACCCCCGACAGTGCCGACGCCGAGCTCACAACCGAGTACGCCATCGGCGACCGCCTGCTGACCGTCTGCCTGACCATCTTCATCTTCCGCGGCGAGCCCGATGCCTACTACAACCGGCACGTGCTGCTCTACTTTTCCTCGCCCGACGACCCGACCATGTTCGAGACGGTACACGCGCAGCGCCAGGACGCGCACGCGCCCTGGAACGTCTACCACCTGCACGCCAAGACGGACTGGTCCGAACCGTCCAACTATCATGCACACGTCAACGCCGGCGCCGTGCTGGTCCGTGGTGATGCCCTCATGATGCCGGTCGCGGCGGTCGCGGCGACGGATGTCACGGGCAAGCACGCGGACGGCGGATGGAACTGTCAGAATTTTGTCCTCGAGGGGCTGCAGACGCTCGTGCGGCTGGGCTTGCAGACGCAGGACTGGTATGACGCGGTCGAAGAGGAGCTTTTGGACAAGATCATCGAAGGCGCTGTCGGGTGATTGCTGCAGCTGAGTACGGTCGTACTTGTAATGGCCACATCGAAGAAATCGATTTGAGCGCCTCAACAACTCCTGACACAATTTGGGTTGAGGGAGGACACACTGCTTGACCGCCATCCGATCTTCGCACCGCCTTCCTAGGCCTTCGGCTAGCTGGCGAACAACTAGCACCACTAGTCGAACGATGACACCTATCGTTTACGGTTGGGCTGCAACGGCTAGATGATTAATGATTAATTGGCAGGAGGTGATTCCGTAAGTCCGCCCAAACAAGTCGTCCCACGCAACGCAATCAGCCAGCCACGGTTGATGCAACAGGGCTTTTAAACTCCGCATGCCCACCACCACTTAACCCCCGATTTTTTGTTCATTTATTTCGTCAACCGCCGCGGCATATTCTTAGAGTTGGTAATCAGGTAGACAAAAATTGAGAAAAGATTGCCCCTTCAAGTTCCGTGGCACCGGTAAGTCCGAACGCCCACAAGTGGTGATGGGACCAGCGGACTCCTGGCACCTTGCATATCGCCGAAACAAGCTGGACTCTGTCTTCCTCTGTCTTCGCTTCGATGTTGTCATGGCTGCCCCCGATGGACTTAAATTGGGGGTCGTCGGCGATAACGTTGCGCCGTGATTGGCCTACCTGATCGGCCGCCCGATGCGTTTTGGCACTAAGTTGAAGTGGGAGAGCAGCTAGAGAGCTTCGACGGGACTCAATGATATCACCGCCACACTGGTTTTGAGTTTTTGCGATTGCAGAAATGAGACGATATAAAAGGGAAGCTGGTAAGCTCTCTAGCTTTGCTCCTAACTCTTCATCTCACACCTTTTCTTAACTCCTTTGCTTCATACACAAGGAATTCACTTTCACACCCAGTCTATAACACACGACTTATACACTCTTCACAATGGCGACCGACTACAAGTTTGAGGGCTGGTTGGGCGAGGACGCCGGGTCCGTCAACGGCAAGATGGTCTGGAAGGAGTTTGAGCCTAAGAAGTGGGAAGAGAACGACATCGACATCAAGATTACACACTCTGGCATCTGCGGATCCGACCTGCACACTCTGCGCTCCGGCTGGGTGAGTTTGCGACCATGCTCGAAGAACTTGAGCTATCCCCGCGCAACCGTCTAGTTTAACAGCCGACACTAACGTTTACTTAGGGTGCCACCCCGTACCCCTGCGTCGTCGGCCACGAAATCGTCGGCACCGCCGTCCGCGTCGGCTCCAAGGCCGAAGGTGGCATCAAAGTCGGCGACACCGTCGGCGTCGGCGCCCAGTCCGACTCGTGCCTGGGCCGCGGCAAGAAGGACTGCGCCCCTTGCAAGGAGAATGAAGAGCCGTACTGCATCAACGGCGGCGTCAACACCTACGGCTCGATCCACTACAACGGCGACAAGGCGTATGGCGGCTACGCGCTGTATCATCGGGCCCCGTCGCACTTCGTCTTTAAGATCCCCGACGGGCTCGCGCCCGAGTACGCGGCGCCGATGCTCTGCGGCGGCGTCACCGTGTACTCGCCGCTCAGACACTGGGGCGTCGGCCCCGGCAAAAAGGTCGCCATTGCGGGTGTCGGCGGCCTCGGCCACTTTGCCGTGCTCTTTGCCAAGGCGCTCGGCGCCGACGAGGTTGTGGGCATCTCGCGCAAGGCGGCCAAGCGCAAGGAGGCCATGTCTCTCGGCTGCGACGACTACATTGCGACCGACGACGACAAGGACTGGGCCAAGCACAATGCGAACCGCTTCGACGTCATCATCTCGACCGTGTCGTCGGCCAAGATGCCCATCGGGGACTACCTCGAGACGCTGGCGCTGGACGGCAGCATGGTGCAGGTCGGCGCGCCCGAGGAGCCCATCCCGGTGCCCATGTTCTCGCTGCTCAAGGGCCGCCGCAGCCTCGCGGGGTCGGCGATTGGCAGCCCCAAGGTCATTCGCGAGATGCTCCAGTTCGCGGCCGACAAGAAGATTAAGCCGTTTGTGGAGAAGAGGCCCATGTCGGACGCGAACCAGGCCATCATCGATATGGAGGATGGCAAGGCCCGCTTCCGCTATGTCTTGGTCAACGAATAAAAGGTGCAAGGCAAGGGGGACACCCAACGAGCAATGCCATGTAATACTTTGATGTAGTAGAGGAGTTGGGGGCGTGAGGGTTGATATAGACTAGTGTTTTGCAGAATTTGATGATTGCTCTTCGTCATGCCAACTTGCGAAGCGTTTGTGATAGTGACGTTCATTCATATCAACCAACTTGGTGACAATCACGTACATGATAAATCAAAACTGTAGCTCACCACCTGGTATGGTACCGCTCTCTCCAGCAACAACAGTGCTGCGTAGTTCCACCAGACAGTCTGTACTTCAATCCCAGAGCGGCCAGTTCAGCTTGCACTGCTGCATGTGCAGGTCTGCGGTGTTGACTGTGAGCTAACCTGTGCCAAGATTCAGTCTGCATGGGGTGCAGTGCTGGTATCCTCACAATCAGCACGCACTGCAATCAACATGCAAAGGTGCATGGTCAATCAAAACGCCGAGCTGCATGATGAATCAGAACGCACCAATCTGTACACCTCAATATCTGGCTCGCTGAGGATACACAGCAGATCAATAGAGCCACCGCGGCACATATTGGGCCGCGCATGTGCATTCCGTCCTTTTCGACCAGAGCAGAGACACACAACATGCCCAGCCTCTCGGCCATATTGGATCAGCAACCAGCCCAGGCAACACACTGGCGAAGACTATGCGGCCACTGCCGCACCGCCCAGAAGAGTGTCTTAGGCGAACAATTTCAAGCAGCTGGGCTGGATCCATGATGAGGATTGCATGCAGGATTCAAGTCGGACAAGAGTGGCGATACTTACCAGGTCGACGGGGGGCTGGCACGGCATCATGAGCAGGTGGCGGGCAGCTAGCAAGCTGGGCCATGCAGGTTCCAAGAACGGCATTGGGAGAAATCGTTGCCGCTATACCAGACGAGATTTCCAAGGTACGGCTGCGACGCTGTGGGTTACTTATGCATACGAAGCCGCCGATGACTAGTTCTGGCGTCGCAAGGCGCAGACCCAAGAGTGGATGGAGAGGGCTGGAAACCCGGAGCTCAGCTGCGGAGCCACGGGAGGTTGCGACGGCGCGAGAGGTGGGTGTAGGAAACGAGATAGTTATTGGGATGGAAGAAGGAAAGATGTCTGGAACAGACGGCCTGCTGAGTGCGAGAATGGTCAACGTAGGACTGTGTCGTACAGAGCACATGGCGCGGCTGATGATGGACTGCTTTATGGTTCTGGCGGAGTGGCAAACCGGCAAGAGCGGGAGCGAACGAGACATGGCAACTGTTGGTAACCCAATATTTCACACCTTGACTCGATCAAGTGTAAGCAAAGAGTGGCAAAGTTGAAGTCTAATAACTGGTAGCGTTTGAAACAGGCCACTCATGAACACGGCCTTGTGGTCCATGACATCTGATGATGAACATGTGAAGACGGAGTCCCGTTCGTTCCGCTGTCACGACCGGAGCTGGCCATGGTTAAAGTTTGGGCCGCCATCGCATAGTTTTCCCAGCATAAAGTTCTCGCTGTGTTATGCCTTATGCGCCTCCGACGTCTAGTTACAAGACCAGCCCTGTGGCCGTGTGTCCAGCAGCCCAAACTAACCTGTACCGGGAAAGAAGGTTGCCGAAGACACAAGAAGAAAATAGAATGGCTGAGCAAAAAAGTTGGGAGAGCTGACGTCGTACGATTTGCTCAAGATCGTCGCCGGCCTATACAGGGCTGCATTGTATACCCATCCGTGCGCTGGTTGTGTGTGTGGCAGAGGGCGTTGGCCGGGATATGTCCATTTACGAGAGGACCAGCCAGCCACGGCATTTTTTGATTGGCAAAAATCTGACAGAATAAAGAAAGAGTCGGAATTACTGAATATTAGAATAGCAGCGACAAAGGACACGGAGATTGGCAGTTAATACCAGAGGCCGTCGAATGGCCGTCGGCCAAGTGGCACAGCGTCTCGCAAGCCCCGTGTACGCTCCCTCCGAACCTACACCGCATGGCAGACAATGCTGCAGCAACGCATCACACGCGGGGGGGCAACGGCAGCGGACAAGAAGGAATTGCAAGGCTGGGGTTTTTTTCTTGGGGTATGACAGTGACAACGGGCAATGCAGTAGATATTACGGATAACTACTCGCACACCCATTGCCCATCGTGGCCGTGTAAGAGGGCAGAGACAACAACTACGCTACACCCACATCCTCTATGCTGCAACACTTTTTTGTATCCGAATCTCTTTTTGAATCTCGTGTGAAAATGACATCAGGCATCTGTACGATGAGTTTTTTTTCTTCTTCTTTTCTTTTACGAGGAGCTAATGCCCGTCAACTTTTCGGCGTGCATTAGGGCGAGTGCTTTTTGGTGGTGTGTGTGGCTGGTGATTGGCCTTGTGAAAACATGCATGAATAAGAAAGTGGCTCACAACTGGGGCTGGGCTGGACTTGTTCGTATTCATGTACCACGTATCTGCAGGCACCGACTCCATACCACCAACAAAGTTCCTCAACCCATCCTGCTGTCCAGCTTGGCTTGGACTTGGCCCAGCGAGGTTGTCCATCCGTATCCAAGACCAGGAATCATTTCGCGATGGCTACTGACCAAAAGGGCCCGTTTCTTTTCCAAGCCTTCGCTGTCTAAAACATCCACAACGGCACCACTTTCATCGTTGGCAAACAGGGATTTTTGTCGGTCGAAAAAAGAAGGATCCAGAATATCGGCCGGGGACGGGCCAAGAAGAACGAAAATAGCTTCTTCGATGACTCTTCCATGACGATTTTGAGGATGGAGATACAAAAGGAAAGATGGTTGAAAGCTGAGTTGCTCAGAGGAGAGGTGGGCGTCGTGGGCTGACAAAAGGTTTTATTCCCGCGACTTGACCACCGGCCCGCGCCATGCAGTCACCAAGCATCGAAAAGCCAGTAAAAAAGAAAACAACTCTAAAAGAAAAAAAACAGAGGCGAGCGAAAAAAACAGAACAGACTTGGGCATGCAAAAAGTCAGTGGTTGTGGTGTCACTTCAGCCCTGCCAGCGCAGCACCCCTCCACGCTACAATTATGCCGGAACGAGATGGATGGTAGCTGCACCCGACAGGCAGGAAACGATGGTTAATAGGCAGTTGTTCTATTTACTTGGTTTCAACTCGTACAAAGGCTGGCCACACACACACATCGTTCCACCATGTTTTTACGCTGGCTGGCTAGCCGGCAGGGTTGTATATTAACGATGAGCAACCACACCGACGTTTCATGGTTGATTACTCCCACGGGATGCCAATCCCGACTCAGCCAGCCGCCCTGCTGCCACTCCCCCCCCCCGTTGGAAACGACGTGTTCAGCTTGTGAAAAGCGAGAGCTAACTTATTAGACAGACGGTCGTTCAATAACGCACAATCGCGATAGCGGCCTAAAATGACTAGCAGGAGAGCCCCCCCCCGAGCTGCTAAAAAAAGACACAGCCCGGCACCGGGCGGTTATGTACTACCGGGTGGGAGGTTTGTGGGCGGCAAAATTTTATTATGGGTGGATTGAGTGAATGAAATCCCAATCCACAGGGGAGAGTAACAACGGAACTAATACCGGTCATATCAAGAGCAGGACAATGTTCATATTGGACTATGTGCGTTACCGACGGCTTGCTGCTGGGGAACCAAGCTGCCAAGCAGACGCCGCTGCATGAAGCAATGAGGTGGTGGTGGGACAAACGTCATTGCGGCCGGCAAAACCCACATGCGGCTCCTACTTGTAAGCGAGAATAAACAAGATGCAAGAACAATGGAACCATCTCTTTACTAATAAGTAACTAGTTACCAGCAGAGAGCGCGAATGGCAACACGAGGAACAAAAGAAAATGGTTGGTGGCCATGCTTGGGCCACACACAACACTAGTTACTGCAGGAAGACGAACACTGTAACGTTAGCATTCGGCGCATCAGCAAACAACAAAGGGCAGCAAATCGTTCAAACAACCCCGTTACCTTATTGTATCCTACAGGCTACCATTGATTCAGTGTGGTTACGGAAAAGAAAAAATCAAGACGAAAAAGTGGAAAACGTGAGTGCATGTTTCTTTTTGAACCATAGTCTCGCTTGGGTCTCTCCTGGCCACTGACAAGCCGCCCAGCTTGCATGATCATCATCGCCAACGCACCAAGACGGAGCAACCATCCGGCATACGGGGGGTTGTACTGTATTGCGGAGTACTGAGGGTCCCATCTCCATCTCGAATTTTCGTAAGCGGCAGCACCGGCTTCTCGCCAAGACCAGGCACCACGAGTCCACGACCAAGTTGAACTGCGATGACACCGCCTGGCAAGGCCAGTGCTTCGATGTATTGTTTTTAGCCCCAGCGCCCAACTTGTCGATACGAAGGCTTTATTAGTCACTTGTTGTGTAACGAATCAAGGACGAGGAAGCCGGGGAGCAAACTCATCTGTGCAGATTGGTTGTTTAAAATTACATGGCTAATTCACCGGCTCATATTTGCCTGATGTTGCACGGCGGCGGTGCAATTGACAAGGTGCTCGGCGCTTTGTCTGCAACAAGCTGCCATGACCACAGTCCCAGCCATTCATCTTCCCAGCCATCATAGAAAAAAAGGTATGTTGCTGGATGACCAAGGCGCGCTGCAGGACCCCTAGCCCATCGCTGCTGGTGAAACAAAGAAGCAAAAGAAACAATGGAACCAGTCGCTGTCAGTGAACCACTGAAGCGCTGAAGTTCCTGTTCTGGTAGTTGCAAGGGCTGGGGCAAGACATACTGGGGCAAGACATGCTGGGGCAGCCACCGACTCTATTTTTTCTCTTGCCGCTATTACAACAACAGGTGAGAAGTTGCTGGCCAACCATTTCTGCTGAAATCACCCACCAAGCGAAAGGGGGGCGTGCCCCAGGACCCAGTAGATAGTCCAAGATGGACGTCAGGGCGCCACGGCCTCCGGCTTCTAACAACCAGTCTCTTTCGGATCGCAAGGGGGGTGTGCGTCTTTTTCCCTTTCACGAGCCCCCCGGCCATTTCTCGCAAGGCTATTTTTACAGGCTGGGGTGTGTCTAAAAGCCGGGCTCGTATTGTGGCATGGGCGGCTGGGGATCCATATTGGGAACCACCACGGGGGGCTTCCTTGTTGAATGCTGCGTTTACGCCCAGTCGTCAGTCCCATCTCTCCCGGTCAGTGGAGAGACGCAGATTTGAAGAGTGAAAGCCGGACAAGGATCCTGCCATCAGGCAAACGGGCGCCAACAACTCACCATTGTCCGTGGTCTGCTGGCCGGTCCGGGGGCGTGTGACTGCACGGCGAACAGACGTATAAGGACCCCCAACCCTTCCTCCTCGTCCGTCCTTCCAAGCAAACCCCATCTCTTCAACCTTTCTGCTTTTTCCGTACCCAAACAAACGGCAACTTGTTTTTATTTCCTGTCCTTCGTTCCTCCTACACATTCGCTTTTTCTTCTTGACGATGAAGACTACCGTCGCCCTCTCGGCCCTGGCCGCCGCCGTTGGCGTCCAGGCCTGGACCTACCCCGACTGCGAGCATGACGGCTGCTACCGCAACCTCATTGACAAGCGGTACGCCGGCGAGGCGCCGGCTTTCTGCATCGGCTGGATCGGGGGCATCACCACGGACGCGGCGGCGATCCCGACTCAGTACCGCGGCTGCCCCGGCGTGTCGGCGCTGTCGTCGGCGTGCTCGTGCGTTGCTTACACGGCTACGCATACCACGACTACTAGCCTCTCGACGAGCACTCCCCCTCCGGTGACGACCACCACGACTCCTCCGGTGACGACGAGCACGCCTCCTCCTGTTACTACCACCAGCACTACTACGACGACTGCCGTCACCACCTCGTCCCAGTCTCATGTCACCAGCAGCAGCAGCACCAGCACCAGCACGGCTCCTCCTACCACCAGCTCCTCCGTCGTGACCACCAGCTCGGTTCCTCCTACCACCAGCTCCTCCGTCGTGACCACCAGCTCGGTTCCTCCTACCACCAGCTCCTCCGTCGTGACCACCAGCTCGGTCCCTCCCACCACCAGCTCGGTCCCTCCCACCACCAGCACACCCGTCACCACCAAGACGGAGACGTCGACCTCTACCATTCCCACCACTTCCTCCGGCGTTAGCACCTCGACTCCCCCGGGCACCACCACCTCGTCCGAGTCTCACGTCACGACCAGCACCAGCACGGCCGTCACCACGCAGCCGCCTACCACCAGATGGACCACGTCTACCTTTTACACCACGTCCACGCACACCATCACGCACTGCCCGCCCGAGGTCACCAGCTGCCCGGCATCGTCGACCGTGACTGTGACAAGCACCATCCCCGTGTCGACCACCGTCTGCCCCATTACCAGCACCGAGGAGCCCACTACGACCAAGACGGCCGTTACCACGCCGCCGCCTGCCTCGACCACCCAGTGGACCACGTCGACCATCTTCACTACCACGACCCAGACGATTACCAAGTGCGCGCCCGAGGTCCCCAGCTGCCCGGCGTCGTCGACCGTGACTGTGACGAGCACCATTTCCGTCTCCACCACCATCTGCCCCGTGACTAGCACCCAGGCGCCTCCTCCTCCTGGCTCGTCGACTCAGGTTCCTCCTCCTCCTGGCTCGTCGACTCAGGTTCCTCCTCCTCCTGGCTCGTCGACCCAGGCTCCTCCTCCTCCTGGTACTTCCAGCCAGGCTCCTCCTCCTCCCGGCTCCTCCAGCCAGGCTCCTCCTCCCCCCGCCTCTTCTGGCTGCCCTCCCGGCCAGACTCCCGGCCCCAACGGCAGCTGCGTCACCCCGCCCAAGTCTTCGACTCAGGTTCCTCCTCCCCCGGGGCACATCTACCCAGGCTCCTCCTCCCCCGGGCACATCTACCCAGGCTCCTCCTCCCCCGGGCACCTCTACCCAGGCTCCTCCTCCTCCCGGCTCCTCCAGCCAGGCTCCTCCTCCTCCTCCCGCTTCTTCCGGGTGCCCTCCCGGCCAGACTCCCGGTCCTAACGGCGGCTGCGTTGCGCCCCCTCCTCCCACCACGCAGCCTCCCGCCGTCACCACCACCACGCGTCCTCCCACGGTCCCTACCCACACCGCGCCTCCCGTGGTCACTGCCGCCGCTGGCCGCTTTGGCATCGAGGCTGCTGTTGTCGCCGTTGGTGTTGCCGCTGCTCTGTTCTAATTGACCAGAAAAGAACCACATTCATTTAATTTTACGACATTTGGGGGAAAACAATGCGATTTAATTTGACTTTTTTATTTATTTACTTTGATCTGGTTTGATAGAGCCAGAGTATTTGATTCCCGGTGAAGGGAGCATCAGTGCATTTTGTACATTTTTGTACATTTGGATACTCGTGGATATCGTTTTATTTTTTTTTCGTTTCATCTAGAAAGGATAGGAACTAGTTGCGACCGAGACGCATATCTGCTGCATGTGCGCTTGGAAGAGTTATGGACAGGCCGATTGCAATAATTAGCCACATAATATATTCTCTTTTTTTTTCACTACTGGATTGGGCTTTTGTCTATCCAATTTTGCCAATTTTGTTTTGGTAATCATGACCCCTTGTTCCTGACGATCCCCCAGGCGCCATGTGGATGGGTTCATGGTTGTGCCAGAAGCGCCAACAATCTTACCTGCTGATGAAACAAAATCTGTACTCTGTCAAAATCGAACTAGCCTGGGGGGAGAGGAGGGTGGGGTGGTCCCCTTTTTCGGCACCACGCCAAGAGTGGCAAGTCCAAAAGCCCCAAAAGGTCCCGCGTAGAGACGCAGGGGCTGCGGAAAAAGGTCAAGCTTGACAGAAAAGACAAACAGAAGGACCGAGTAATAAAGAAGTTCATTGACTATACTTGGTGTGGTTCTACTCCGTACTTTGAGACCCTATCCAAGTGTTGGGTTGCACAGATCGCTTGGTTGACATCTAGTTACGCCCGTGCTTTCTCTCTTTGAGCCACAGACGAGGAAGTATCTGAGCGGTCTTTCTGCACCCCATTGATTGCTTTCATCGACGCGCAGATCAATGTCAAAAGAAGGCGTGGCTGCTGGTCGCCCTGTCCGGAGAAGGGACCCAGCATCAAGTCGGCCTGGCTTGGTCGCCGCCACCCCCCCTGCATCGTGCATGCGGGACGCACTCTGCTTCTTTTTTTCTTTTTCTTTTTTTGCTTTGGCCCGAGCTTCGCAGGGTGCAGCAAACGACTGTCACAGACAGCAAGCAGTGCAGATGATGCGTCGGGTGCGCACAGATCGCAGATGCAAAGGCCACCACAATCAGCGGCGGGGCGGGTCAAGCAAAAAGTTGCGATAACTAGACAGCCAGAAAGGAAGTCAAAACATTACCGAGTGAACCGAGGTGAAGGATATGGGTTGCAGCGCGATACGCCCGTTCTGGTGGAGGGTGTGTGAGCAAGACCGACGGAAGCCCAAAAGCCTGGTCAGTTACTAAGTGAACTAGTCAGGGGAAAGCTGAAGAGAAACTTGTCGCCGCTTTAACAGCCCAGTGACAATGAAATGCCGGGGGGGGGGGCTTTTTTCCCCAGTTTTTGTCGTCCGAACAAACCCATGCGCCCGCTGCCTTGCTCGGATATTTGATCATTTGATTCACGATTCATCGTCTTTATTGCATTCCTGACAAAAGGGTCTGATGTCCGGATATGGTCCATTCCTGCTGTGGGAGAATGGAGAGAGACACAAGAGATGCGCTCAGCCCGATTAGGCAACACTGTGACTGATGCTCATGACGTGACTGGCTGTTTCAGAAGTCTCTTGGTGCCCACCGGTTGGCTGGTGTGGAACCTCTTTGTTTCTTCTGGTGTCCAGTGACGTGGCTGGTTTGCCGCCCACACTGGAGACAATGGATGCGCTGCAAAAGAGAGAAGAGCCACACCACACTGGAGATTTGAGTGGGTAACAAGACCGAAATGCCAGGAAAGCAGATGGAAGAACGCCATTCTATAAAGTCCGGGGTTCTAGAAACAAGAAAATGGCTCAAGAGTGATGGCGCTGATTTGTTATTGGCCTACACCTCTGGGTTAGCGGGCACCGCTGGGGCTGGACGCTCATCTCGTACTACAAACCAGTGATCAAATCAACTCTTTTGTTTTGAACATGGGGAAATCTATCCGTAGACTGAGTTAAATGAGCGTCGAGCCGATCGAGGTGTCAGGTACCGGGATGGCTAAGCCAACTTGAGCAGCGGGCGCCAAATGACTGACATGACTGTTCGTCTCAGCAGTTATTAGCGCCGATGACGAGCGGGCGCTTGCACGCAGGATACTCGAGATACACCCCGCTCCATCATTCAGCAGCCGGAATAAGTTGCTCGGCGTGATTATAGAGCGGAAAAATGCCGCCACTCCGGAGCCATTCTGTCATTCGATTTTGACACTTCATCAATCGTCACTGACTCGCCGTCGCTTGGCTTGCAAAGTTTTTCCTCTTGGTTAGCGGGGAGGTGGGTGGATGACAAGGTTGCCTACTACCTGTATGTAGCCAAAACATGTGAGATAAAATGTACCTGCGCATGTCGTGGAGAAAAATATGAACAAGAACAAGAGTGAGGCCAATGGGAAGCCTCTCGGATTGGGTGCATAAATCGCGATAAACTCTAACTCTGCTCTAGCGCTCGGTTGAGTTGGTAGGCGATGTTTCAAATCCAGAGCTTGAGCGTTTTTTGTCGTGGGCCAATGGCTAGGACGGGCATGAGGCGTTATACTCTCTTTGGGCAACTAGCCTTTCTAGCCGGTAGCGTTTTCTTCTTTTTGCTCATCAGCTCGGTGAGCCACCGTGTTAGAATTCGGTGGCGACGGAGCCAGTGGACCGGACAAACCACGGAATCCGTTGTTGGTCGTGGCATTTGCCCGAACAGAAGTCGGGTCAGAGCGGCCAGTGAATTTTGAGGCAACGGTATTTGAGTTCCGACAAAGCATAGGGGATGTAAAGAGAAGGGCCTTGAAATTATTAGCATGAAGGATCGACTGTCACTTTTCATGAGCGGTTTTCTTGACCCGCGCAATATTGGTGCAGATGGTGCAGGTGTAAAAATTCTTGTCGAGCGACCATAGCCTTCACAAGTAGTGCACACATCTCTGCAGGCGGCTGTGAGCGGTCAACAAACTGGAAAAATACAGGGATGGAAGGCACATTCAACATTCACTGACTCCGATCCATTCCTGTTGTCTCATAAAGACAACCATGAAAAAAAAGTAACGGGAACCCAATATGTTGTATATGGTGCTGTGTGCATCTATCATTGTGGCGGAGTATCTGTGGTTAGTCTGCTGGCTCAATTGAGATGGCTTGTAGATAATACGCACGGCAGCCAAAACATGAGGCTGTGCAAATCAATAAAAGGCTAGAACCGCACCTGATGCAATCACCAGCCATGCCACAAAATTCCCAGCTGCTTGTGGCTTTAACGGGGGAATGAGGCTGAGCAGTTGGGTTGCGGTGGCTCAGCTGCCCGGCCGAGTTGTCAACTTGGTGGTTGAGGAGAAGGTTGTCAACTTGGTGGTTGAGGAGAAGTAGTGTTGGAAGCTGGCTTTGGTGCATCCGGGACGGGAAATGGATTAACTGATGGTCAGGAACCGTCGCGGATGATGGATTCCTGGGCTGTGCATTTTATCGGTTTCGCGTGGAGTCGACCTGATATTTGCTCGTTTGCTCCCGCTTCCGAGATCAATCGTGTTGCCCAGGCCGGCCGGTCGTGGGGGCTCGAACACCTCTGCGTGGATGATGCCAAGTCGCGGGACAGCTTGGGCTCCGATTGGGCTTGTTAGATGCCGTGGGCAAGCGTAAAGTAGCATCGTGATGGTGGTGAGGGGAAATGCCTTGAGGCCATAATTCATAATTCCCGGCCGGCAGGCCCATTGAGCCACAGCCAAACCACCCAGAGCCAGAGCAACCAGCTGGCGGAACTTGCAGACACAACTCCAATGGGAAGGAGCTCTGTTTGCACCAGCTTTTAGAGCCGTCTGCCGCCGTTTGCGCGACGCTCTACTACCTACTTACTAACCTACCCCATCCTTGTCTTCAGTACCGGATCGCAGGCCTCCAGCATCAGCACAATCATCATCACGACTGATCTGTAGCCTTGCTTTCTGCCTCATCTCAGCCTCATCAATGCTGTGCCGTTACCAGTATGGCTCGCCGGACGCCTCGCCGCCTTCAGAGGCCTACCGGCTCACTAGCTGGCTGCCGCTGCCCCACCACTCGCTCCTTATGATGTGGCTGTGCTCTCGCGGCAGACTGCCAGGCACCTCCACCACAGTGATGTGACGGCCGTCGCCAACAACATCACCAACGAATCTTTATGACGCCCATGTTGCGTTCCTCTTCAAACCGCTACAGTCACCGTTCTTGCGACAACCTTGAGCCCATTTCGGGCCGCTCCATCATGCGCCCGCCCTTCGCTCCTAGTTGCCCCGGTTGGCCCCCAACAGGCCTCCCAGCTCGCTTTGCCCGCCATAAGCAAAGGCATCGCCGTCGTTCGCATGGCAGCTCCCTTGCGCCTAGAACGCCTTTTGGTTTAAATACTAGCACAAGCCCTGATTAAGTCATCCATATAGGTTTCTCCTTTTATCTTTCCTCATTCATCACGGTTCAACGGCTTGTTCCTTGACCTTGACTGAGCAGTTTCACCAAAGTCCGCACTTACACCAAACCAAACTCAACCAACACTTACACGCAACAAGTCTTCAACTATGACACCACCCTCACTGCCCAGCCTCGACATCCCGCCCGATATCGCTACACCGATAGACTTCAATACCTCGCCAAAACTCTCTCGGTCACCTTCTGCTCATGGTCTCAACGCCGCCACAGGCCGTCCTGCCAAATGGACCCCGTTTCACCTGGTCAAAATGGCCTGCCTTTACGTCTACACCAACCTGCCTCTCCAAAAAATCATCGACGTGGTCCACCACAAGTCGCCTCTTGGAAGCCAAACCCCCGGAACCGATTCTGCGAATAAAAATCTCAACGTCTTGCTCGACAAGGAGCCTCGATGGATCCACCCCAGGACCCTTGAGGACATGGGCCAACGGCTCGAGCAGCTTGCCCTCTCACCCTCTCAAATGTCCTCCCAGTCTAGCGATAGTTCATCCTGTCGTGCTTGGTCCGATCCACCTGCGTCAAACCTTCTACATACTCCCCTCAAGACCCAGGGTAACGTCAGCCCCACGGCGTTGGACGTACCCCATCACTCCATGGACTCTTGGAGTGCTCCAACATCACCAGTAGCTTCTTACTACGGCCGGGTCAAGTGGTCACCCCCTCAACAAGGTCTTACAGCCCGGAAATATGTTACCGATGCCAAAGAGGAAACGGAACGAGAGCTATTTGCACCTTACCTGCGCCGGGCCACTGTGACATCCTCTTCGACAGCCACGTCGGCGTCCTCCCTCAGGTCGGTGTTGGCAGAGTACAGCTCACCCTACCGCGCCGTTGTCAAAAGACTTATGCGACAAATTCCCCGCTTCTCACAACGTTCGAGGCACACGTCACCCATCTCTGAGGCCAATTCAACAGTCATGGACTGGCTAAACGATGAGGTGGCCCCAGCTGCATACGATGGTTCACCCTTCCCCCTACCAGGCGACTTTCTCAAAGTTGATCAATACGTACAACAACCAGATATGCTTGACCAGCATCGCAGATACTGTCTGCTATCTGATGCCGATGAGTTACGACAAGCGCCTGCCAGCGCGTTACCTTGGGTGACGCCTAGTGGCCTGACGGAAAAAGGCTCGCACATCCTCGCAGGCCTCGTTTCTGAATTTTCCGAGTCAGACTTTTCCGACATGGATGTCTTTGGTAATACATTGTTGCATTTTGTCGCCGCTCGGGACACCGGTCTGATGTCATTTTACAACATCCTCATACATCCGAAAGCCAGTGATATACTGCAAACGGTCAACTCGGCCGGTCAGTCGTTTCTTCATGTCATGCACCAGGACACTATGAACAACAAAAGTTTTGTGAGCTGGCTAGTCTCCGAAGTGAGGCAATCGATGGACATTTACGCCCAAGACCACTATGGCCGCAACTTTTTCCACATGCTACGAACCAGTGGCGTCAGCCAGACGGTGTTACAGGAGATACTCGAGCCAAATGACGCCGTAACGTGGAACACTCGCGATGCGTTTGGGAGTAAACCATATCTATACACTTCCGAATCAGCTCACATGGTGTTCAATTTGTCATCGGACTCGATTCCATCACTCGCTAGCGCTTCTGTTCCCGTCGAGAATAGAGCCATTGCCGCGCAAAGACAACTCGTGACTTTTGTTGGCAGGGCAATCAACGAGGATCCCGCCGCGGAGTATTCGCAGGGACGCAATGGTCTTCATTGCCTTGCCGCCGCAAACTTGAGCATGGTACCTGGAACAATATCCTCGGACACAGCCGATAGCACACCTAGCCCAGCAACAGCCGGTGGTGCCACAATGAACGGCAGACGTCGCACTAGCGGTGGTAACAAGAGAGAAACGGACTCATCAGAGGCTCGCTTGAAAGTGCGCCTCAAATCGCTCAAGGAGCTTCTCGACTCGGGTGTCAGAGCCAATGCCTACGACAATAACGGCAACACTCCGCTGATGGCGTTTGCTGCACAGCTTCTCGAAGACGGTGATTATAAGATTGGTCCGGAGATTCTTACAACACTCATCAATAGCGGTGGAGATGTCAACGCACGTAACCGCGCTGGCGAAACCGCGCTGCACATTGCCGTCCGGTGCGGACGCAAGCTCGCTGCCAGGACACTGGTCAACGCGGGAGCCAATGTGTACGCACGAGATGCCGCGGGCCGCAGTGTACTGGGTGCCGCAGATGCCAAGATTATGGCATTGAGCGGCAACTGCCCGGGCGAGTATGCCCGCTTGATGGCGTGCCGGGCGTGGCTGAGCGGGCAGAAAGGCGGTGCCGTACAGAACCCAACCGTGCTGCAAGAATGGGGACGTCGAGCATGACCAGAGCTTCCTCTGTCTGTCTAACACTGTCAAACACTTTGGTCTCTGTTGACGTTTCTGTTCTTTACTGTCTTGTTTTCATTCGCGTTGTTTCTTTTTATTTCTGACTTTGTTTGCGGACATGTCGTATATATTATCTTGTCCATGTTCTACGCGTTGTATGAGTTGATTCATGGGAAGGGTATTGGACAGAACCTTGGGATACATGGGTCGGAGTTACTGCCTTTATAACATTTGCATCTATAGAGTTGCTTTCATGACAGATAAATCCAAATGTACACACATTGCTTTTATCGAGACAGTCAGACAAAGTCCTTGATAGCATCCCAAAAACCGTCTGCTTTCTCACACATGGGCAGGTGTCCCGTCCGCGGCACTACCCGCAACTCGGCGCCGTTTTCACCCACAAGCCCTTTGAAACCGTCCATGGCTTTCACCAAGACACCCTTGCCATCGGCCTCGCCGGCGACCATCAGGGCTGGAACCTTGCACGCCGGCATCTCTGCGCGCATGTCGTAGTCCCAGAGCGCGGTGCAGCTGTGCGCGAAGCCTTCCACATCATTGGCGGTCACAATCTCCGTCATCCACGCGGCCGTCTCGGCCGGCGTGTCCGGATGGAACCACCGAGCGACCGTCTGGCCTGCCAGCGCGGCCATGCCGCCGCTCCGGGCGACGGCGATGCGGTCCCGCCACGCCTGCGTGTTGGACGCGGCGGCGGCGCAATTGAAGTCGGCGGCGACGAAGCGGCCGACGCGCGCGGGATGCGTGAGCGCGTAGCGGAGCGCCGTGGCGCCGCCCATGGACACGCCGATGACGCAGGCGAACTGTTCGATGCGCAGGGCGGTGCGCAGCGCCTCGAGGTCGGCGGCCAGGTCGGCGAGCGTGGCGGCGACGGGCGGCTGCGGGACGGCGTGCCGTCCGCGCGTGTCGTAGCGCAGCACGCGCAGGTCTGGACGGTGCTTGGTGAGGAGGGCGACGAGCGGATCCCACATGCTGTACGACGTGAGGAGCGAGTTGCTGAGGACGACGACCGGCGCGTCGGGCGCGGGGTTGCCTTGGAGGTGGTACGGGATGAGAAGCCCGTCGGCGGCGGTGATGCGCGACGTGATGGAGGTGGCGGTGGTGCAGAGTGTGTTGTCGGCTGAGGTGAAGTCGGCGGAGACGGTCGGGGGCAAGTGCGCAAGGGAGTGCAGGTCCCGGGAGGCGGGGCCGAAGACGTAGAAGAGGGAAAAGGTCTGCCGGGATTTGGAGGCGACGTATTTGTCAAAGACGGCGGTGCGGCGCGGCGTGTCCATGGAAGCGGCGTGCACGGGGCCGCCGAGGCCGTTGGTGGGCGCGTAGTCGTGCAGGCAAAAGTATGTCGTCTTGTCGGCCTCTTGGAGCGGCGACGTCTTGAAGAGGCGGCTGCGGAGCCACCCGGGGACCTTGGCCAGCATCTCAACATGCTCCTCCGTGTACCAGGCCTGATATGCGTCTCCGGCGGCCGGGTCCTCTGTGAGGGAGATTTCCACGGCGACGGTGACGATGCCCGCGGCCTCGGCGTCGGACAAGCTCTCAATGGGCTGGAACTCGTCCGCGGCTTTGGTGTGCAGCAGGTCGTAAAAGGCGCGTCGGACGTCGACTTGGGCAATGGTGGCGGCCTCGCGCGGGGAGCGGTTCGCGCGCAGCGTGGTGTAGGTGGGCGTGGCGAGGAGCGGCATGTGGCGGACGTCGTAGACGGCCATGAAGGCAGGGGTGGAGGTGGAGGAGTAGCGCAGGCCGTTGGAGAAGATGGAAGGGATGGAGAGGCGGGTTGGGCCGTGCTCGTTGTTGTACCACTCGTGGAAGTGGAAGAGGTCGAGGCCGGGCTGCGGCTGCGGCTGCATCGTCACGTAGAGGATGCCGGGCGCGGCGGCGGCCGAGGTGGTGGTGGTGGTGGTCATGGTGGGTGATGTCATGCGGGGGAGGGGCAGAGATGCTGAGGAAATGTTGGAGGGTGGGAAGAAGAAACAGGGTGAATAGAGGAGGAATGAAAAAGAAAAGAAAGGAGCCAGAATTGTGAGAGATTGAAACGTTGGCGGGATTTTACGGCTTCACTTCACGGATAAATGTTAGACGGGTCGTAGTTTTAGCGCCGTCTCCATCTCCATCTCGGCAGTCTTGTCGGGAAGTGAAGCGGCGGCGGCGGCGGGCGATCCACACCGGGCTCGGGATGGGCCTGACCGGGGGAGCCGGGTAGGACGAAGATTGCTCATCTGCGATTGAATCAATACTTTCCTTTTCTTCATTATTTTAGCCAGATGTAATGTGACGCGGAAACCGGGACGGGAACAAGCTCTCTTGATTCACCAGGTTACTGATGCATGTAGCCGGGCGTATGCTACTACCCGCACGACAGACGGCAGAGGAAGGAAGAAGCAAACCTGCCATTCCTTGCGCGCATGACTGGACTGTGACCTGTGACGAGTCTCCCATTTTTTGAACGATTTTTCTGACCAGAGTGGCGATGACCAGACTACCTATTCATTCACCGCTGGACGCCCTCTTCTCTCAGTGTTGCGTTTGCACCACCTAGCAACTACCAGCAACAATAGGGGTCACAAATAACCCCTGGTGAATCGTGGCACAAATGCGATGATCAAGATATAGGGAGAATGCTGCATGTGAATTTGCAGCGCAGTCCCAGGCCAGCGCACCAGAAGCTGCTGTGAATCGTGGAGCTGCGCGGCGATTGGGTGGGCTGTTGTGATAGTGGGATTAGTTTTTTTTTTTGGTGGCAAGCCAGCAGTCTCAGAACATCAGCCCGTTGTTTGTGTGTATCCTTGGGCAGCGGGAACCAGCGCCCTGCGATTTCCTACATAAACGAGGAAAAGTCTGGCGAAAAAAAAAAGAGAAATTCTTTCTCTTTCATCCATTCTTTCCCTTCCCCTCATTGCTGACTTATTGTACTGACAAGTGGTGGCACAAGAAATCAAGAGGCCAACGCGCCGCAAACGGACCCTCTTTGCCTATCACCACCACACAAACACACACGCACGCACAACATCATGGAGGTTTTTCTCCGCGGCGTCCCCAAGGACCTCGCCGATGACACCCTCCGCCACGAGCTGCTCCCCCTCATGAACAAGCTCGCTATTGAGGACTGGTCCTGCGACAAGCCCAAGAAGAAGACGCAAGCCTGGCTGACCTTTCTCCGCCCCGATGACGGCACGCGCTTCCTCGCGCGCCATGGCAAGAGCATCGCGCCCACGCAGCCGCGCTCCGAGGCCGCCACCGCCGCCGCCACCG